GAATAATTTTAGACAGGGAAGTATCATCTGCAAATAACTTAATAGCACAGGTTATATTTTCAGCAAGATCATTAATAAAGATAAGAGAGGAAAAGAGGACCGAGAACTGATCCTTGCGGAACTCCCGTAGCAACTGTTGCCCACCACTCCCAATTTGTACCATTCAGAACAACTCTCTGCATACGATTTTGGAAGAAACTTTTGTTAAGGATAGTAATTTACCTGAGATTCCATTTGCTGCAATTCACACAATCAAGTTGTCCCTACTCAAACACGAAACCATTTGGCAATCCAAACATTTATCCGATGGCCTTTTCGAATGAAAATTAGCTGCGGGACAAGCCTTTGTTAATCTAAAGAGCGGGAAAATAGCCGATAGTTTACACGCAGGCCCGTAACCAGGGATGGCATGAGGTGGCAATGCCACCCCTGGAGCAAGAGAATACCAACTGTTTGCCACCCGTATAATTTTTCTCCAATTTTCTTAATGGGCTTTTTCGTCGTTTTCATTGGATTATCATGAAAATTTGAGTCAAGTTAACTCTGGCGGAAGGAAAATTGTTTACTGGGGGCTTTTATTACGAGAACCTGATACCTCTATACAAATATGCAGCGTAAATATTTTCTGTTCTGGAGAAAACATTCGAGGAGCTTGGTGTATTTTCTTCAAGCACTGTGCAAATCTTCTCTCGGGTGCTTAAAAATGTGAACTGGCCAGAAAGCGAGCTCAGCTAGCCGATATTCGCTTTTTATTAATTTATAAAAGTTGCAGTAACTGCTGGCTTCACATCAACACATAGAGACTTTGAAAAATGCTTGTTTTCTGCATAAACAAGGATAGATTCCCCTCCCTACTCAAAAACGTCACTTTATACTTCGCCTGCGTTTGCCACCCCTTCGCCAAAGGCCTGGCTACGGGCTTGGTTTACAGCAATGAAAAGTCCCTGGGACTAGAGGAGCTATTTTCCCCTATCAAGTATTGTTAAAAAGGCCCTGATTTATCTCCCCCCCCCCCCCCCCCTGTCGTGTTGGACCTATTCAAACCAATTTTAAACTCTTCTGGAGTCCTCGGAGACTTCCCTCCATGTGAAAATTCTCTCGCGCAATAAACCGAGGTTGTCCTTTACATGGAGTACTTGTGGAGTCATGTTAGAAATGCGAGGGAAGCCTTTTGACGTGGCCTAAATCGCGCAACTTGTATATTTTTGTTGCAAATCAAACAACAGAAATGTCTGACACATTTTTTGGCTTTGACACCTCATTGCCTGTAAGTTAACCAAATCTATGTAATATTTAGCTTTTCTTTGAATGCTTGTTATTACATATTTACTTAAAGCCATTCACCCAGAAGTCAGAAGAGAACTTATCAGAAGCTTCCGTTTTATTGGGACGCAGTCCAGGTCTATGCAGTTCTTCTGCGGTTGTTTTCAACGGAGTTATAGTTGTCTCTGTTTATGACAGTAGCCATTTGTAGCATTCCAAAACAAGGATGCGTCCCCTTCACACCATTAGATACCATCATTTTTTCTATTTATGAAATGTACCTATGTTTGTAAAAGATGATGTAGCCAGCAATTAAACCAATTGGTCTGTACAATTTGCAAGAATTACCTTAGAAAGTTGCCACCACTTGAAATTTTATCACCAGCAATGACAATTCATAGTTTCAAGTATCCAAAATCCCAATGAAAAAATCTGGAAGAACATTCGGATTTATTTCCAAAAAGCAATTGCTTACAATTATGTAAATTTTCTTGTGTCATATGTTTCTTGCAGCTTATCTGCAGTCCAAGATTGGTGTATTCAAATGATGTACGGGTCTTTGTGATATGTTTTGTTTGTAGGCATTTGAGACTGCTGAGCTAGAAGATGGAATTGGGATTGTCAACAAAAATGTTGATGAGAAAAATGATGAAACATTTGGGGCTGATGCCATAGGTATGATGTTTTATATTAATTGACTAATTTTTCCTGCTATGTGTGACAGTGCATCAACTACACAAAAAGGTCAATTACCGGTCTTTGCCTAATAAAAATGTCATTCTGCTCATAGGCAAATTGATTAGGTCTTCAGATGTGACTAGGAAAGATTATCTTTTAAAGCCATACTTCTACCAATGCTGCAGTGCTATGATCATACAGTGCAAGATGTTAGTCAAACAAAGCATACTTTTTAGGTTTATTGTATTATCATTATTGCAAAAGAAAGTTCCGTTGATAATTAACTCTGTTTTGTTTCTAAGAAAGTAATAGTCAGCCACCTGGTAGGATGAGTTTGATAAAACAGAAACGGCCAAAATCACCAAACACACAGAAAAGTGACATTTTGCTCTGAGCTTTTCAAATACAAATGTAACAGCAAGTTAACCAATTAGACAAGATATTCTTGAAGTGTTGCAATGTGAGACTTTAATTATCAAGGAATGAAGTTTCAATTTTGGCGTGTTCAATTTCAAATTAAAGCTATCATCTAAAACTCAATAAATAGGGAAAAGGCAGAATTTTTTTATAGACAATCCTATTGTCTAATTTGATGAAAAGAAGGTATGAAGCCTTTACTAAAAGTTATCAACGTTTTTTGGGCCAAAAGAACAAACAGAGCCACTTAGAGGTGTGTTGTGAATACCACATAGTTTTTCTAAAACATCTATCACATCTGCACAAATCTCCTGCCTGACTTTGCACTGGGTTTTCCAACTAAATTTCCTTTTGGTCTGATTAGAAAATAAATTGCAGACAATTCCTGATATAAATGTGCTTTGTTTATAAACTTTTATGAACATCTCAAAGATCATAAAGATGTTATATCTGGATGATAGCAAAATGTCTTTTAAAATGCTTTTAACTGGGCAGTTAAACTGGGCACCCAGAAATCGCTCGCGTCAAACGAAAATGCCTGTCTTTAGATATTTATATACATATATTTAATATTTTTGTTTGAAAATTCAGTGTTATCATTTATATATTTATAGTATTATTTATGATAGAATTTTTGTTTTGATATGCAGTTCCCAGTCCAATAAGGGACAGTAATGATGGAAATGATTCTTCAAAACGGCGTGTAGGGGGCATGTCAATTAAAGAAATATTGACTCAAGAATATAAGAAATCAAAGGAAAAAGTTAGTTTGGAAGAAGAACTGGAAGAAGAGGTGCTTTTAGTCTTTTTTCCTTTTGAATATCATACTAGGCAACTTTTTCCTATTGTTAGATTTTGATAACATAAGGTCTTTTATTATTAGCGATTTTTGCATATCTTGGAAATCAGGTATCAGATGTGTTGCTTATGCATGTTCCATATGTATTACCAATAAATCTGATTTCTTTTATAAACCAATAAATCAGCTTGCTTTTTGCAAGCATAGTTATTCTATTCTTGCTCCCTTTATTTGTTTTTGCTTTCTTGCTGCCTTTTGTAAGAAATAGCCCATGCAAGTTGCGGAGCGCTCATGTGTACTGACCTTTATTGCAGGGTGATTGCCAAATGCTGTTCCAATCCTTTTTCAAAAACGCTTTAACTGCCCAGACAATGTCCCAAGGGTTAATGTAGTTCATATACTAAGTGTCTATAATATTCTTGAACATTTGTGGTGGATTATATTATATTCAATGGCATATTGCTGTTAAGGTGTGCTTAAATCAGTTAACATATGTTTCCTGTGTTTTGATATTCCTCACAATTTACCATTTTACATGGGTTGTTTGGGTTTGATCTCTTGATCCCTTGTGTCAAACAAAACATTTTGCAGTTTATTCTAGCCATGATACATACCTCATCTATAAATGGAATATTGATACTTTTAGGAAATAATTGAAAATAGTATTTCGCAACTTGGATTAGATGATGATGTTGATGACAAAGAAAGCAATTCGAATGTTCAGTTTGATGACAGTAATGCTGGTTGGGTTATACCTCCTCAAGGAACTCCAGAAAGAGCATCACTTGAAACTTCAAATCTTATCCAAGAAATGGTAAGTGCTATCCTTTGTATTTGTATTTACAGGGCATCATTTACATGGCATGCAGGGCAATTATTAAAAAATAAGCTTTTACTTTTGTACATATCAACATTGACGTGATATTTAATCATTTTTTTTACATGATTATATATAGCAATAGGCAGAAAATGATGTGAATCAATATGATATTAATAAATCCAATTTGAAAGCAAAAATATGTATCTAAAGAAGACTAGTATATACTGTCTTTTGGCAAAAGTCATTTGTTAACAAGTTTCATTTCTGAAACTGTTTCTATAAAGTGCAAAAGCCAATTTAAAATATTTATGATTAAATGTTGCATACTTTGGCGTGTAAAGAAAGATTGTGCTAAGTTGCAACCCACAGTCTCAGGCTCGATTTAATTGTCAGGCAGCTATTTGCTTTAATTTTGAAACTTGAACTTAGAACCATCCTATTTTACACAATAAAGCATGTGAAGCTTGGCCTATGCATCATGAAATGCTGTATGACTGACCAATATTCATTATTATTAAATGTTAATTAATAACATGCCATTTAATACCTCTTAAAACCATTCTCTTTAATATTTGATTGAATATCTTTTTTATTAAGCTTTCACCTGACAGAAGAAGTATTTGGTCATCTCCTGATAGATCAAGTGACCAAAACTCCCCTTTGCGAAACTCTAAACAAGTCAGTATATTTTTCTTCAATAGATTTCCTCAAAACCTGCACCTTCCGTTGGAAAGTCTATAATTATTTCTTCCTTATAGAAAATACACCTTCTTATCAATAACATGCAGAAGTATTTCAATGTGCTATTTCATGCAGTCCAATCCTGTTCTTAATTTTTCTTTTTCTTTTTGGCTTCTCCCCCTTCTTATTGTTTCCTTTTTTGAAATTTGGGAAAGACTCTCTCAACATTTTTTTTATCATTTGCTAAATAGCTGTCAATCCATTTGATTCCCAGTCCTGGCCATCAAAGAGAATACATGGATATAAAACTGGCTAACCTCGTATCTATTAATAGGCAACCAATCATGATAAAATTATCTTTGTCGCCAGACATTCCATACAAAAACGTCCTTGGATACTGCTCAATGCCAATTCAAATTTAATATAATTTTGAATTATTTTTAGAACATGTTGGTTGATTCTTTTTAAGATCTCCTTGAACTGTTTTGTGCCCATTACCTTTTGGCTTTTTGAAGCAATCAATCAATCTTTCAATCAATCAAAAACTTTATTTATGTGTCAAAAAATATTTAGCTTACAAGCTAATTGGGGAGGCAATTTAATTGGTTCTTTGCAAAAACAATTTTGATGGAACATTAAGTCTTCATTGGCTGTCATTCACTCCACAAACAATATTTTAAAAGGTACCTTAGTTGCTTCTGAGAAGAAGGTGAAATTATAATTGTATATTTTTGAAGGATTTTTTCTGTCAACAACTAACTTTTCACTAACATCTTTCATTTAGTCAATCTGTTCACTTTCATTTGTATGTAATTTTATCTTCATGTGCTCAGTCTAGGCTTGAATATTCTGTTTTTTCTATTTACATCATTTTCAACAGCATTTGATTTTGTCTATTGTAGCCGGAATTATTGAAGCAGCTGTTTAGCTCAGCAAGTCAGAAGAATGTGCCTGAAAATCGGCCTGATGGTAAAAATAGTCATTCAGTGGAGGCAATCAAAGCTGAAGAACTAGAGAAAGATCTCACAAATGAAAAAGTGAATTATCAAGGTTGAATTTTCTTCAGAATACAAGAAATTATTCTGAACTCATTAGGAAAATTTTCTTGCCATATTGATTTTTCAAGATGATTGTTGTTGCTCTACTGTAATGACTAATGATTTGCATATAAGAAAATGAGGAACAGAAGGTGAAGAGTGCAGTCAAAGAGTAAACCCCTACCAATCCAGAACATTTCATTATTTTCTTTTGTTGTGCTCAAAAATTTATATCTCAGTCCAAGCTGACCTAGGACAATTCTTGTTGCATTTAAATTGGTCCCTTTGTGGCACAGAGGATCAGAGAGATTACCCGTTCTCTTTAGGCTTGTTTTAGGCAGTTTTAGTTAGGAATATCTAATGAGACTCTTCCTGTTTTAGGCCCTTCAACACCAGTGATAATCGAAAGGTAGGTTAAAAAACCTAAATTTGATCACAAATATTTCTTCTGCTTGAGCTTCAATAGCCAAGATAATCTGCTACTAAATGACTTTCAAGTTAATTTCAATGTTTCTTTGGGAATTCTTTTACGGAGATGCTTTTGTTTGATGTCACACCTGTTTGGGGAAAGTGAGAATTTTGTGGTTTTTTCCATTTATAAAAGAGGCGTTTAAGATCACATTAAGGACAAGTTTTCACTTTTTTTGGAGAAAGCAAACAGACATCAAAATAGTTAAGAAATTTAAGAAATAAATAGGAATAAATTATTCAAAACATCAAAAGATTAGGAAATATCTTAAATAAAGATATGAAAAGTGTTTTTTTTAACAGTTAATAATTCTAATCCAAAGATTCTCAGAACTCTCTAAAGATTATGGAGGTACGTGCGAAAAAGAGAGCATTCCAATATTTAAGGTGTATTTAGGTAGTAGTTGGGCCCCAGATAACAGCATACCAATTGAAAAAATTAGGCTTTTCTAGATTTAACAAAGAGGTAAAGATTTGAAAATGAGTTTTGTGCGCGATAAACTGATTTTTAAAAATTTACATCAATTGCAAATTCTTCTTTTTCTTAATAAAAATTTTGTTTCGGTAAGTTGGCTCTGATTTTTCAAATTCACTCACTTTAGTGGCGTATGTGACGCCTAGATTAATTCATTTTTTTCCATTTGATACCATTCGTTGTTCAATTAGGAGGTTATGTTATCATATTTTTTAAGCAAATTTCCAAATCACCCATACCTGTTTTCTTGCAGGAGAATGCCAAGAACACCAGCTCCACCCCCTGGTTTTCCATTTCCGTTAGGCACACCACCTTCTGGCATTCCATGGATGACCCCACCAGGAGTTGTAAGTTTCTCGCCGATTGTCTATGCAAGTCCTTATTGGAATACTCAGTTTCATCTTGCTTTGCTGATCCTGTTAAATTTGCTAGGACTGCTTTGGTTGAATTTAATCCAAATTCGGAAAGGAAAATCCTATCAAGATCGTGTCATACATGTTACAGAGTCTTTACTGTATAAGCGAATCACAGGTCGCCTAAGGTCAAGGAACACTCTCCTGCAAATATGACATCCAGCAAAACATGTTGCCTATCCACATTCGCTATATCTGTTGCTGCTTTCAGCAGCACCCTGGTCGCTTGAAAACGCTATTTTGATTTGAGAAATGCTAGTACCAGAATCACTGATGATCATATGACTAATCAAGGCCATTAAATAAATTCTTCAACAATTTTAATGTTGGCCCAGCCCCTATCCCTAAAGACAAGGCTAGGTTTAAGGCTCAGGTCTCTGATAAGACAGATGTTGTGACCGTGCACGTGGTCATAGCAATATCAATTTTCATTGGCTAAAGAGCTTCCATTTTAAATATTGGAACGTAGCTGCCTTTCCTCTTCTCTAGCTTGGGGCAGTTTAAGGACACTGATTTATTTTCTTTCCATCGCAAATGAAAAATATCTGCTTTTGCTGTTCAAAAGGTACGACATTTCTTCGCTGTAGATTCCGCCAGATTTTTCTGAGGCATACCAACTGAAATCAGACTTTATGATATTAGTGAAAAAACTTCAAGTTACTAATTGGAATCTTGGAGCCGCTTTGTTTATCGTGCAGATATATGTTTCGGTTGGGCTGTTCTTTAGAGGGACCTTTGTTACACTAGGTGATAATAGTTCACTCATCCTGTTGAGGAACGTTGCATGAGCATGTGTGCTAAAGAAGAAAAAAGTTAGTCACCTTGCAATATAGAAGGAATTATTAGTTAGTCAAGTTGGAATAATCAGGAAGTTTCGTTGAGGATAGGTTTTTCTAGTTGAGGTCGTGGAAACATTCTCATCACCAGGCTTTGATAAAGTTTTCCGACAAAATAGCAGCTTAGTTTTGCAGGTGGGTCTCTCCCCCCCCCCCACTCTTACCCTCCGCTATCTACGCCACTTCCTGAGCCCCAAGCATCTGCCGTTATTTTCTTTATAACCATAAAGGTATACCTTTGCAGAAATATGTTGATGCTGTTTCTATAAAGTGATACTCATTTTTGCATGGCTGTACACTGTAGATCTCGGCACATTATGTTTCGGTCGTTATCGAATGATCTGATGATTTCAGCCAGAGTGATCTACGTAGTCTGTGCCTGACTACTTGCTTTCTATCGAAATCGAAGCCAATGAATAGAAATAGTTTGGTTTTTTGCTAAATGTTTGCTTCGGTATACAGATGTCATCAGTGTGTAATATCTGTTAGAATAATCATTGCTTCGGTATTTCTCTACAGCTGCCAGTTCCTCCTATGATGCTGCCAGGCCAAATGCAGCAAATGCTAGCTGCTTCGCCGTATATGGCCATGCTCAGGGGTATGTCACCAATGCAAGGTATGCCAATGGGGAAACAACATTTTCCAAGTAAGTTTAACATTTTCTTCTTCGACATTTACTTTTTGATACAAGATATTTAGGATTGGAATTCAAGGAGAATGTCCTCTGGGCATCATTTTTCCTCTGGACAATATCCTTAGGCTCTGATATCCTTCCTCAGATAAACAATGAGAAGGGCGGGGTTTGGGTGTTTAACATTTAAATTTATTTTGTTTTCGATCTGTTTTTAGTATGTTTCCATTAATTCTCACATCTTTACAGTGAGTGTCTCAAGTCCATTATTTTTCAGGGAAGTGTAATTTATTGATAAGTATCCATTATTTGGAGATTGCCACTTTCGGGAAGTCATCGTTATTGGGAGGTCACTGCTATCGGGAAGTCCCCGCTGTAAGGAGGCCTTAACTATTCGGATGTCCTCGCTCTTAGGAGGTGTCCGTTATTGGGAGGTTCCCGCTGTTGGGAGGTCCCTGCTATTGGGAGGGCCCTGCTATTGGGAGATGTCCGTTAATGGTGGGTTTCTGTTATTTGGAGGTTTCCTTTCGTCAAGGTTTCGCTGTTTTAAACTTTTTGAAAGGTTTAATGATATTTGGTTCTGTTATTGTTATTGATTTGAGCAGAATATTGATTTTTCATTTTTAAGCAGTATATTTCTATACCTGAATATGAATGAAATATCAGAGAATCGCTTGTTAATGTAAGAAATTACAATCTAGGATTTATGGATAACTCGGCGAATAGAGGTAGATACAACAGGGATCAGAGGCCAAGACGAATGGAACCAGGCAGTGGTATGCGTTACCAGCCAAGGTATCAGAGAAGGTATGAGCATTCGCCTAGCAGTTATGAACACCAGGATGACGATGTGGTAAAACTCCCTGCTTCTGAACTGATGACTTCAAGGGAGAAGAAATGGCTTGTTAAGATTCAGTTGATGATACTCATATCAGATGACGTAGAAAACAAAGATTACTACTATGTTGTAAGTATCTTGTTTTGCTTAATGTTTTGAGAAGTTGTTTAGGAGGAAAATCCCGTCTAGAATATGTTATTACTTTTAGTTTTGACAAATTCATGCTTATTGCTTTAAAGAAATTGCTATGCCCCGTCAATCAACCGTAAAAAGTTAACAATAGACATTGTGGTGCGTTTATATTAGAGAAAACATGGAGAATTAGTCTTTCATTGCCGATTTGATACGTAGCAGCAGGTCTATTGTAAAGTCCAACCAATGGGAATTTAAATGATCATCGTGATGCGCCCTATCATAATGCTTTTAAAGCGAATGAATCACCCAAATTTGTAATTCATTTCACTGATTTGGCAGTTTCACGATCGAGATTTTTGTAACGCTTTTTCAGATTATATGGTCTAAATTAAGGAAAGTTTTAGAATATGTTTAATGGCATTAGACTTAAGAACTTTGTTGCAAGCTAACTGTTCTGGCACTGAAGGTCGTGTGTATGTCCAGCAAGGGGAATTGGTACAAAGAATAAAGAAGGAGAGAATGGTTGCGTGTACCCTACACGGGCAAAGTTTGAATTCGTTTCTTATAGGGCTATTTTGTGAGATTCCTTCATGTTTGGGAATGAGATCGAGTAATATGAAACATTTTGTACCCATTTTCAGCCTTCCGCGGGCATCTGTGCCTGTTAAATGCGATATTAAATGTAGAGCTGCTGATATTAGGCCGCTTTTACATTGTAACTGAAAGCAATTCTGTGTGTATCGTACTTTGAATAGACCTTTTTCAGTAAAATACGTTGCTTTAAAAGAAATTAACTCTAACAATTATGGTTTAATCAAATCGTTGATCGTTGGGTGATAAATTGCCTTGATAACTGATTGATAATGTGATATTTTTGCTCTTGTGATATTTTCAGAATTATATGAACAAAAAAGCTGCAGAAATGGAAACAGAAATTGACAACGAAGAAAAGTTAAAAAAGGAGACTGAAAAGGATAATTTCAATAAATTACTCGATATTGTTGAACAGAAAAAGGAGGAAAGAAAATATCGACCTGGTAATTTTATATTATTTGCCATTTAAAGTAAATGACCTAAGTTAAAAATCGAGAGCTACAAGCATTTCCTGTTTTGTCAAAAATAGATTTGATCATGATGAAATCGAATCGCACTGTTCAAATTTCATGCTAACTCCCCTTTCATCAATTATCAGGGCTTATCTCATGTCATTTAATTTAACAATGTGTAAATTCTACTAGATTTTTACAGTCATGTCCAGCCAGTCAACCGTGATATTCCATTGCACATGTTTTACAGGTTTCCTGTTGTAGAGGTTATCAAAGGTCCCGTCGATCACGTGTTCAGAGTTAAAGATAGACTTTGCAGCGTGTTTAAAATCGATAGAACATTGAAGATTAGCCGATTGGCTCCGTAACAATAGGTCTATTGTATAGTCTAACCAATAGGAATTTACATTGCCAGCAAAATGCGTCGGGACATAGTGCCTTATTAGTGACCCGTCGGGACATAATGATCCGTCGGGACAAGTAAAAACAAAACTTAATTCCTGCCTTATTCATTCCCACTGTTGAATTGACCCCATAGTGAGGTTCCTGTCTCCAAACCAAAGTGACGTTGAATTCGAATGATCAAACTGCAATTTCTTACACCTAATGGATTACCTCTGTGACGTCACGTGAAGAACCCAATCCTGTTAGCAATTATAAGGAGCTTGTGAAAAAAGAAAAAAAATCAGAGCAAAGTCTATCGGTTATTGTTCCTCGTTTCATAATAAGCCAAAACAAAGAAAACCTATCTATGTATTTGAATTAGATGATATATCAAATGAGTTTTTTATATCAATTCCTGCTTTTGATTTTACCAACGGCACAAACACTTCTAATCACTAGAAGGTTAAACACGTAACAAGGTTAAAGTACAAAATATACCCTGACCCTTAGCCCCAAGCTTCCCTCATTATTGTCTTTGTGCATATAGATAGGCCTTCGCAGAAATATGCTGGTGTTTTTCCTATACAATGATACTCACTTTTGCATTGCTTTACACTTCTTGCTCAACGTTGTCTTCTTTATGCTTTTTTTTTATTGTCTACTCAGCTGTCTTCGAGGGATCTTTAGGTAAGCTTTCTGTTTCAACGGTGTATCACCCACGACAAATCGTTGATGTGCAGTCCAAGGAAACGGATGATGAAGACAATGTAAGCCTTTTTCATGACGGACATTTCAACAATTCCGCGAACGATTTATTTTCTTAGGATATTCAAAACCGGTAACTTATTAAAGCCCGGTGATTATTCAAGCCCTGCGCGAACTCAAGCCTTGTCTGCATTCACCCCGGTTTTTATTCATGCCCTGTATCTAAAGCCTGGTGTTTATTCAAACTTGATTTCTTATTAAATCCCTGCGTCTATTCAAGGCTATTGTATATTTAGGGCCAGTATATTATTCGAGCCCGGTGTTTATTCAAACCCGGTGTTTATTCAAGCTCGGAATCTTATTTCAAGCCAGGTATCTTATTCAAACCCCTGCTTATTCAAGCCCGGTATCTTAATCAAACCCGGTATCTTTTTAACAAGAGCGTACTTTTTCATGATCCCGTTTGCAAAATCTGTGAATCACGTTTGTAATTTTGTCGTTTTAGACGAAATCAAGAACTTCTGAAGGAATGAAGCGACGATTTAACATATACGGCAGCATTGAAAAAGTGAGTTTATGATGAAAAAACAACCTTTCATGTCCTTGAACTTTTTGTGAGTTGTTGGGGATTACAGAGATTGTAATAACAAAAGTTGACGGGCCGTTGATATCTTAAGGAATTCTGTCATAAGCGTCGGTGACTTTTTTAGTTATGACGTGAAACAGATGTTCAGTGACTGTTTAAATACCCAAAAACCTCAAAAGGGAGTCAATAACTAAACCGAGCACCCTTGCATATGACTTGTGTTTAACGGAGTCAATGACATCATGGGGGTTTCGACTTCAGGAGAGTGGATGCATCCGGATGGTCATTTTGGCTAATCCGGACTGAGCAATCCATAGTGAATCCCAATCCGACAATATTTAAACACTTCCAAAATCTCAGTGCTATCGTTTGAGATTTTGATAGCAATTCGAAGTGAAAGCCAATCCGAAAATTGTGTACATGCTTTCAAAGGCAAACTTCCACCGCCTCGGCTTGGGAGAGCAATAAAATTTGTATTTTCCTCTTTTTAGGCCTATGGTATTGTGTTAGACATAGAAGATATAGACCGCAGACTTTTGGATGTTCCTGATATTGAGAGGTATGACATCTGTATATAAATATCGTAAAATCTCTACATTTTCAATACCGGTGAAAAATTTATTCGGACAATACATTTGACAATTACCAAAAGATGTTGAATTGTAAGCTAAGCACTGTGTTGTGCTCGTGTTTCTTAATGCCTCGGTATATAACTGTTATTTTATTGCATATATTCATTACATTTATTATATGTGATAACATGCAAACGAAAGAACCAATATTGTGTAGACAGAAGAAGTTCGTTTTTACTTGCATTCCAGTGGTAGTTCTCCTATAGGCACGTGGTACTGACTGGATAACTATACCGGACATGTGCTGTGTCTTTCTGATTGGCCTATTTCGATCAACAACTGGGTATATGTTTCCCATCTTGTTCCCCTGACGTTGTATACTCTAAGGAGTGTCAGACGAAAAAGCTTTTAGCATGCTGTAAAATGTTTGCTTTTTACAAAGCCATGTTATTTTATTCATCTATAAGGTTAATTCTAATCATTTAATACGGCTTGTCATTAATACCTTCAAATGTTGCGATCAAGTGACAATTTTCTATAGACATGATAAACCAGAGGAGCTTATCCTGATCACAGCATTATTTTCAGACACTCCGTCGAGGTTTTCATATTAAAACCAGCAGTGAGACATGGAATGTTTAATTATTTGACTCGTTTGTGGTTTGAAATCCAAATATGGCCTTATCAGAGTTTGTTTTTGAGTGCATTTGGGTTTTTGGCTGCTAAGAATCTGTTTCCACTAAACCCAAAAAACGCGGAGATCTATAAATAGCAAAGATAACTGTTTTGTATTTTAAACTAATAATATCTAATCTATCATCCAGCGAATATATCCTGTACAGACCTTTGTCTAGAAAATAATTAGTCTGTGTTTTATTCGCTACATTTTATTTATAAGTAGTTTGCCATATGCTTGGACATATAACTAGATTGTTAACTTAAAAGTTTCTTCCTTCATGAAATCTGCCTAAGAAAGGGAGATAACCCGTTTTATCATAAAGTAAAGCAGATATTAATTATGTTGAAGGTGCGTTAAAGTATCCAAAGGGAATCAACGAATTAAATCAAGCCCCCTTGCACGCGACGAGTGTTTTATGTAGACAGTGACAGTCTAGGGGATTTCAACTTCAGGAGAGTAGTTGGTCATCGTAAATTTAGATTGGGGCCTATTCCAAATTTAATGAGGTTTTCTTATAAATACAGACATTTCATGCAGTTATAATATCTTTAGCTTGTCATTTCAAAATGCATTTCCTTTTAAAAATTTTCACTTCATCTTTCTTGTAGTAACGAGCTTGTTCCGGAAAGAGCTTTGAAAGTGGAGGTTCTTTTTAACACATTGAAATTGTCTCTGGATGACTGGCAGAAGTATGTTAGCGTTATATTCAATTTTTTCCATGATTGAAGTTTCATTGACCCAATAAAATCTAGCTGTAACAGCTTTGGAAGATTTTATTTAGGCCAATTTTTATTGTGTTTTGTTTTCGCCGTATCGAAATATCTATTTGCAATTAGTTTTTACATTCTGCACAGTGAATTCCCGCAGAATAACCTAAAAATTAAGAACCGACAACATTTTTCACTTTTATTAAACATCATGTGTTTAAGGGTCTTTTTTACTTTACACTTAGTAAGGTTTTATTCAGGTATCCATTGTCCAACTATGGCCGTGAGAAAACCCAGTGACGTAATGCAGTTTAGGGCAGCCCAGTTCGATAACTAAGGGACCCCGATCATCAGGGACCCCCAAGATAATTTTATATCTCTGATTTTCAGATTTCACTCAAGTTCACGTTGTTTTTTAAAAGTTTTAGAAGCTTATTAACTGAAGAGTAGTCAGTTCACCCCTAGTAAATGGCAAAAGTTATTATTTTTGAATCTTGCTGTTTTGTTTAGCATGCTATACACCACAGGAATTGAACCTTCTAACTTTCTGTAGATAGAGGTTCTGTTTTAGTTTTATTCCTAAGGGCCCAAGGTGCCTTTGTTACGTCGCTGCCTTTTTTCCAGGCATTTCCCAGCAAATTCTTCACCAAAATGCACACTTTTAGTAAAAACCTAATATAAGTGCTTTTGTCACTGCACTTCCTATTTGCAGCATTAAAACAAGACCCAAAGACAGTCTGACATTTGAAGACGTAAATTCTTTTGTACCGGGATTTACAGTAACTCAATAAAAAGATATTTATGATAATGATGTTTTAACAAGATAAGACCAATCGGATACGGCTAGATAAGCAAACAGACGGTAGACATCGTCTTTCAATTGTTAAATTTTCATTGTCTGTCAATTGTTAAATTTTCATTAGAGAAAGCAGTTTTGTTACATACTACTATTATTCTTGCTGATAGAAACGAAAGCTATGGAGACTCCCATATATTGACTTAATTTATTTCAGCAAAGTACCCTCCCTTTTTGATAGCCAATTCTCAAGTTTCACAGATCACTAGAATCTTAGACAGATCTGTACTAGTCTTGAGTACACCTTTCATTCCACAAAAGTTTTTTAATGTGGCCTTAGTTCTCAATTCCTCTTGAATAATATACCAATGGCATCGATCCTTTCGTATAACTGCTCTTTTTTGGACTTCCAAAACAACGAAGTTGAAGCAGTTTGTTTCTTTTTGTAGGGGATCTGTGAATGACTTATTTCTACAATTAATGTGCATCCCAAAGGGAAAAAGATTGTTTTTTCGATCGCTGAAGTACTTTAATAAGGTAAATTTATTTTGTCGATGATACAGCTTTTAGATATGCCTTTTACATTTAAAGATTACTTTATCGATACAAACAAAGCCTTGGGCCTTAAAACGATGTAATGAGCATGACAGAAACCATTACATAGACCTTTATACTGACCAAAAAATACTAAGTTATTAACGCTTGCTCAACTTGTAACATAATGTTTCAACGATTATTGATTTGATTTTTACAAGCCATACCTGCAAAAGTTTAATATAGAATAGCTTTTTTAATAAGTTACTTTGTTTAGTAAGTATTTTTCTTTATATCATTCCTGACTTTTGGACGTTAGATTACATGGTAATAGGTATCGCAGCCTTTGAGTTTTGAAACTGTAAGATTGTCAAAATATTGGTTTTTAGACCAAGGTTTTTAGCAGCTCTTACAAGGCTTCCATGGCCTCTTGCTTTTACAAATAGTTAGATTCGAAAGGTAGCATCTCACCAGTGAATGAACAAATTGTGAACGAGAACTCGCATATTTGTGAAAATACCAGTAGATTTGAATATTTTAACTGTTTGACCTTAACAAAATCTAGGTATTCGTGACACGTTATAACAATGAAAAATTTGTTGTCAAAGCATTGGATAACTGTCTTTAAAGCAGAAAGGTACCGTCTAAATACATACGTCTAAAAAGATAATTTTTCTTAGTCTATTTTGACTATGGCCAAAAGTTCTCATAATTGAATCTGTTATTTTTAGGAACAAGAAGATAGTGCAATTCTATCTGTTATAAGTAATTTGCAACTTTTGACGAAAAAGGATTCACATGACAAGGTAATAAGCCGTGGTTTCTTCCTTACTTCCAACATTTTCTTTATAATACATTATGAATTGATTTGATAAATTGAAATCAAGGTCGAACAAATCAGATTTTCTGTTTTTAGATACCTTTTATCATACTACAAGATTCTAATCCGTAGTGATCTATCGTTTCTCTAACATCATTTTCTCTAACATCGTTACTCTAACATCGTTACTCACTCGGTTAATAAATTTGTAAAAATCTTGCATAACCTAAAATGTTTGGTTGTGTTGTTGAATGATGACATGGTCACCCTTTTGGGAATCGATCACCCTTTTGAAATTGCTGTTGAATCCCGCAAATACGAATTCTGTAGGAACCAAGTAAAAAGCTCGTAATACTGGAAATTCGGAACAGCGGGAGTTCGTTATAGCGGTAGTTCGTTATAGCCGGAGTGTGTAATAACGGGAGTTCGTAATAGCGGGAGTTCGTAACAGCGATACTTCCTTTTAAAGGGTTTTCCACATAAGGCTACGGTGCCTTTTTCTAGAAATATCCTTGGAATAAAATCAGGTTCTCAGTTTGAATAATTAACATATTTCTTTGATAAGTTCGAAATGTTTGCACCATACTAATTTTTATCGAAACTGATAGCCTGTTTTTTCATTTCAGATTCTGCTACCGCTTATAAACATAGTCTCTGGAAAACTGCCCAGTATAAAAGAGTCGTTTTTATCAAAAGTTGTTACAGCTTTACTTGCTAACAACCTTTCTCAACTTTTTCTCTTTTCAGTAAGTATATTTGTTTCGTTTTTTCAACACTTTCATCGTTAGTTTCATACAAGTTCATGCTAGATTTTTAAATTTTCCCCTTGACAACTACATTATACTATCAATTTTCTTTTAGTTTGGGATAAATTTTGTATCAAGTCTGTTTGAGCACGTGAAGCAGTTATTTGTGACGGAACAGAGTTCAATTTCTGCGGACGTCAAGTCGCAATGGTAGGCCGTTAGTTCAGTTTTTATAATCGATGCTAAAAGTCTTTTTGCAACGTCCAATTTAGCCACCCTCTCATCCTTTAATAAGGATGGCTCAGTTGAGGTGCGAGGATGGCTCAGTTGTTAGAGGCGCTGACTACAGACCCAAGGATCCGTGGTTCGAGTCTCTGGCATGACCAAACTTTCACCCAGTGTGAGGAGAGTCACCAGCTCTCTGTAATTCCAGGCGTAGGAATCACGAGGTGTGGTCACATCGAGAGGAAGGACCAGGACACTGCTCGATAAGCATAGGCTTCTCGGTGTCCTAAAAACTACCTTCGGATGCTAGGTAGCAACAAATACAAAAAAAATTCTTTAACAATGTTTTTACTACAAAATGACCAACGAGCTAATAAAGGATTTTTTTCATTTAACCTGCCGTTTGATATTTACCCAAAAGATCACCATCAGCGGAAGTTATATTTTTTGGGGAAAAGAGGAAAATAATTCGACAGTGCTCAAGCCGCTTGAAGCTCTTAGAGATTTTAGCATACAGTCATCATATAGCCCCAGCCCATAGCCCCAGTGGTGGTCGGTGTACCCATGAATTGACGTTTTTCCTCCAATCATTCCTGTTGCAAGCCATGTGACAAAGGTGTTGGGTGTCACATCCACTCCATTCCTTCACGTCATCCAGCCATACTCTTCGTGATCTGCCTCGTCTCCTTTCACCTTCTCATAAATTGACGTTTTTCCTCCAATCATTCCTGTTGCAAGCCATGTGACAAAGGTGTTGGGTGTCACATCCACTCCATTCCTTCACGTCATCCAGCCATACTCTTCGTGATCTGCCTCGCCTCCTTTCACCTTCTCATAAATTGACGTTTTTCCTCCAATCATTCCTGTTGCAAGCCATGTGACAAAGGTGTTGGGTGTCACATCCACTCCATTCCTTCACGTTATCCAGCCATACTCTTCGTGATCTGCCTCGTCTCCTTTCACCTTCTCATAAGTTGACGTTTTCCTCCAATCATTCCTGTTGCAAGCCATGTGACAAAGGTGTTGGGTGTCACATCCACTCCATTCCTTCACGTCGTCCAGCCATACTCTTCGTGATCTGCCTCGCCTCCTTTCACCTTCAACCACCCCCTGTATACAGTAGCTCTATTAAAACCTAATCAATTCTGGAAATATATTAGACCACATATCGAGAACATGTTATGTGAGGCTATAGAATTGAGTGTTTTTAGAGGCGATCGACAGCTACTTAATCCATCTCTCAATCAACAGCAACTAGCCCCCGGCAATATAGAACTATTTCAAAAATGTCATAGATAACCACAGTCTTCAATGCATATTCAAAGATGCATCGACAAGTATTTGTTCGATTGATGGATGTTCCGGTTATGATCACTTGGCTGACAACTGTTTAATATCTAGAACTTAATTATAAATCTTTTCTTTGTAGAGATAGCTAGCATTTGATTTAAAATGTAGAAATCAGAAGATATGTAGTTTTAAAAAAGCATTGTAGTTACCATGAATGTTAGATTCAAAAAAAAATTCTGTTTTGGTAATTACCCATTTGAAAGGGTTAATTCTGCTAATTCCAAGAAATTACATTTTTAGGTCATTGTCATCAGATGGCCTTTTACATTTGACGAAATTTTTTTATTTTCTTTAAATTCGTGACGTTAAAATTCTCAGAAATAACTGATGTCTTTGGAGTATATTGAAATATGGTCTTATGCTAGTAGATGTCTTTCTTTCATTTCCCCTTTCACAATTTTCGCTTTTCTCACTTCTAGGATCTTTATGCTCGTTTTTCCTGTCATAGACTTTGTTTCATTTCAGCCAACATCTTCGCGATGAAGTATCCACAGCTGTTGATCAGATTGCACCAAAAAGCCTTGAAAGACATTCAGCAGAGATCGATCGACTGACTGCCTCTTTGCAAATGACGTCAGTGATTCCACAACCACATGGTGTCGAAGAATAACCATCGCAGATGGGTGCTATTCTATTGAAGGTGAATTTCTTTGTACTAAAATCTTATTTCAACTGGTATGAGTTGTAGCTTTGTATAACTATTTTATATTTATATCATTTAGAATTTCACTTTTTTCCTTTTCTCTTAAAAAACATCGTGTCGTTTCGTTTTCAAGTTTCCCAATTGGCAAGCTCTTTGGCACTTGGCTGACTAAAAATGATATTTTCTGTTTTATTTTTATACCTGTAAACATTGCTATTGATACGTAATGCATTGCTATTGATACGTAATGCGTACTTACATACTCTCAACCGTTAATGCTATCTTATAGATAGGTCTAGGTTTTCTGTGAAAATGTTTGAATTTAACCATTAAGTACCCTTGCCATAATGAGGTCATTGAAATTCGCAAGGATTTATGGTGTGCAGAATCTGAAACTGATATTGTTGATGACTGTATGATATTTGGTATTTTGTATAATTTATTAGTTTGTTTACTTATCCAGGTTTTCATAGAAATGTTAGGGACCTTCTTTGTCAAAACGTCAGCCTCTTAGGACACGATTGACTCAATTTGGCGTCATTGTTTTATGCTGCTCAGTAAAGCTTCTCCGTAAAGTTCGAATAAATCCCGTTTCTAAAAGTGTTACTACGAGAGGCTCTTGTCAAGTTATATGTATTAATTTCTTCTGTACTGTAGGCTTCGATTAAAGTCACATCAAAAGTTGGTCAAAAACCTATGACAGCAACTGTAGTATAACTGTGTATAAAAAGCTAAATTGAACATTGCGTACTTGGGTCCAAATCTTATATGACTTTAGCCGGTAGTGTACTCTAAATGGAGTAACTATAAGCGGAGTTGACTGTAGAATTCTATTTAAGGCCAAATCCTTATCAAGACTGTTACGTTCCTTGTGCTCCAATCTGATTGTGCATATCGCATTAACAGCTTTACCAACCATAAATTTCCGTGGCTATTTGCTGCATTTATTTATTGAGTTTTCATCCGTTTTTGCAATTAGTGATCTTTTATTTGAAATCTAGTCATAACCACAAACTAATGTTTTACTTTTCTTTTATCTTAGCTTTGGGCTCTTTGCTTCAAGAAGCAAATTGAATTCTTTGGACAGTTGCGTTCTTATTTTTCTATAATTCTAAATTGCATTGTTTATGAATTCAACCGTATTGTAAATGCATGTTGCTTTGATCATTAATTTACATGCTTTAATGTTTTTCCACTAATCTTTTAATACGCCCCACCTATAGATAAGCCTAACTCAATGAACCTCCTCACATCTTTGTGTATCTGAAGGAGCCTTTTTATCAACTTCTGAGGTTGCAAAGTTTCTGAGAGCAATGATTTGTTAACAGCAGCTATGCAAACCCTAAATGCTAAGTTTCCCTTACGATATAAACATCCAGTTTTGAGTATACCCTGCCCTTATAAAATGTGAGCCACAATTATTTCAGAAACAACTTTTTGTGACCAAGAGACTACGAATCGTTTGGTCTTTTGGAATTCCACGTTAGGAATGAAGAATCACGAGTGCAGCATTGTAGATCTGGTAATAGTCCTTAGGAGTCGAATATGAACGCTATCAATTGTTGTCACTCTCACTGCTCACAGCCCGATAACTCTTCCATTTATTTTTTCGAGTTATCCTTATACCTCTATACCTGATTTACAGTCTAAGCTATAATCACGTACCTGTAACTAAGTAGATGCACGCTTTTAGCCGTCAAATAGTCCCTATACCCCAAAATACTATTATTTCTAATATATGCCCCCCATTCTCTTTAAGAAATCCACACCTGTCAATATTTCCCCACGCATGAAAATTTCGGGCTTTCTACTCCTTTTACTCCGTAATTATAATTGTACTCTGATTGCATATTTAGATTTCTGTAGACATTTTAAAGAATAAGAACCGGTTGCTATCGCACAAAACTAAGCAACTTACCATGCACATATCAAGTAAGATTAAAAATTGGAACACAATGAGTATGCCTAAGTTAAATGGGACATGTACATGTTGTTGAGCGACTAACCACGAACAAATACCCTTTTTTAATTGCTAGTTTATAACATCTTTTGTGTTATATATTAAGATGCAGATCTTTTACGTAATTATATTCGTTTTCAAGCAACTCCTGTTGAATAATTTGGGTGATATTAGTTAGGCCCAAAACAAGGGTGCTATTTAATATGCCCTTGCATATCAGGTAGAGAATCGCATCGATTTGTGTATCACCAGGAGTGACGTTGTGTATTTCTTAAGAACATATCTCCGCCTAACGCTTTTTTGTACTCCGTAAATTTGTCTCTTTTCTCTTGTTAATTTCTAACTCAATTGTTATGGATAAAAACAGATTACCATCTTTAAGGGGCTTCTTCAACAAAGAAAGCTACAACCCTCACAGGATTATCAGACGTTAATGCTACGCTCTCAATTCGTAGTGCCCGCGGATGGCCGACGGTGCGGCGGTTACGTCGTTCGTTTCAGCACATAGAATGTTAAGGCGCTCTTGTGTATAGAAAAGGGCGGATATATTGCTTAGTGATCGCACTAAGCGGGAAACTGTGAGTCGCAACTTAGAACCGCTCTGTTCTATCCACTAAAAGGTGTACAGCTCTGTCTACACGGCATCAAACACTATATAACAGAGCGACGAGGTAATGATTCTTATAACTACTTGTTGTATTTAAACTATCAGATAGGTTAAAGTTCAAGGGGGGTAATGGATTTTACCCACCATTAGGCTAATGCATCTGTTATTCTTAAGGTATATGGTTGAGTATTTCAATCGCGGCATGAGAAGATGGCAAAGTTTGAGAGATTAGGTGCTTGGTAATTATCCCCCTCCACTTCCATTAATCCTTTAAATTGATAAATGCACTAGGTAGGGATGACCTTTTTGTATTCTTTGCCTGGGAAAATTTAGACCTGGTGTGGTGTACAGCGAACTATGCTAAAAAGGCGTTGTCTCAAGGTTCCACCCTAAATCATTCCCATTATAATCCCTCTCCACAGGAGCTGATGCCTTCAGTGAATCTAATACTTTGCGACGTAGAAAAAACTGAATGAGCCGACTTCGTGAATGTGAATCACTGTGAAACACCACTCACGTGGCTTACCATTGAATACAAGTGAAAAGTAAGTTAATAAGATACCCTAATGAGGATTACCCTAAGTAATGGATATATTTAAACTGTTAATGCAGTGGCTAGATTGTTTGGTTTGTAGTATTGGCACTCGCTGAAATGTACCAACCTCAAGCAGCCACTTGCATCTGATTCCAGCAATGAATATGGAAATCGGATAACAAGTTGAGTATAACCGATAATGGCAATTGATATGATATCACAGTCTAATCTTTTTAATATACTAGTGTTTTTTAAGTCTTTAAGACTCTTTTCATCATCTGGTCTTTCTTCAATGGTACAACATTTTTCTCTAGAATAACTAAGGAGACTTTATAAATGAAAGACGTCATCTTCTTCAATGGTCAAACACGGTATCATCAGCAGAATGCTTTCGTGGTTGCGTGGGTAAAACTAAATATTTAACAGTACCATAAGAACAAGGCATGTCGAAAGTTTGCCAGGTTAATAGGAGCAGACTTTGACTGAAGGGCGTAAAGGTTGTAGGCGGTGGAAGGAAGCCAAGAAAAAATGAGGGTTTGGGGTAATGCCCAGAGTATTTTTGCTACCACATCCTACAGCTTGGCCTAAAACAACATCAAACTATATTCATTGTATGTGGAATTTTGTACCAAGGTGAATATTTTAGAATCTCAAAAGCACATTTTTGTTCATGTGGATACCTTGTTTAATTCGCTAAGGGTGATGTTTAGTTTCCCCATAGACATTTAGACCTTGAATGTTGTTACCACCGATAAACAGTTACAATTTAAATGCCCACTACAGCGGAGATTGCCCAAGTCCAGTAAAAATTGAGCCTTTTCGTAACACAGGGTTTTCGTCAAGTACTAATGTCATGGTGTGTAGAGCTCTGACAGACATTGGCAGACGTATAAATTATATAAAACCTATGTGGGGGATAATTATGCAGCACTCGCTAGTCGGCAGACTAATTGCTCTAGGGCTTTTAAAGCACTTTCTACCCCCTGTTGCCCCCTCTGGTCAAAAGCACAGGGGTAGCTGCCTCTTCTGCTTCCTTTCTTTTTAAACCTCTGAAAACCGTTACACAACGTAAATGGAAAATTTTGCAGTTGGTACAGATTAGTTTTGTCTACATTGTGGTCAAATGCTGGAGCCTAATTAGGGTTATAGAGTCAAATAAGTTCTAATTAGGGAATAATTCAACGTTTATATACATAAAATATATTAGAAATTATGTACTGTGGTTCAGAGGGTACATATACACCATACGGTAGTGTTAGCTCTATGAAAATGTACCCCAAACAAGTCCAAATGTTTCCCATTTCAATACCTCACCAAATAATTGTATATTTTCAGTTGAGCTATAACAACCATTTCATTACACAAAGTAAAATTCAAATAAATGCGACCTCTTCTATCTACTCCTTAACCATAACTTCCGTCTTCTTTTTCCTAAGATTTTCGCATCTCAGTTACGCTACACCGATACTTTGACCATTATCCTTGTCGAAACGCTTTGCTTAGACAAACAATATATCACTAATATTTCGTTTTGAATGAGATCCAAGGCTGCAATGTCATGAAGATCAGGGGTATGTTAAATCTGTAAAGACTTGGCTTGAAAAATCGGAGTGAATCTCTCAGATAAGTTACCTTTGCAAATCAGTATGTGAAAACATCGAAATTCCTCTTTCGTTTGCTTTTAGCAAAACCAATGATTGGTAATTTTATTGGAGAGCTTTGTGTTTATTGACCAATTAAAAATAAAAGACAAGCCGCGATTGTGAATAAAACCTACTTATCCTTTATCTTCTAGTTCAACATGAGACAGAAAAGCTCAAACATATCAACAACAGCAATTTCACATCTAAAATAATAAAGCGGTTCATTTTTGGGTACCAGTGGTGCCTCTTGATACTGGGGTTCTGAAGCCAGTAGGAATGTAACGGGCCAAGGCCGATAATTAAAGATTTTGCAAGCGTATCTTGTTCAAAAATGATGGGAGGGGCCACGAACCCCTGCGGGGGTCGAAGGCGCCTTTTTTTCCCAATTATAATTATTTTCTCGTTTCTTGGTGCACTGGAACATCAAACAGCTGAAAATAAAGTAAGGCGCTTTAATCAGTAAAATGGAAATTAATTATTTGACTTCGAGGTATGCTCTTACAAACAATAAGCTTGACACTTGCCAATGTTTCTAGCATTGTTTTGTAGCAACATGATAGTCAGCCCTCTTTTACAGTTGATCATGACTTGGCCTATATTGTGAAGGCTCTTCGTATGTTTCATCTTTCAGGGTGAAAAGCCTAGAAAAAGCTTGAAAAATGCACCGCAAGGTTTCCTAATAGTACCTTTGCACCAGTATAGACTTTAGGTTTTGCTTAACATCCTAACTAAACGAATTTTTTTATTTTGATTTCAACATATCCTATTTTATCTAATAAACATCCACTAAACGCAATTTTTTTTTTATTTAAACATATCCTATTTTATCTAATAAACATCCGCTCTGTAATAAACGCCCTCTCCAATTATAACCCCTTTCCAATAAACGCCCTCCATAAACCAAATTTGTTAAATAAACGCCCATAGTCCTACAAACACCCGGAGCAATTATGAAAAAATTGAAAAGAAGAATTTCGTGTTTTATTTCAATTCTATAGGCAATATTGGAAAGACATCATCATAAAATAATTTTGATGTTGTGCGTTGCTCTGGTCAACTAATGGTTCAGATGACAAAAATGTATGATGTTTCAAAGTGGATAATAAGTTGTGCCAGATTATGAAGAAGCAAGTTGATATCTGCTTAAAATAAAAAAAATATAAAAAACAGAACAGGCTAAGATTCAACAAAACTCAAGGAAGAAAATACAATTTAAAGAAAGAAGATTCATTTTAAATAGAAGGGTTTTAACGTGGAGAGAAATCAATCAACTGGAATTGATTGAAGTAAAAGGGAAGATGATATTTCAGCAATTAATTTAGCTACACATGAGTAGATTTGAAAAATGATCTGTTTTTTGCAAAAAGCATGTGTGCCAATAAACGCCCTCTTTAATAATCGCCTCTGCTCTAAGCCAAATTTTAACCAACGCTGCACGTTTAATAAATCAAATATGTAGTTCTGCATACATTTGAGTTCATCATTAATGTATTTCAAGGCCCCACCCCACCTAAAAGTCTTTTGACAATTTACGGCGTCGTCTGCAGTCCATTCCAGACAGAAAGATTCTATGAGCAGACAATAAACAGCAATGGTTAACTTTATGAGATGAGAAAACCTTTTATTTTGTTGGTTGGAGCGATATTTCCGTCGCAAATGTGAGAAGAGACTGAACCATTAGAGAATGTAAGATATATACTAAAATTATCCTTAGCGTAATTAGTTTCCACTACATGAACTTTGTCGAATCTTGGAACATTGCCAGATTATTTAAACCAAGCTCTGAGAACTTCAAAGAGTAAACAATTTGCTTTGAACTACCGTATTTCCTCTAATTAACGCAGCCCTCTGATAAACGCCGCCCTCTATTGAACGCCACACCTTCAGCCAACCATTTGGAAAAAACGCCGCCCTCTGTGGAACGCCGCATCTTGAAATGCGGCGTTCATTAGAAAACACACCAAACAAGAAAAAAAGAAATTGTTTATACGCTTACTAATCGAAAGCAATGAAAGTTTTTATCTCATAGAGACGAATACTCTGACAGAGACAGGGATATTGCCATTCATTGACTTGACTTGACATTCTTTTTATCTTTTTTCGTCGCATTTTTCTTGTCATTTTTCATTTGACAAACTTTTCATTTTTTATTGAACGCCGCCCTCTGATAAACGCCGCTTTCTATTGAACGCCGCATCCAAAATTTGGAGATTGTATAAACGCCGTGGCGTTCTTTAGAGAAAATACGGTATTGAAATCCAGTATTTCACAGTAGTAGAAATGAAAAAAATTCTGAGAGAGATGTGGAGGATTTTGCTATTAGCTAGTAGAGCTGTTTGGTAAAAGAATAAAATTTTATGTTGAAATGTTTTTTTCAAGAAATCTATTTATCATAGGTCTGAGTTATAATTTTTTCTGAAAGATTGCCTGAATCTGGTTTTAATCCATGTAGAGAGGGTATGGTAGAAAAGAATAGGATTTTTCCTCTGTTAATAAGATCACTAATAGTGTAATCAATGAAAAATCATTCAAAGCACAGCTATAAATATTTACAACAATATACTGTATAAAAGACTTTAAAAATCAAACATTTTGGGTGCAATACCTTGAAATTTCCATCCAGAGGTTGCATAGATTTCCATCATTGTTTCATTTTTGTTTTCTTGGTTTTTAGCAGGTCAAACATGAAACAAAATTTTCTTATCTTTTGTGGTTTCTGCACGTGATTTTGTGTTTTGGAGAAAATGTGTACGAATAAACAGCATTGCTTTGCACCCCAGTCAAGCATCTTCTCCTTCGAAACGTATCTGCATAACCCGGAATCTCGCAAGAAACATAACGATAATGCCATACTTCCTTCTCTTTTTTTATAAGAACAATTCTATAAGAACACAAGTCTCAAAATTAGTCAAAAATTAAGAACAAATTAAGAACAAGCTGAGGTTGAGAAACTGTAGCTAAAATGCAATTTTGAGCAAAGTTTTAACTCAAAAACGAGGAATTTTAAAGTGTACCTGTTTTCAGCGAAAAGGAGCTACGATTCAAAGATAAGCCGGTCTGGAAAGTATTTCCAGAGATCATTCCAAGGCAGACCAGGATGCCGGCTTTACAGAATTTTTGTAATAAAAAACTCCTTACATAAGATAGCTCATAAGCAGTTTTGTTTTGATGGTTGTTTTAGTTTAGAGTATTTTTGTAATATTTTTTCCTAATTTAGTGTTTGTGATGCTCTTTGAAGTAAATGTACGATGGGAAAGAAAGGAGAAGGCTAATAAACAAAAGGCATCTTAACCTAGCGACATAAATCAATAAAAGTCCAGGGAGTTGGACTTAGTGTTAACATAATGTCACCAAACAGGATTAGCTCTCTTATGATAGACTAAAAATGCAAGAGGCGTCTCAAATAAATGTTTTCAAGGAAGAGAAATATGCAATAGAGAGCTAGTGGTAAATCAAAGCAAGAAGCAATCGAAGCTGTATAAGTTAAACGTTAAGATAGTTTGTAGTTTAGACAGCATGATATCATTGATGTGTTGATACATGAGGTAATTGGTCTGTGCTTAAGTCTGCTTGTGTAGAATCTTCGCAAGCAAGCCTTTCCTGCACTATTTTACATCTGTTACATTTTCCCTATTAATAGATTATGCTTTTCTGTTAGAGCACCTTCAGGTGATTTCGAGCAGAGTATCGTACAATCTACAATCTAAATCATCACTATGGCAAAAGGACTAGGACCTCCATAGGAATTTGTTCACGTTTTTCAAAATGTACGGATAGGCGTTGAATTCAAATGATCATTGGTATTTGCGTCCTTCCCAAAAATTTAAAATTCAATCCAAAGACTTTGAATTAGTGTTGGGCAGCAAAAATTTCAAAATTTGCGACAAATTTCAACCAGAAGCTTGCTAAATGTGGTTTTTTAAAACGCCTTTCAAAGCTGCTCGCGTCTACTAATCATATTAGGTTCGCCCAACCAACTGCAACCACTGGAATTGTTTTAACTGTCAGTCTATAACTCATCGAGATTCATAACGCAGTCTTGACTTGATAGAATGGAAGGAGCTTTTAGTGTCAAAGGTCGAGCTGAAAAACTCAAGGGCAGAACGTTAATGACGGTTTACAGCTGTGAATGAGTCTTAATATGCCACAGAAGAAGGACTGAGAAGTCCAACCGAATGACCCTTCCTGTTGAAAACAAGTCTCGAGTAAATTGAAGAAATGATGTCGCAGTCTGAAGGACAAACCATGAAAAAGGCATTGGCGTGGAATTGCTCGTGTTGGCTGGTACCTTTTGCAGTACTTTCCATACTTTGCGTGATGATGTCGTCCATTGCTCTTTTTATATCAGTTTCTTCGACAAAGAGACTACAACAAGAATTGCAGGTCGAGCTTTCAAGAATTGTAAAGGAGGTCGAGGATCTTCAGTTGAAGTATCGAGTTACAAAGACAGAAAATACTGGCGGTAATCTACTGGTTTCACAAACATTTCTATTTGAATTCTTTTTTTATTCAGCCTCGTTATTTTAAAAAATTTTCAATCGCAGTCTAAACGTATTTTTAAATTATTCTTAAACAATGGAGTGGATGATTTTTTAAGATAATGTTAAAGATAAAGACAATCTACAGAACCCAGTGTAGCATAGTTTAGACTTCTTGTGCTGTGTGTTGCTGTATAATTGTAAGTTTTGTTATCATAGTGACTGAAAATTGCAATGAAAAACAGAGTTTACTTTTAATGTCAATAAACCTGAAATTACTTGTACTATTAATCCTCGCTATTACAAATCTATAAACTACATTTTTTAAAAAGTGATATGCAAATGAATGGTTAAAGAAACTCAATATAATGCAACTTGATTTGAAATTCAATTGGCACATTGTGAGCACTTCACATTGTGAATGCATCGGAAAGGCCTTATAACATCTGAGAAGACAGTTACACATTTCATAATCGCCTTTTGATCTTAAAACGAATACAGCACACAATTTGACTCTTTTTATTCTTTTCTTGTAAGCACGTCTATTTTTAAATAACTACGGGTAACTATTTTCTATTTTAAGTTTACATTTTCAAATGCATAGTAACAGATAACCACCAAAAACATTTGAACCTATCGTACGGATGAAAGATCACAGACTTTGGACGTATTTAAGAAAGGCTCTAATTAGCACCTTAAGATTTATGTACTGAAAACATTGAAATATTGGTGAAAGACGGAAAATGAAGCTTGAATTGTTCAGTTAGCGTTGTCCCCACGTATATAACGAATTGCAATTAAAGAGTAAAACCAAAACTTATACTATAATATAATCATAAACAGGAGATGATTCTACCGATTTATTCCGGCATTTTTAATATTAACAAGCAACAAAATCGTCATAATGCAAGCAAACATCAACAAAAAGGTTGAAGGATTCTTAATAAAGTGCTGATAAGACAATTTTTTTTTTGCCGTTTTTCATCTATAAGTATATGCATGAGGGAAGTGATGTTATGTTATCTAGATCAGGGCGTGGTAAGAAGCTCACCTCGGCGTCAGCTGTGTTCTTTGTATTTCTTAATTCTTTCATTGCCAATAGGGGCAGGGAAGAGGATTGAGGAGCAATCAAAAAGTAATAGTAGCCTGCTTGTATGGGACTCTTGAAATAGTTGCACCGGTTTGCAAGCACGAAGTCCGATGCAAATAGCTCTGATATGCTGTTGACTTCTTTTCAAAAACACCAAGAGTGCAGAAAATTCAGGAAGGAAATCAAAAGACTTTATCAAGCTTGAGGGCTGATCGTCCTCGCTCCTATGAAAGAGTCAGATATCGTTAGCTATAAAATCATGTCAAAGATACTGAGACCCTGTAGTGGTAGGTTAAAGGTCCGAGAGCAAGGTGAAGCGAGAACTGAATCTTATTTAAGAAATGAACTATGAATTATATTCTTGCCTGTAATCATAGTATAAATGAATTTTACCCACTGAACAACAAGTCAATCGTTTTACGTCTGTGCTTTAAAACCCTCACTTTATCCGCTAAAGATGCAATAGCAGTCAATCTAAGAGACAGGTTTTCATTTGCTTGATTTTAAGTGAACTATTTTTCTACCCGCAGATCCTTTTGTGAAATTGAACTCCAGAATCCGACGCACCCTTCAGAAGAGCCGAACATTTGGACTCTTGAAAGCAATTCAGAACACTTGCAATGTTTATCTTCAAACATATGGAGCCCTTGACTATCGGGACGATCTCTATCGAGGAGATAGTGGAAAGGGAGGTAAAGGATATGAAGATGATGCACTTCGATCTCCTTATTTCTATAATGCTAAAGTTCAAGCATTGCCTGAGAACAAGCATCATGGACCAAGAGGTCAGCCCGGGCCACAAGGACCACCAGGTATCCCAGGACAACCTGGACCTCCTGGATCAATCGGTCCACCTGGTCCTCCAGGTCCGCCAGGCCCCCCAGGCCCAACTGGTCTAAGTAGTCAACCAAGTCCAAGGGGGAAGAGAGGACGGAAAGAATCACTTGAACTACCTTTGAGGAAGAAAAATCATGGCATTAGAGACTCATCAACAGGATCAAGTGCTTCGTTGAAACCTGCGAAAATTGTTAAAGCCCCGAGGAACGTTGAAGTTAAAAAAGGATCATCTGCCATCTTTACCTGTGAAGCTGAAGGTGTACCGGAGCCTACTTTAAGTTGGCGAATTAATGGGAAAAGCACAGAAATGTTTTCAAGAGTCACTGTAGTACGTAAAAAAATGCTGCACATCCCAAGAGCAACAAATGGCGGCAATATTGAATGCATCGCTACAAATTATATTGGTGCAGATACCAAGACCGCCAATCTGACAATCCTGGGTAAGTTTTCAAAGAAAATAAAATAAAGATTTTCTTTGTGATCGATTATTGATCACAATTGTTGGCATGATTATGTTTAAAATTGCTATGATTTCATTCTTTTTCGTAACAAATATTGCAAATCTGATGGCGAGAAAGAGAGAGACCATTGCAAAACTTTAGCTGCATTCGACATGAAGCCTCATTCAGGATGTAGCTAGGAAATAACTGTACATCTGGAATGCATGTTAAAATTACAATGTACATTAAAATCATACAAAATGGCGAATGCAGGCTAAAATTACCTACTGAGAAACCTACCCCCCCCCCTCCCACTTATTGCAAAGCAAGTAGTTCAAGAGCTGCAGTTAAAGGAGAAAAAGCCTTGGTCCTCTACTTTTGCTAGCCTTGGCCCCCCCCCCAACTTTCAAAATTGGGGCGTAGGCCCTGTACATACCCTCTCTATCATTCCCAAAATTTTATTCTCAATCATACCACCCCCCATCCCCCCCCCTCTGCCCTCAACACCCTCTTGTCTTTTATTTCAATCATTGAAGTTAGCTATTCATAATTATTACGAGAAAAACACTTTTTTGCTTTTAGTTCCTCCCGTTATAACTCTGAGTCCGAAACAAGCAGTTATTTATGAGAATTCTGGCAATTTCACTGCAACTTGCAACGCGACTGGCAATCCTGTGCCAAAAACCTGGTGGGAATCAACAAAGAAACGGCAAAAAAAAGTCGGCACTTCAGGTCCTGGGATATTATTCATCGAAAACCCGAGACAAAAGGACAGTGGCAGTTATAAATGCGTTGCTTTAAACTCGGTGGGCAAAACATATGGATTTGCTATGATTGTTGTATTGAAAGGTAAATATTAAGCTTTTGTTATACAACCAGGACCATAGCAATTTTCTCTCTTTGATGGTCTTGCACCCCCATCCCCCCCCCCCTTCAAAAAAAAATTTGCCGGAATGAATTGATGTTGATGATAAATTGGTAAATAAAAAAATCGACCTTTGAAATTTCCGAGTTCAAACCAATAATTTCGAGATATCTGCTAACACGTATAGCTTTGAAATAAATATAGCCAAGGGTATCGTTTTTCAATATTAAACTATGTCTTTGGGATTCTTTTTATAGAACCTAGTCCAGTAAATATTTCTACAGTCTTTTCTATAAGAACCAGTAAATTTAAGTTCAGGCATACAGATCTTAATTTTTCGAATTGACGCTGGATTTTTCTTAATTTTTCTTAAATTAAAGAGGGTGTAAGCAGTGCGATTGATAGCTTTTTGGCTCTAGGGACATGTTCAGGCCTTATTTGCCAACAATGTGAGTGCGACAACCTTCATTTGCCAACAAGTTTGAATGTTCACCGAAAAGCACCCACATATGGCTAGAAATCTAAGTTTTTGAGATAAAACGTTGCTCGAAATTGCATTTTACAGTAACTCAGCCTCGACTTGTTCTAAAAATTTGTTCTTACCTTTTGACCAATTTTGGGGCTCGTGTTCTTTAAAATTGTTCTTATAAAAAAGAGTGTATTTTCGTAAAAATTAGTCTAGCCAACGGCACTACTTTGAATGTGCTCGTGGCAGACCCTTACCGAAAATTTAGCCAAGAACAACATCCCCCAATTACATCAAATTTAATGCAATTTTCTCTACAACATAGATGAGTGCTTGAAGAATCCTTGCCTCAACCACGGAACTTGTGCCAGTAAAAGGAATGGATACCAGTGTACATGTGTAGCTGGGTTTAGGGGTGAAAACTGTGAAAAAGGTAAGTCATAAAATTAATCTCCTCAGCTTCCTTAAATTTTCAATATTTTTCCACTTTCCTCGGCTTCTTTTTGTTTTCTACAACTCTACTCCGGCCAATGGCCGCGAGGCCGTAATGTATTCCTGACCTTGAGTTTATGCAAGTCGTCAGAAGTAAATGAAATTAGTGACAAGCTGAAAAGCTCCGAAGAGTGGATGGCTCAAAATCATTTTATAAATATGCTAAGAAACCACAAGACAGATTACCGAAAACTGTGTGAGAGTTAAACAAGAATACACAATTAAGGCACAAAGAAGAGAGCTGGCACAAAAGCTGACTAAAAATTGTACAACGCGAAATGAAGGTGTAAAAACTATAGACAAACACATAAATTTAAACTTTACAAATACACATTAAATCCTATTGCTAAACGACTGCAAGTATTATAACCTGAATTTTATGAAGAATAATCCCTCCCATCGAAAAAATGTTTTTATATAATCTTCAGGGGCGCACTATGGCCCAATGAATTACTATCATAAGGATATATAATTGCACAGTAAGACACCGTTTACACTGTGCGGATAAAATTTATCCGCATAAAAGTTGTTCGAATGCGTTTACACTGTGCAGCACAAATTTGTTCACTTTGCCCTCCCGTTTACACTGTGCCGGATAACTGCAGTCACATGACCTAAATCACAGAACGCCCAAAATGAAGTTTTATCTGGGCAACAAAGTAATAACAAAATTCCCGCCAACGTAAAAAGACTTCCTTCTCTCTTCAGAATCATCTGCTTCTCTTTTAGACCAAATCCAAAGATATTTTCAATACAAATCAGGCCTAGTTTGTTTTAATAGTTTGCTCTTGAAACAAAATGACACTGAACTAGCAACGAAAGTAGGGAAAGCTGACAAGGATGCCAATTTTACGTGGACTGGCAAGATACTGCACTTTTAACACAATTATTCATCGACAACAAGGCAGCCAAGATGCGAAAGGTCTTGATTGGGAGACAGTGTAAACTAAATTGGATGAAATAGCCAATCGCTTTCGAGCAAGATACGATGTGGATAAAAATTTTCCGGATAAAAGCGTTTACACTGTACCATATAGCTATCCGAACTAATTTAATCCACTTTCCTAAGTGAACTAATTTTGTTGGGATAGCCGCTCTTAAAATCGTGCGGATAGCGTGGGTCTAGTGTAGACGCGAATCCTAAATGAATTTAACTGATAAAATGCAGATAAAATTTACCCGGCAGTGTAAACGGGGTCTAAATATGCAGGAAACAGGGGAAAGAGGGGATATCGTGCCGGTATTTTCACAGGAGAGGATTAAACAACAAGGGTGCTTTTAGTATAATTAACAGAGGGTTTTTTCTTCGAGGATAAGTTAAATTTAATTCATCTTTCCTCTTTGGTGACAGTTATAAAGCTTAGACATACTTTAATTTATTTGCTCGCAAATTTTTATAGATACAAACAAGGGGGTCTTCATTAAGCAAGACCTAAGCTTTATGAATTTACGTTTTAATAACTTTTTAATTATCTTTCAGATATTTTTAATTAAACCACTAAAAATCAACCTATATATCAAGTTTACAATTCTTTTCAGCTGCGGTCAAATTTTGTTCGATTTTGAAGATTTACGGCTTTCTAAATGATTTAAGAGCATCTTTCACTTATTGGGTTAAGAATATTTTGACAATTATCAATTCTATTGCAACCTTTAAACATTTTCTGGAAGGCAGATAATCTTTTTTGCGTGACATGGCTGACGAACCTAAAGTCTTTTCTTCTACTTTTTACTTGTCCTTTGATATAAAAAAGTATCAGCTATAAAAGTTTAAGCTTCTTCAGCAAGAGCAGCCATCAAAGTTGGTATATTTTCAAAGATTGTCTTGGCTAATTTCCTTCAATGAAAATCGAAAATCATTTCCCGTTCGCGTTAAGGCTGATTTCCACGAGGCGAATTTCGCACGGAAATCGCTTTGAAATTGTCTTTGATTTCAACGAGACTGCGAATTCGTTGCGAAATTATATAATTATTTCCCCCAAAACTCAACTTCAAGGTGCCCATTTTCAGAGCTGCACGCATGGCGAATGTTCCAAGATTGTTTTCTCACACATCAAGCAAATTTACCATGCTTTGACGGGTTATTAGGTGCTTCGAAATATTTATCCGCGAAAAAGTAGAACTTATTTCTACTTTCTTGCGAATTCGCTGCGAAACCAAAAATCAAAACTGCGCGTGCCTTGATGCCTTCATCAGCGATTTCGCCGCGAAATAGCTGCGAAATTCCCCTCATGGAAATCAGCCTTAAGACGCTCCTCTGTCCACAAAAGCTTGACGTAGTGAAAATCAAAATTGACTAAAGGGAGATTGTTGCATGATTGTGGTGACTGGAGTCTTTGTTTTTTCTATGCCTTCTACTCCCGCCAATTTTTCGGTACTTTTGCCGCATACTTGTTCTGCATTATGACGTCATCGCCCTTTAAGTCTTTATGGTTGCTGTATTTAACTGCAGATATTAACGAGTGTGCCAGCGATCCATGCAGTAATGGTGGAAGATGCAACAACCTGAAAAACGGTTTCTCGTGTAGCTGTGCAGTTGGTTTTACAGGCAAAATATGCGAGACAGGTTTGTTGCAAAGAGTGTATTTCCATATCGGATAAGTGCCGAAGAGTTATATTTACATTTCCGCAACCATTTTCGCTGAAAATCCCAACCGTGCTCTGTTAGACATAATGCCATTGAATTATTCTACAATCCTATTTCGCATGGGCAAGAAAGCCATTTTGCCTCTAGGAGACCTCAATGTTGAAGCTACTACTAGCACCCCATCACGGGCGGTATTTTTCCATTGTAAATGTACCCTTGGGATGTGCCGAAAACATGGTTATACTTTTTCGGACCTCCCTATAACAGACAGTCATTTAACTAGGCCAGCATATGACAATGTATTGCAGAGCTATGCTTACAATAACACCCTACTTTAAGTCAAGGCTTTTCAAGAATCATTCTATATGATTAGCTGAAGTCAAAAGAAATTAATTCGTTATGTGATATAGCTTATGTATTAAAGATTGAGGTGGATGTATGCAAATTTCAAATTACTAAATTTATACCTTTCTATCTAGCACTCTCACAGAAACGGAAGAATGTGAACAAATTATTTCCAAACGATATGATATCCAGATTTACAGGTGTGTCTCTATATTTCTTTAAAGAATAAACTCGAAATCTTTTTTATACCCTAAAGGAATAATGGACAGCCAATTTTTCGTCATTCTTTGTATTCATTTTCATTCATTTCATTTCAATTTTTTAGGCATGGTATTCTCCCAGTTAGAGAAAACTAATTTAAAGGGGGCCATATATTTACATACCTTATAAGTTTAAATAGACTTAATAAATACAATATAATACAACAAGATTAAAAAAGAATAACATTTGAAAAATACTAAAATTTACTTTTAATAAAATACAGTGACTAATACAATGCAGGATTTTATCAGCCCTTCTTTAAATTTCTTCAGCGTTGGTTGACTTGTTGCTTTATCGCTCAACCCCTTCCAGAGACTCACATCCCCCTTTCCCTACCCCCCTACCCCCTACCCCTCTACCACCTACCCCCAACCCCAACCCCCAACCCCCACAATCCTCCAACCCCCCCCCCCTACCCCCTACCCCAAATGATAAACATTTCAGACCAGCTGACGTCCTTAACATTCGAGTTATTAAGTTCATATTAGAATTCCGCAGTATGCGAGAGGTTGTTTGTGAACATGTCACTCGGAGCTGTCTAGTTTCCATACTGCTCGACCTGATGACGTAATTAGTTTACCCTAAACCTAACCCCAACCCTAACCCTAAACCTAAACCTAACCCTAACACTAACCCTAACCCTAACCCTAACCCTAACCCTAAACCTAAACCTAAACCTAAACCTAAACCTAAACCTAAACCTAAACCTAACCCTTACCCTAACCCTAACCCTAACCCTTTACTTGAAATAACTAATCATGCTAATTTATGACTATTAATCATGCTTACTTATGACTATCAGGTCGAGCAGTATGGAAACTAGACAATTCCATGTCACTCATATAGGACGGCGCCTCGCCATTCAGGGATTTGAAAATATTCCATACATTTCATCCTTTTGCATGAATAAACAAAATCAAGAATTCAAATGCTTGAAGTTATGAAATCTGATACGTTTTGGTCTTCATATCTTTGTCAAGATTAAAGGGAAACTGTTTATTCAAATTCAAATATTTCATTTAACAGAAATTAGTTACATATAATTAAAGAATCGAAAAATAAGAACCCGCTGTTAAATGTCCCGGGGATGGGGTACTCCCATTAAGGCCTGATAGGGGGTCCAGTCTGTTTGAGGGTCTTACCAAATGGCTACCAAATGACCCATTTTCGATAATAACTGAACTGCTCAGCTTAGCTTACGATTTGTTATAGATAATGGACAAGATCTATCTTTCCCGAAACAATAACAATCAATTATGAAGAAATTTGTCAAAAAAGAACCAGTGGAGCACAAAGAAATGGATGCTACCAAGGAAATAGTTTCGGTTTTTAGGCTACCGTTTGAGGGGTTTTGTCAAAAGTACTACCATTTGAAAATAATTTTCTAAAATTTTAGCGTTGGCCCTCTTTGACCCTGACCGGACCCCCTGTCAGGCCACATTGGGAGCACCCCCCCCCCCTCCCAGGCTAAATGTAAGACAATTAAATATTGATTTGATAACAGTAACTATTGCAAAATTAAAAGCTGTAGGACATGTAGAAAAAACTTATTAGAGCTCTCTAGCAACATGTCCCTGCTTGACTTGAGTTTGTGTTTTAAGGAATGTGCCTTTAATGCTTTTTAGGGAGAAACGACTGCCAAGAAGGGCCATGTCTGAACCGAGGAACATGCAAAAGCCTAAGCAGAGGGTACTATTGTGAATGCAAAAACGGTTTCACAGGGAAGAATTGCGAAAAAGGTAATGTCAATGTGCAATTCCTGCATCTTCATGAAAAATAAATGGCCAGAAGGCTTGGCATCTTTCTTCTGCGCAGATATATCCCACTCCATGCCAGTTGATGTAATGCTGCTACTATCTAGTTTCAATACTGTCAAGAGGGGTCTGCTGTGATAATGGTTCGATTCTCTTCTTCGTTTTCAGCCCCTAACGAATGCAGAAAGAGGCCCTGCTTGAATGGCGGAACATGCAAGCTTCTAAAGCGAGGCTATTATTGTATATGTATGTCTGGTTACACTGGGAAAAACTGCGAGAAAGGTATCTAAAGTTTGCATAATATCCCGTTCTGTTGAGTAAAAGAACCCTTCAGAATGTTCAAGGGAAGGTTCAGGGGCGTTGTGGCTCCTAGAAGAGGGCTTAGAAAAAATAACCATAAAGGGGCCCATTCTTTCTAGAAAAGCCATTTTTTGCTATTGGTGCAAGCGAAACAGGTGGGTAAAATAGCATAAATAGTAATGACCCAACAACAGTAGTGACGCTACCAAATCTTAATTGGGGGGGGGGGGATTTTTGAAATTAAGCCTTCTAGAGAAGCTAAAATGCATCTCCTAGACTAAACTCTTACAAATTACTATACCGCTCAGAATAGGCAATTCGAAGATTCTCAGAAAGGCATTGATTGTTGATATTTAAAAAAAATTTGGGATGGGAGAAGTCATGCAATTACTATAGTGACAGAAGCTGGGGGGAGAAAGAAGCAGGGGACCTTTGGTTCAGAGTGAACATCGATGTGAATAATAAGAACTGTTGTATTGATTAAGTTGATTAACATTGGCTAGCCACCCAGGCCAGTCCTCTTTTGCTTTTACATGCTCCTTCTCGTACCGGCTCCTAGAAATAGTCCTCCATCTATAAACTGTCTAATTAATAGGCCTCCTAGGGCTAATTCTTAGATTCACGGTATTCTTGAAAGCAAAGGCCCTCCCATCAGGTCGCTCAAGCCTCATTCTAGCGGGTCGTCTTCTGTTTGACCTTAATTCCTATCAAATTCCACCCACCACATTCACGGGACCCTTTATATTTAAGTTTATCTCCAAATCTCTAGTTCATAACTATGAGCTTGAGTTTTTATATAGATGAGAGATTACCAAAGGCTTCCTTCCCTTAAAATATATTTCTTGGATTTTAATAAGTCATTTTTGAGGGGCCCACCGGGAAATCTCCCGGTGCCTACTGGTACATTTATATGCCAGGGTATCCTTTCGTTAATGTCAGAACCATCTACAACCGACGAGTTTTCTCATATGTGTATCCTGGAGGTGCCTGAAAAGAACTACAGTAGATTCGGATCATGTTTGAGATAAATACCATGTCAAGGCCCACGCCATGAATTTGAAAGTGGGGGGCTAGAGCTAGCAAAGGTAGGGGACCAAGGCTTCTTTCCCCTTTTACTGCAGCTTTAAAACTACTTCCCATAAAAGTGGGGGGCATGGCCACCCTGCCGCCACCGGCCACCCTGCCGCCACCCGGTGGCGTGGGCCCTGCATATGGAGCATTTTTAAAGGGTACCAGTCAGGAAATGAGAATCTAAGGGTGATAGAATCTAAGGATAATCATTCCAGTCAAGAATTAGCAAAACTTGCCAATCGTATTGCTTTTTCACACATTGTAGAAGATATGAAGCACTTTTGTCGAGTGTCATGTGTTCTAAATTCACCGATATCTAATACGAGGATCACACGGCTGTAGAAATTGATACGACAAATGACAAACTATGATTTGTTGATGGTCAAGAAAATCTTGATAAATGACAAATTTTAATATGCCTGACGACTTAAAATATTGAATCCCACAATTCACCCCCCCCCCCCCCTGGGCTCCTTAACCCTACATCTATGCACTTCAATTTAGTTTGCACTAGGCATTCTCTTTTCCACAATGGATTTTTGAGGATGTTCATGCTTTCCATACCTATTTTTTATTGTTTCTTTTCAGTGAATATCAATGAGTGCAAGAGCAATCCATGCAAAAACGGTGGACTTTGCGTTGACCGTCGAGATGGCTACATTTGTCGCTGTAAAAAAAGCTTCTTTGGATTCAATTGCGAGAACAAGGGTAGCTAGTCGTCAGTAATTATAAGAGTAATCTGTGAAACACTATTCTCTATTTTTTCGTCCTCAAATTGAAAAGATAATGTTACAGGGGTAAGATGATATATATTTTTGAAGACGGTCAAGTGACATACAAAATGGCATTGACAAAATTTTCACTGTCATTTGTCGCCACAATATTTCATTACTGAATTCCAAGGGAAAAAGAGAAGATTCATGCAACATTATTGTGCAACAAACTGGTCTTATGCAATAAACTGTTTATCAAAATATTTTTTCTTGCTGCAGATTCAGTTCAACTTGAACAACAATTTATAACCTACAACATTTCTGTTTGCTAAAAACGGTTTAATGGTTGAAAAATAGCAGTTTAGAGCACTTGGCTATTCCTGTGAAAAAAGGAAAGTAACACTTATAGACTTAGTTAGCCAAATACCTCTTTCTTAATGAAATATATTACGCATTTAACTAATTCATTTAAACATTATACGTTCTAAGCAGCGGTATAGTGGTTGGGGGCTCAAGGGGGCTGAGCTCTCCTTATTGTCGCCAAAAATTGACAAATTTCTACTTTCGCTATTGTTTTTCGAAACAATTTGTGCAAGAGCCTCCCTTGTTATTTTGATACTGGTCCTGAGCAAAATATTATCATTTCAAACTGTGTATAAATCATCAGTTGATGAAAGATTGAATTGCTACGAAAAATGAGAATTAGAAAAATAACGATGAAAACTATTTTTTGGGCTTACTATGCATTGAATTTGCTAGCATGTAAATATCTTTGTCATAAACGTTTAGCAATATTATTTACAATATTACAACATTTAACAAGTTTATCTTGTTTTGTCAAATAGCACTTACACTCAAATTTTGCTAGTCTCAAGTTACTTTGTTCCCACCAAAACATAGTCGCTATTGACTCAATCTAATGCGGATAAGGGAGAGAGTTGGAAAGAGAATTGTTGAGTTGATTTTATAACTTGTTCAAATCTCTGAAGTCTGAAAACTAAACTCTCCTGTACCAAAAGGCCATTTGTTGATGCCGATATTTGCAGAGGTTGCAATTGAATTAATTTATATTTTGTTACTTTCCTACAAAGAAATTGTTAGAATAACCGTTCTCCCGCGTTATTTCGTCAGATGTTGATGACTGTGCCAGTTCGCCATGTCTGAATGGAGGAAAATGCGCTGACGGCCTAAATGAATACAAATGTATTTGCCCATCGGGCTATTTTGGGAAAACCTGCAATGTTGGTGAGTTTATTTACATTTTCTCTTTTATTTTGTGTTTGGTTATTTGTATATACCGCTAACGGGCACATTATATTGGCAATGAAAGTCTGCAGAGTATGAAATTTGTAGATCAAGGGAACAAATTTTGTATAAGACTGAAGAAAAAATGACTACACACTTTGACCCTTTTTGCAAAGTATTGTTAAAAATGATATCTTACATGTAAAATAGGTTTTCCCAAGTTACTTACTGTTGTATCTATTAGTTAACTTTTCCAAAAATGTAGGAACCTGGGAGCACGAAGGCACCGTTCCCACTTTCTAGATTTTACAAGTATCTTTTTAAAATTAGTAATTGCCTCTTTCAAATAGTCGTTGTTTTAAGAACGCCGTAGTGACTGCTGACGTTAATGATTGTCTTTCCAAACTTTTCCCCCCAACTTTTAAAACCTTTAAGGGGGGGGAGCATTTTACCATTTTATTGAGGTAGTTATCCAGGTGATGCGTTTTCTTTAGGTAATGCATTTATTAGAGAGAGTTTGCTAGTCTTCATTCATAAATGATTTTTATAAATAGTATTCGCTTGATGGGTCTGAATCAAAATGGTTGTCTTCTTTTCAGTTTTCAATTCATATCTCATGCGTTATGGTTGAAGCAATGGTATCCCATAATCGCCATTCCCAAAAATGCAAAAAAAGCAATGTTGCATTGAAATGAGGACTCATACCTGAAGATTGTAACTTGTAAATCATTGCTTTGTAGCCTGTAAACCTTCTTTGGTGAACATTTGTAATATACGTGACGTGTATAGAAGAAAGTATATGTGCATGTATTTAGTATTTGATATTATGGTATATGCTGCTTATTTCTACGTATAGAATATTATGAATTCTGTCTTAATGGAAATTACTGTTTACTGGTCCGTCGTCAAGTGCTCAATGCCGTATAGGCAGAGCTGTACGCGCTATCTGGTGTATCAGTCCACCTAAAAACATTGCTCTTTGGTCCTTTATCAACCTTTTTATTCATTTCGAAAAAGAAGACATTTTGATAAATAGATTTGGTTGCTGAGGATAAACCAGTCGAAAGATTCGAAACAATATATTTCTAACGAAGTACCTTGAAATGACCATCTTTCGCCTTATTCTGTATCTGTACGGGACCATCTCAATATGGGGCCCAAACGGGACCATCTTCAAAAACAATCCCAAACGGGTACGGATAGCAGATTTAAATGGGATCGGATCCGTCATGTCCCGTGTAAACGCAAAGCCTATCCGTACCACTTTGAGTACGGATCCGTTTGGTGGGTGGACAAAGTTGACGAGCAAAGGTCAGCTTTTCAGTTAAGCGAACTTAAAGGGTTCGTAGCTTGAGAGTGCAGAAATATCACAACTTGATAAATTCCTGAAAAATTTTCTAGAGCAAAATATGCTTTATTTGATTAGGCAATAGTCTGATCAACTGTAGACCCTTATTGTGTTGGCTATTGGAAAAGGGAAACTTCACATATCAAAATCAAAGATGGAAGATTGAGACAAAAATTGATGGTCGTTGTTATGGCCTATTGTCAAAGCTAACTAGCTGATAAATTAGTGGAATATATTTTCAAAAACTGCCTATATTGGATGTATATTTCCAATGTTGTCTTTCTTGAATGATGATTTAATTCCTTTGGCCATCGAATGTTCCTTAATAGTGAAATTGGTTCTACATATGACAGAGGACAAAAATTTCCAAAATGTCCTATAACAGACCTTTTTATATGGCAATTCAATTTAAAAACTCACAAGCATCATGCTTATGGTATATAAAACGTTAAATCCAGGGGCTTTGTACTAAAGAAAGAAATTTTCACTAACTTTAACCAATTATTTAGACTAGTAACCAAGGGGCTCTTTATCGCTTAACTAATGATTTGCAATATTCCCTGCAATATTCGACACCATTTCGCTTGTTCTTTTGAAGCAAAAACTAATATGTTATTTTTATTATTATAAAACACTTTTTTCGTAAATAAATTTACTTAGTGTAACACATGGTTTTTAATTGAAATGTTTTTGCCATCCTTTATTTGTTTACAAGCTTGTTTCCATTCGATTCTATAAATGTTCCGAAGGTTCGATTCAAATTTTGAGAGCCGATAGTTTTATAACGAAACTGATATAATAGCATTGAAAAACCTTAAAGAGTTTACTATTTTGCACTTGAAAAATAATTTTTGCAATGAAACTCTTTGACTTTTGTACTCTCCCTTCATTGACGATTCAGAGCTTATTCTAAGGAAAATTTCCAGTTCCACGAATCATCATAACAATTTTAATACATTCGAGCCTTTAAGGCTTGGGCTTGTATCAGAGCAAAAACAAACCAAACAAACTCCATAACTTTTAGCAGTAGATCAACTGATTGCAAAGCCAACTACGACTCAGGCAATGTCTTATCATATTCTATAAAAAAGTATTGAAACTGCCATTTGAGCTTATGGGTACGTACAATCTCCAGTATTTGTACAGTCGAATTGGTTCCTTTGAACGAAATGTGATAAGAAAGATGATAAAGAAGCAAAGATCTTCGTTATTGTTTTATTTCATTCTTCCAGCTCCAGAGAATTTCGCATTCAGCTCAATATTTCGAATTCCAGCTTCAAGAAAAGGACCTAAATCCAGCTTAGAATAAGCTCTGCGACGATTATAAATCTAAGTAACTAAAGCGAGGTTTTGTTTTATTGTCCATTTCACAAAGTGAATCCAAAACCTAACTGTAAAAAGCTGCTAGTGCAATGCCTTAAAATCTTGTCTACTTGAAAGAAAGTTTTCAAAGTTCGCGGACTCCCAAAGTTCTTCAAGTCTTCAAACTGCAGTACATCAAAATTCGTAGCTCACAGGTATGTCAGTTGAACAGGAAATGGGAGCCTATTTGGGGAAAAGAACAATGTCTATTCCAGCTTTGAAAGAACGATTAAATTTTTGATCATTCTTCTTATAGACGATTTCTTATTAAAAGCAATAAATTTTTCAGAAACGACCTGACTTGGGGCAAAAGCACTATTTTCATAACACAATAATCATAAAAATCAATTTATTCTAACTTTAAATCTTTTTCGAGACGTTTCTTTTAGTTGAGAGTGATAAACTATGCGGATTATTAAATTTTTATAGCTAATATAACAGCTAATTAAAGCCTACTATTTATACTACATTTACAAATCTTAAATTAACTACAATGAATGGATAAAATGATAAAGGAAATGTATAAAATTGAAAGGATGACTTATTAGATAAAAATATACAATTATCCGATGACTATTTCAAGAATCCCATCTGCGTAACGTAAGGTTTGCAAAGTCTGCAGTTGCATTTTGTATCTTTCCAAGTTTTAATCTTTTTCTTAAATATTGCGAGGCTAGAAGATGTTTTAATGTCATTTGTAAGCTCTTGCCAGAGCTTGAATCCCCTAAAGGTTGTACTTTCTATACCATAACAATTTAATTTTGGTTTTTATAGTGATATTCGGGATATTTTTCTAAGATTATAGCATGTATTTCTTTCAGTAAAGATTTCTTTCATGAAACTTGGGTTGAGATTATGTAAAGATTTATATATTTCTGTAAGGAGCAATTGCAGATTTTTATCGTGGATAGACGTCGAGTTGTCTTTTTCAAGAACAGTTGAAAGCTTGATTCATAGTCATCATAGGCAAGACGCAAAGACTTTTCATGAATTCTGTTTATTCTGTTGTTCATCTGTCGATCACAAAACATCCAAATTAAAGGGCAGTAGCTAAATTGTGATAAAATGAAGACGTGCATGGTCTGTTTTACTTTTTTATGATCCATGTAGTTGGAGATTCGGGATAAAGCATGTAGCTTTTGGCTGGCCTTTTTGCATATCGATTGTACGTGTCCTTTGAACGACAAATTATTATCAATACTTATTCCAAGAAGTTTTTGTTCTTTACTTGGTTTAATTATCGTTTTATCTATTTTCAGAGATGTGTCATTGCTGCCTTTACCAAAATTTATAAGGTGGCATTTGTCCCCATTCATTTTCATATAATTATTTTGAAACCATTCTCTCAAAATAACTACGTCTTGTTCTAGTATTTTAGTAGCCTGCTGAATGTCTTGGTGGATGACATATAGCGTTGTATCATCAGCATAATTGCATATTTGGCTATTTGATATAAACATAAACATGTCATTTTCGTATATATTGAGCAAAATAGGTCCCAAAACTGATCCTTGTGGCACACCTACACTTGTGGTTTTCCATTCACTGAAAGAGCCGTTTATTTTGACTATTTGTTTCCTCTGGCTAAGGTACGATAATGTGAAATTCAAGGCACTTCTACTAAAACCATAAGCATTGAGTTTAGCAATCATTAGGTCATGATTCAGACAGTCAAATGCTTTTGACAGATCCATCAATAGTGCACTAGCTGTATGTTTAGTATCTAGAGCTTTTTTGCAATTTTCTATGAGTCTGAGTAATGTATGTTGAGTGCTATAATTTCTTCTGAAACCACATAGCAGTGGTGATAGAAAACCATGAGCGAAGGGAGTAATTTGTGATTCCATGATTCTCTCATATATTTTTCTTACTGAATTTATCATCTTTTCTATGCAACGATGATATGTCTCCTAATTTGAGTTCTTTTGGAAATATCATATTAGAAAGGTCCTCATTAAATGTTCTTTGTAAAATTTCAGAGAAAATGTCTGAATATTCTTTTAATATCCTAGCAGGTATACTTTCTATTGGTGAGGCCTTTCTGGTATTAAGTTTGTTTATCTGATCCCAAATTTCCCCACTGCTAACTTCCCTAAATTCAAAGGGCTGAGGGTCAGGGTACATTTCTCTTATTTTTATGATACTTGGGTGGTTTTTATATTTCTAAATGGCTTTATCAATTGGGTCATTTATACCATCTGTAACTGATATGTGAGCTATATCTTGTTGGATTCCTAGATCTTGTGTTATGTTTATAAAGTAGTTGTTAAAATATTCCGCAATGTATTTAATTAGCAGGAATCAGTTTCTGGAATTTTTTCATCTACGGTTTCATGGACGTATGATTTGGGGTTTTTATTTACTGTATTTATATTGATGTTATTCAAATTGTTTAAGCTATTATTATTATGTATATCAAAACTCTTTTTCCTTTATACATTTCTGTCGAGTCATCCTTGTTTAATCAAAATGAATATGAATAAGTTTTTGAATAAAGTTCAGTGCCAATTGCCTGTTACCTCTGAAATTAAGATAAAGACTGCTTTGTTGTTCTTTATGACACAATCATCATCAATAAGCAACTTTAATGAAATATGGAAATTTTTTGTAACTTACCCTCTATAATATTTATTAGATGCATTACTAGATTTACTGCCTTAAAAAGTCTCAAAAGCATCCTGAAAAAAATAAAAGTGTTTCTTAACTTTCCGTTGTCTTTTCAAGATTTTATGATTTTATAGAGAAGACTGGTGAATTCTCTCATAGAAGATTGACTGATTGTCCTTAAGTTGACATATTCCACCTAATCCTCTACGTTCCTTTTTCAGCAATTTGAATTGGCAAATTATAAACTATAAACAAAATCAAGAACTTACAAAGGCATGGGTAAAAATTTAAAACTTCGAAGTCATTTTCTCTCAAAATCTTGGAAGTTATATAGCTTCTCTTCATGTACGCAGCTAATCTATCAACGAAATGCTCGCTGTGATTCTAACAGGTCCTGTTTTACGAGCTGCAAACTTTTCTGAGTGCCATATTGGCTTCGGCTTGCCTTTTATTGTAAGCAGGGCAAAGCTTGCGCGGTATCTAGGATGTGTAATTGATTCTAGACTCCTCAAACTAGCATAGGCCCCTAAGCTGTGAATAGCATATTCTCCCTCTACTTCTAGACGAAATCCTGCCTCATCTTTAACTGCCACTGCAACAATGTTCCCATATTTGATATCATTGATGAATTCTAGCATCTTAGTGCTCTCCATCGCAGATCCATGAGTATCGAATTCTCTTCTTGCGATCAACAAACCGTCTTTAGGAGAGATGACGACGATGTTGAACCCTCTTCGATCTAGGGCATAATTCACGCCATCAACCTTTATCTCCGCCACACCACACCCAGGAAAATCCTCACAACCTGCTGAGGTGATTTCTATTCTTGCATATCCTGTTTAAAAAACAACTCTTCTGAGATACTACTGCAAAATGCTTAGGAGAAATGCTTAGGAGATCAGTTGAATACACTCATTTTTTCATATAAGAAACTGGCTATAAGAAACTACTACTGGACAGTCAGAAAAAAAACTCCAGTACTCGAAGCAAAAATTAAGAAACTATTGAATCGTGATAAAACTGAGAATAACGAAATTTTGTAAAATCCAAGAACATTAGTGCCCTGTTGGCCTAGAATTTAAGACATAAGAGATAAAAATATACTTCCCACATCTAAATACAGCATCGGAACGGAAGCGAATCTCTTGACGTGATAAAAAAGGTCACGAACTTTTCTTAACATCATTCATGACATCATGATTAAGAAACTCCCAAAAAACAATGAGTATTGAAATTTCAAGAGCATTAAGAAACTGGAGTACTCAACATCGACCTTGTTTCTTATAAAAAGAGTGAGTGTGGTATTGAAACAATTGACTGGGTCATAAATTATCTAGAAGTGGAGCTTAACCTGAGGGTAGGAGGACTAAAAGTAGAACTGCTCTTTCTAATGTCATAGGTTACAATCTTAGTAAGCCCATATAGACAGTTCTTGTTCATTGTAAAGACCCTGGGGTATCTTAAAATGAAGTATTACTGCCAACTTACTTTGAACAACTAATGCAAGCCATGACTGTGCTTTGCCAACTGAATTTTCAGCTATGCAATTATACGTGCCGCTATTTTGAACTTTAGGACTTAAGATGGTCAAATTTTCACCAGAGGTCCTAACGTTTCTCATAGTTTTACTTTGGAATAATTGCCAAGTGACTGTTGGACGTGGAGATCCAGTTGTAATGCATCTTGCATTGAAGGAAATGTCACCCTGCTCGACAACAGCTCTTTGTGGTCTCATTGTTGCAGTTGGCGGTACTAGAGATAGAAACAAACATTGCTAATCAATGCCTGTACCTTGGTTTTCTTCAAGCCTCAATAAGCATTTATCAGAGATACGCTGATAAGTACCTGAAACTTACCTAGTGAAGAAACTTAAAACTGGTGTAAATTTACTACATTTGTAGAAATGTTTTTAGCTCAAATATATATTACTGGTATGGGAATCTTAGCTAATAGGTCACAATTTAAGAGCAACTTGTCTGAATCTCAAGACCTCTTTACTGCCGACATTATTGTTTATTGCAATTCAAGTAGAAATTCTTAAATAGCCGATACTGCGATATTACAAATCATCTCTAAAGTAGAGGATGCTCCCTCGCCGATTAGCGTAGCCATTATGGAAACTTCTCTTCAAAGGAATTCCTCTTCATTGAATGCCTATTTTCATTATTGCTATCCGAGTAGATTTGTGATATGCTTCTGACGTACTAATTCTTATTTTTCTTATTTATATTGAATCAATCAATGAAACAGTAGAATTTCAAATAATATTGGAATTGATCAACCAACTTTAACAGCAAATGTGTTTGGATAAGCGAGATTCTCTCCCACCTATTTTGCTTCAGCGAATCGCATTGCGAGTATGATGGCAGATTGCTGCCCCAATCACTTAACTTTAAAAACGCTGACAACCAGGGTGTAATCAAGACTTTACAAACATGAACCAAGGTATCATAATAAATAATAGCAAAGGGAGGAAATTCCAACGTGTGACTTGCCTTACAACCATAATTTGCGCCACAGGCTGAGTATAGCAAGTTGAAAGAGCAAGCAACTTACGTAAGACATCCAAGAACGCCACTGCTGAATCTTCTCCAAGGATACTTTTAGCTGTACACTCAACATTTCCTTGGTCCATTCTTGTTACTCCTTTTATTTGCAAACCATTATTCAACAGAAACTTCGTACCCTGCCTTATTTCTTTTCCTTTCATTTTCCAAGTTATAATGGGCTTTGGGTACCCAACTGCCGCACATTTGAACATGGCTATTGATTTCTCTTTGACAGTAACATTCCCTGGCTTAACAGTTATCTCTGGAACCTGTGCCGATCTACCCGGCTCCCCTTTGACACCCTTCACGCCAGCCTCTCCTTGTTCACCTTTCATTCCCCTAGGACCCGGATCTCCCTTGATTCCAACTAGACCGATCGCACCAGTTCTTCCTCGTTCCCCTGTCAATCCGCGTGGACCTGGTTTTCCTCTTCGACCAGGCTCGCCTTTAGGACCAACCTTGAGAATAGTTTTAGTTAGATTGCATTGGAAGTGTTTAGACTTCTTTAGATAGAAAAGGCAGAACTCTTGCACAACCTTGGCATTTTCTGCATGTCTCTTTTTCCTTGATTTCTGCCTTGTGCCTAGAGTAGATTAAATAGCTACATCATGAAAAGTCTTCTCTTGTTGAGTCAAAGCTCATTTTTCAGAGTCAACTTTGTATTGGATCGAAAACATGGGAGACAAGTCTGGTCCACAACCATTCTTGGGCGAGGGAATTCGAAAACCTTTGCGAACGTCCTACGCGCATTTTTCTATTCGACTAGGGCTCCGTACATCAAATTTTGAACATTTCCTAACAAACAACCAAATCCTTGGATTATTTCTTAACATCTTTCTTTGGATTAGAAATAGGACAAAATAAATAGGGGGCCATATAGGTTTCAAAAGACAAGAGTAAACATAAATTTGAAAACAATTGAAATGAGCTGTTTGCACTTTCATACTTGATCAATTCAAGAAAACATTCTTAACCCAAATATAAAATTTAAGAAAAATTAATCAGATTTAGCAAAAGGAGTTTCTGAGGCACAAATGTGTCTGATCTCCACTTCATCAATTTTCATTGCTATTTGTGATTGTAATAATTTAAAAAAGGTACGTTCAAGATGTTATTTTCCCCAATCCTTAGCAGCATTGAGTCTGCCATCGGTACCCCGGGTACAGTTTCCAATCCAGTGCAAAAATGCCTCATGTTTTTGCCTATCCAGTCCAAGTATTACCTTCCTGACAAAGCACTTCCATATTGAAAATCGTTGACATCTAGCACGTGATTCTAATTTTTTTTTTCATTTATTTCAGCGTAGCGTGGGTTGCAGAAGTGGGTATGCGGCGAGGGATCTGGGGCCTGCCGAATGGCCAGCGCAATAGTTACTCGACTTCTCCCCCCCCCCCTTTTTTAAATATAAAGTCAAAATGCATAAATTTTAGACCACTTTTAGACCACAATAATGATAAATTTTTGACCAATTTTTTAAACTTTTATCAGGATTTTTGATAGGTTACAATTAAAAAGTAAAAGATTTGGTCAAAAGATATCAGCCGTTATCCCCCTCCCCCCCCCTCTAACCCCCAATGTTCAAATGAATTAGAGTTTAATCTCTGAGCTGATAAACAATCCAAGATCTTCTATAATAATTTAATTTTCGTGGTCATGATAATATTTATAAACAACATGCAAGCGAAAATGGTACTCTAAAAGGGCAGACCCCCGTACCATCCCCATTTGAGTACCCTCCCTATTTGGGTACCCTCACTAATTGAGTACCCTCACTTGGCACTCAAGCTGAAATGAAAAAAGCATTTGTACAATCATCTTTTCTTCTCTATCTCCATATCGTCTACTTGTTTGAATCCACATGTCGAAGCTGAGATTCAATTCAACTAGGGCATGCGGATCGGCAACCGCATGCCCTGGCTCTTTGTTGATCTGTATCTGGTCACGTGACTTGGCTTGCTGATCAAGAGAACATGAAGCAAGCTGAGGTCAGTTGCTTCCTTTTCAGAGCTCTATCCTCAATGCTGTAAGTAAAAATTTGGAGCAATTTCTCATTAGCATGATAGATTATTCGTTGATTCAACCTTCTATCCTATTTTTTTGCAAAATTTTACATTTGAAGAGGGAAAAAACAATTGTTTTATATCAGGGAATGCGGTCAGAATTCCGCATTCCCGGAAATGAGAGGTGCTGTAAACAAAGGTTGCTAGCCAAAGTCAGCCCAAAACAAAGGGATCATTGGAAACAGGGATACAAAGATTAGTAAATTGCTTTCAAGGTAAAAGCTAAGGTGGATCCATTGAACTCCAATGGGTGGATCAAGGGTGCGACAGTGCAAATTTCAATTAACCGTCAAAGCAACTGTTTAAGCAAAAGAAACTGTTTTCTTGTTCAAAAAAGGCGTTTTTTGAAAATATTTGTGGTCAGATTTTGCAGGGCATGCGGCGCATTACTAGCTTCCCTTGACGCTACGCCACTGATTTATTTGTAACACGTCACTTGCGTAAATTAAGCTGCTTGGACGGTGAGTAATGGAACAAACGCAGCGAACAGGCAACTCCAGCTCTACCTAAAAATCCTAGTAATTTCTATTAGTGAGACAAACATAATTTTGAACTGGGCTGACAAAACACTTCAAATTTATGTTAGATAATGGTATTATGTACGAAAACTTCCTTTTCTATGGACCAGGAAGAAACCTCTTTACCTGTCCCAGTTATTTTGTAAGGGGGATGCAGCAATGAACAATTATATTTTTTTTAACAAAGTCTCACCATCAACCTCCTTCAGTGACCGCTTCTTTTTACCTCCACTATAACTGTTCTCAAATTTTTCGTCCACCAATTGCTGAAGCTTTTCAATGTGACTCCTCAAGTTTTTGACCTCGCCGTCTAGTCGGCGAACCTCACCAAGACTCCAGTTAACAAAAAGCACTGGCACACAAGATACGAAAATGAAAATAATTGTAGAGAGAGCTAGGCACAAAATTTGCTTTTCGTGAAGGACATGGAAGGATTGAACTTGTCTCTGTTTAGCAGGATTCTCCGACATCTCGATCCTGGATATACCACCACAGACAGTTGTCAGTTACTACTATAGTTAGATCCCGTGTGCGGAAGGTTATGTTTTTTATATGTGGTTTCGGCTTACAAACGTTTGCGCAAAAGTCAAAAGAGTCGCACAGATCTTTGGATGAGCTAATAGCAAACAATTTTATAGGAACCCGAGCCTCAAAATTGGACAAAGTTAAGAACAAATTAAGAACAAGCTGAGACTGGAACTGTGGGTTTTTTGGGGGAGGGCTGTTGTAGCCCATTTATTCCATGAGTTGTGTTTATCGATTATTCATTCGTCTTTTTTACTCATGATTTCAAACTGTCCTACAACAGGACTGTATCCCCATAATCCAGTTTTGAGATCGTGTTACGATTTATCATGGGTGCATGGGCGTACAGAATGGGGGCTGGGAGGTTTCAGCCCCCCTCCCCCCTAGATTCTGGCAGCTGATTTTTTCGGGCCAAATTCGGGCAGGAGCCTTCTCCAAAAACAAGAAGAACAAGAATAACTACATTTTGCACATGTTTAAAAATCTCTGATATAAAAAATAAAGTCATCGTAATCGTGAGCGCTTTCGGAAGTGAAGGAAGAGGGTAAAAATCTGTTGGGTCGAAAAACGCAAAAAAGAGAAAAGAACAGCAACTGCCCTGATAGTGCTTGAAAATATTGTAGAAGAAGTAAAAGAAAGCGGCTATTATGCTCTCATAATTGTTGAAACATCGGCTTTTCGTCAGCACCAACAAATGTCAGTTTTTGTCAGTTTTGTACTGAATGGTATCCAAAAGGAAGTTTTTGCTAAATTTGACAAAATTCAGTCTTCAGCAATTGTACAAATTGGGCTTAAGAGCGTATGTAGAAACCTGTTGTCAAATGCTTTGACAGTCTAAAATGAGCGGCAAAGCCAAGGGCTTGTCAAAGCGAATGGGGGACTGTTCTCTGCTGAGCATTTATGTCCATTGCCTTGGACATTAGTTTAATCTTGCAGAAAGTAAGTCAATTAGAAATGGACCTTGTGTTGTTCAAGGTCTCTACAATTTCATTTAGGCAAACGCCAAAAGGCATGAAATTTCAAGAGAAAAGTTGAACATGAACTGTCATATAGGTAATAGGGACAAAGCGCAACGCACTGGGCTGGCCAGTGGGAGTCAGTGAAGGCAGTGGACAGGACACTTATTTTCTTTGCAAGGATAGAGACCCCAAAACCCATCTAGGAAGCAAAAATCGGTTCAATTGATTCTACAATGTACAAATGTAATGGATAAAGTTTTGGAAGAAATCTATGCTCGATAGTGATCGAGACTCAACCAATTTTATGTGCTTTGGCGTAACAGAGGCATAACGTGCCCTAAGCAAAAAACTGCTACGGGACATCTATTCGCGGACAGCAAGAAGATCACATTCAATGGTGTGAGCATGTCAAACAAAATAGAAAAGAATAAAAATGATAATTATTTTCTCGTTAGCTAGGTGGAACTGAGTTTTAGAGCTTGAGTTGAAGAACTTTCAAAGCTTTGAAGATATGAATGTAAAAGCACCTTGTTCCCCCTTTTGTTGGGAGCCCTTGGTTATCAAACAAAGGCAATGTTTTCAAACACTGTGTTACCACACACTAGCATGCCTTGAGGTATTGCCTAGTGTGCCGTGGAAAATTCTCCAATTTTACTTAATTGGTCAAAAAATTTATCCACAAATAATGTGCGTAGAAAAAGAGGCTGAAAAACGCTGAATCAATGGGCCCTAAACTGTGTTACGCTATTGGCCGTGATATGGAAATGCAAGCGTGAATGCTAGAAACTCGACTGTTGAATATTTGACTATCTTGCAGACATCACTACAAGGCACGAACTGTAGAAGTTTAATGTCTGCAAGTAGTATACGGGGTTCGGCGTAATACGACCAAAGACGTCCAACATTAAAAACGAGGTTATAGTTAGTGTGAATATATATATATCGTAAAATAAACCAATTGGATGACTTACACAACTCTATAGTACAATGTATGATTCGTAATTGCTAAAAAAATCGTTCGTTGAGTTCAAATGCGGCCACAACTCCCTGTGTGACCGCTCAGTGTATGTTCGATTCTTGACTCCCTCTCCTCGACTTATCACAGGGGTCCGAAGTAATAAAAAAAGATAGCAAAATCCAACATCGACAGAAATCGTCATAAAGCTCCTTCTATCAAATAGATTATGAGTTTCTGACCTCCAAAAAATTGAACACAAACTGTTAAATAATCACAGAAATAGGCAGGTAAGCAAAAGAGTGTGTGAATTGCTGAAAATGATGCAAATCATGTTAACAAAAAGATATCGATAAAAAAGTAGATAGATTAATTTGATGTCGTGGAAGAGATTCACTTTTTTAATGAAAATTTGTGAAATGCTTAAATGCTTACTCTGAAAATGCTCATTATTTAACATTATTTTAATGACGTTACATTTTAATCATTTTTGACCGATATTAGAAGCTCACATGTGTTAGAGTATTCTCTGTATTTGGGCGCTATCATTTTTCGGGCAAAAAAATTTCAGCCCCCCTCCCCTCCCCTACCTTAACTCACCCCATACGCCTATGTGTGGGTGTTCAAAGTTGAGGGCAAAATGCAGAAAAATTAACAAAAGGGCGAAGGTGAAGAATCCGGTTTGGATAATCCGATTAATATTGTGTCATACACGTCGAGGAGTTTTTTATTGCATCAACGAATCACAGGTTGCCTAGGGTCAAGGGACGCTCTCCTAGAACTATGACATCAAGCAAAACATTGTACCTCTCCGGATTGTTCATGTCCGACTAATAAAAGGTCCGGGCCACGCTTTAGAGGCGACATAGTACCACGAGAACGACGTTAATTTCTTAATTTAAGATTTATCAATTCAAAACTTTGAAATAATTCTCACTCGAACAGAAATCTTTTCCATATGTATGCATGAAAAAAGTTTGGTGGTTGAGACACGAAGGACCTCACTGATATGGCTCACCATCGTCTGGTTTTATTTTGTTGTTGTCATGTGTGTTTAGAAGAAAAATTAGAAAGTGTTTGTCATGTATTTTGAGCAAAAAAGGCTCATTGTTCTTTTTGCGTGGCGTCTCGTGAAAGGAAACTGTTCATTATCCAAACTCTGATAGAAGTTGATTTTGATTTTTCAGAGAATCCTCGCACTGATTTTCAATGAGCCCTAACTGCAGACCCGCTTACACTTCTTTTGCATCCACCAGCAAGTGGGGTGAATCACTCCCGTAAAGGTATACGTGGAGACTTCAACCCAAGTAAGATTGAGCGCCAAGTAAGGTCTCCACGGCCCTGAACCATTGCCACGTAAAAAAGCCGTATCTTTTCCAAAAGTTTTCCCGGGGGTAAAGTCCCAGACCCTCTGCTGTTGAACTCCTCATTGCCTCTCCAATCTTCCAAACCTGGCTACGCCACTGGTCTGGTGCACAAGCTACCTGTACCTGCGCATCATGTACATTTTATTTATAATTGTAAGAACCAATAATTATTCTTTCAACACAGTTCTCCCGAGAAAAATGTGCAACTCTGAATTTTCCTTAAAAAAACCCTGACCCCAGTAATTATGAGTAGACATTTCGGAATCAAAAGTTTCTTCAGAAATGTAGCTTTGATAAATTCCTCTTTATTATTGAAAAAGAAACTACTAGATTTAAACTGTAAATTTTTACTGTATGTAAAAAAACTACTAATGCGCAGGGATACCCCGTGAAAAGATGAAAGAACAAGTTTCTTATCAGTGGTTTTACGGAGTTTGGACTAAAGCTGTTGGAGATCATCAGGTGATGGAGGATGGCTGAGAACATGGCGAATACGCTGAAATTTTGTCTTGAAATCCTCGTCATTTTCTTATGTTTGATATCGAATTTTTGCTTTGGTGAAAAGAGCCTTCTTCAAGCTCATGTCGTAAGTTTCTATGTTGTTATGTTGCTTTTATCTTGAACTAAAGTTTATCTGTAACTGTAGGCCTAAGCGGCCTAAGTTAATTCAATCTGTTTTCCCAACTAATTTATGTTGTATGCAACAATTTATGATGCTATAAAGTAGAAAATAATATGCCTAATTGCAAATGCCTTATGTGCCCAAAGTCAAGAGCTTTTCCGAGTTGACCAATCGATACCAACACTGATCTAGTTGTTGGCCTAACCAGTTGGTCTAAAAAATTGGTAGCCAGGATTGTATTGTAAAAAACGCCCTTAGTCACTATGTCTACTATTTCTAGGCCTAAATCTTCTTAGAAAATTCTGTTAAAGTGCTAAACCAAATGATGAAAGTTTCTTGTATTCACAAGAAAAGCTATAAAAACTTTTTACCAACATAAGAAAAATACCTACTTAGATACCTTTGGCTCAAATATGCAATTTTAATGTAACATACCTATACCTTGTAGCTTTACCGTCACGGAGACAGATCTCCTGTACTAATATTTCCCACTGACAAGCATAAAGATTTTTGGCCTGATGGACCAGGAAGGTTGACACAGGTGAGGAAAGTAATTCTCTTCTGATGCTTGTATTCTACATTGTTTTGCAGAAGCCAATACTTTGAATAATTTACATATATTCATTATTTATTGTCTGGAATATAGAAATGTTATTTGCAAGTGCAACCAATGCTGACACTCCTTGACCTAAAATTCAATTTTTAAATTGATATAGACACCAGGCTGTAAAGTATGTGAGGAGAGTATGCAAGATAAAAATGATCACATAATTTTTGTGCTTCATGCCTGAACTGCTTTTGCACAGCGCAGTATATGTTTGGGGAAGTTGTAGTCTCAATAGCAGACCTACCAAGTCTCGCGCATTATGCATTAAAAACACATTTTGGCCTTCCCACCTGCTCACATGCATCAAAGCAGAATTCTGTTGCATTCTGCAATAAAGTTCTTGGTTTTGTTAAATTTTTAAATTTCTATTCCAAATCCTATCAATAACCTAATTTTGGAAATTTTCTCCAGAGTGATATTTGGGATGTTAGTTACACTACCAAAGTCCCCGGCTTGCTTGTACCCTTATAGCAATCATTAGCATAAGTGTACCAGGTTTAATTATTTGATAATATTGTACTGTTGTAATTTCAAACTACATAGAATGGTAAAGAAAATCCCTGAAAATTTAGATATCTATTTTTATTAAGAAATTAATATGAGTTATGACAAATAGACAACACTGTTAATGTCTATTTGTCATAAGTGTGGCTCCATTTAGTCATTTGTGAAGGAACGAAATCCAAATACAAAAATGTTAGGATGATTTTTGTTGGGTATTACCAAAAAGCCAGCCCAAAATCTCATAAATAGTAATATTGTTCACTAATGATCAAATTGTTTCAAAGCAGAAAACAATAAGAAAATGCTAGGTTTCAAAGCGGAGTAGAGCAGATTTGTGTGATTACAACAGTACACTGCTACAGAGTTTCTCCAGAGTGATTTTCATTTTATCTCCAGAGTAGAGTGATTTCGTGTAATAATATTACAAATGATAAAGGAAGGCATCCTATACAAAGGGTGCATCTGTAAATGGTGCAAAGGAAAAGTTTCTAAGGGCTACACCCCTGGAGCCCACTTTTGCCTGTGGCTTCAAGATTCATTCTGGATTTGTCCTTGACTTTGAGATCCCATGGTAGCCTAAACATTTTTCTTGGTTCCTATTTTCCATCAAAACTGAATATTGACAGTTCTTGAGAAGATAGACTAGAGCTGTTATCAATGCCTTTGTTTAGCTTTTTGTATAAAAAATTGACAAATTCATCATTTAGCTGACCTACTTGATGTTTGTCCAATTTCAAATATATTCTGATAAACTGTATATCACACTTTCTGTTTGCACCTAAAGAAAATCTGATCAATTTTCCTGACTGTACTTTCCTTGAAGAGCCCCTGGCACACATGATATCTCACCAAGAAGTGCCTCATATTCCAGTCTAGGCAAGGCAAACTGAAGTTTTTAAGTATTTTCCTATTTGTTTGGAAATGTTTTCAGTTGCCATGGATTTGCATGTCAGGGTTTCAAAGAAAAGTATGTTTGGGAGAGGGTTAACCTCACAAGCAGGACCTACTGAATTGAATCCCAAAGATAATTTACATCAATTCTAGCAAATTTGGGTATCCCTTATATTTGCTTTTAACTTTGACCGTGTGTCAGAGATTCTGAAATTCTTTGGAATTCACTGTAATCAAGGTAGAGACTAGGGAAGATATTTATACTTTTGTATTTTAAACTAAAGTGTTTCCCTGTCAATTAGAAATTCACAAGCCAAATGTTATTTTGACAAACTAGCTTTCATTTTTGTTTTTTACTTATAGAAAGGGATGCAAATGGAATTTGAACTTGGAAAGTTTTTGAGAAACCGTTATGTCAGTGATGAGAAATTTGTTAGTTCATTTTATTTGCACAAGGAGGTACTATGATATTTTTGAAAATACTTCTTTTGGAAAACTAATTTGAAAGTAAGCTATTCCATTGGCTTTGCCTTAGGTTATTGGATATTTGCATGTCTCTCACTACCTTGTACTTTGCAGAACTTGATCCTTTTTGTTTTTGTTATGGTAGCCAATATTTTTTATTTATATAATAGTTTGCAGTGCTCTCTTTTTCAAATTCATTGAACAATCTGATATAGTAGAGTTTTCATTTCTTGCACATAACATATATATGGCTTATGCTTATTTATATTTAAATGATATATCAATGTCATTTAAAAGTTACCAATGTTTCTTACAGGTTTACTGTAAAAGCTCAGATTCTGAAAGATGCCTTATGAGTGCAGAATCACAGATGGCGGGGCTATACCCACCAAGAGATTGGCAGGTATGTAATGACCATTTATCTCTGGCAGGTATTTAATGACCATTTGTGCCTTTCTTTGGCAATCTATTGCATACAAAGAAAAACTTATAGTCTGGTGAAATGATCAGAAGGTTAAAGAAAGTATTTTGAGGCATGAAGATCATTTTTCAAAAAAGTTTGTCGCTAGAGATTTTCACTTACTGAGTATTTTGTGCCAGAAACATACTTTGCTTACCAACTTAGTTGCAAGTGGCTTGAAAAATCTTTAGTTGGCTTGATGCCTCCTATTTTTAAATGTTAAACCCGTTTGATCAGAGTTGCATTTTATTTTATCTATCATTTATGACAATTTAAGTCGTGAGGAAAGGGCTTCAGTCTGCAATTTGATGATCCAGCTGCATTAAATGAGTAGTGCTTATTGTAAGTTTTTATCTCTTGGTGCTGCATTGAATGGGTAGTGCTGATTTTAATTTTTTATGTCTTGGTTATTTTCAAAATTTATTTTAAGAATATCACGAGGTAGCTTGTCAAATTGGTACAATTTTAGGTCTGGAACAAAAATATTTCTTGGCAGCCAATACCAGTTCACACAGTCCCAGGTGACAAAGATCCTGTAAGTAGTAACCACTTACCCTTTTGCATGCTTTTTGTGTCCTGTATCTCATTTATTTATATTTACAAATCACCTTGAGAAAGCAAGAAAGGATTTCATGTTCAAGCTTGCTGCATGACTAATTCTGATAATTTACTGCTGTCCTTGTTATTTTCTATCTATATTTATTTTAGTCAATATTGGTTATATGACCTGTTTATTTGTTTTTGTTTGATCATGTGTTTCCCCTGTGGGGTAGTTATTAAGACCCTTTGGAACCAACATCCAATCGTTATAGATTTGAGACCAACACTTTTCACTTGTAAATACAGCAACCTTGGGCAATGTGTTCACACCTCTCTCCACCTAGGAGTTTGACTTTGTACCTGGTTTGTAGTTATATGTGTATCTCTGGCTGCACTCAGTCGTTCGCTCTTAAGCATTGTAAGAACAAAGGAGTATTGTATAAGGCTGATAAAGTAGCCTTTAGCCAATGACAGACTACGAAACCAAAACTTTACTTATCCTTGTGTATGCCTACAGATGATTAGTAAAATACCCTCTATCTTTTAATTACCTGTGACCAAATGCAAACCAAGCCCAATTACCATTAAAATTATGAATTACAGCTTTTCCCTAATTAACTACCTTTCTTTATCAACTCAAAAAGTTGATTGTCAAGCTCCCCATAATGTGAGACCCATATCTTCTAAAGAATTTACTGTCAATGCAGCAAATTGAAAGTTTGTTTAAATCATATTTTGCTGTGCATGGTGTGCTGTGTGTGCTCAACACTGTTACCCTTGATGACTCACTATTCAACCTGCTCTAATTAAATGCTATCAAGTTTTAAAGCTTTTTCTTGATTTTTCAATGAAATTTTTTATTATGTGAAGCTGCTACGACCATGGGATGCTATTTGCCCAAGATTATCAGAGTTAAAGAGGGAAAAGAAGCAAAATAAAGAATATATTGTTATGGAAGAATACCAAAAGGTTAGTTTATTGTTATCGTTTTTTTATTTGATAGATGCCCCATGGTTATTCTGTTCAGCCAAGCAGCTCTGATGTATCATGACCATTATATGTATTTCAAAACTTACAGAAAATGGTTCATTCTGTTTTTGTCATGTCAGATTCACATTGCTGCAATGAAAACTTAACAGAAATGAAATATTTGTCCCTCCTTCTTCACAAGTTCAGAAGTCAAGACACTTTCTTTAAAATTCCTCCAAACAGACCAAGGTCATGGCAAATAGCAAGAGGAGTAGGAGCTAAAGCATTAGCTTGTTCCTGTGTCATTCTACAAAAGCTGAAATACAATATATTGTGATTTGCTTGAAAAAAAGTTCAAATACTTAAAATTTTGTGGTGACAATCTTTCGAATTTCAAAATATGCTACAATTATTTGGAAACTATGATATATGTAGTCACTTCCAATAAATGTTAGTTTAATACTTAAATACTTAAATGGTTTTGTTGATTTTGTGAAAAATGTTTGTTGTTTAGGGTTTTCTGGAAAAGCTGGAAAAAAACACTGGGTTATCAGCGTTGGATTTAACTAGTATTTGGAGTATCAGAGACACCCTGTTTGTGGAGGTTTGTTTGATTCTTGTTTCTTTTGTTTTGAAAAAACTTCACACCAAGGACTGCAGAGCATATTACAGATTTAGGGGGTGAAAGCGTCTTGGGGGGGGGCTAAACATGCTAAAAACCGAGAGCAGGGCGATTTTTGGCATGATTTTAAGTAAATTCGGAAATTATTTGGGGGCTTAAGCCCCTGTAGCTCAGGTAACCTTCATAGCACCGGTAGCCCCTAAGCCCCTGTAGTCCCCGCTTCCACGGTCCCTCCCTCACACCACATCCTTTTTTGGTAGCCTTTTACTCATATCTCCTTTGCCAGCCTAGCCAGATAGTGTTTTATTGCTTAACCATCACATGGCATAACTTTTCTCGTACGAACCAAGGCTTGTCTTTTAGAAAAAACCTTTAAAGGATACTGTTTAGTTCAGAATTCATTCTCCCCACGTACCTTGTAATGTTATGTTACTTTACCTCATGTTATGTTGAGTTTTTGTAGAATGGAAAACATAAGATATTCTGAGGTTTCGCATTGTTTAACCGAAACATCTTTGCTAGCACAATTCTTAGAAAACTTATGCAGGGCTCAAGGGGAGAACTTTTTAAAAATCATAGTTATGATAATATAATATGATTATTGATATGATGTGATATTGTTTTGATTATTAACATATATTTGTGATAAACGTTAGACACCGAAATTCATCGAGACATTAACGCTATCTATTAAAGACTTAAAAACACTGCTCGTGAACTACTACTTTTAGAATTAAGGCTAATTTTCATTGCATGTCTTTTGCAGAAGTCACATAACCTGTCGTGGCCTAGCTGGGTGACTGACGGTGTTTGGAATAATTTGAATTTCTTGTATTTTTGGGGATTCAAATACATGTTTACAGGAAACGATGAGTTCAGCCGTCTTAGTGGGGGTAAGTCTCATTCGCTTTAGCTTTTATGTCAATAAATGTCGAATATATACTTGTACTATTCAGGCCAATTATTTGCTGTTCGAAGAAGCTAACTTCTTAGTTTCGACTGTCCAACTTCAATAAAATTTTATCAAACACAATGAGCATTACTGTTTACCGGTCTGTCATAAAGTGCCCGATATCGCATAGGCATAATGTGCCAATGGCGCTATGGAGCTTTACAGACGCTATTTGGTGAATGGAACAGGACGGTATCTCTAAACATATAAGAAATCATGACATGGTGACTTGCAAATACCATGGCAGTTTGAGAATTAGGCTATGAATCTAAGCAAAATGTTATAAAGCCAAAAGTTTTATGAAGGCAAGATTGAAAATTCCCAGTCATTTTATATCATCAAAACTTTGTTTCGACGTAAATGTTTTGTAATGCTCAAATCGTGATGCCCTAATAGTATTTGTAATGTTAACATAATTAATATCCCGTATGTACACTAAGTCCCGTATGTAAGCCGCCCATGTAATCTCGTACACTCGTGTTTTGTTTTTCAATTCAGTTCTTATGTATGGAGTTTATATACAGTTGGTATTTTAGTAATTATATAATCATGGACATTTCTCTATGATCAGCTCCTAAAACATGATAGTATTTACAGGTCGGTTTAGTTCAGAATTGATTTAAAGGCGATAACGAAAGTGGTGTATATATTTGTCCTCCCCCAAAGACCCTAGGTTCAAGAATAAATTATTCCAGAATTTTTTTACCAGTTTTTATAGTGTTACAAACAAGCACCTTTTCATGATGTCAACATTTCTTTTTTTCATTTTTAATAAGGTTTTATAAACAGAACATAATGGTTGAGTTCATTTTAACCATTTTCAAAGCCCTAGCAACTGAATGCATGATCCTTAGATGGTTGAACAAGAAATTCTGAGGAAGATTCCAATTATCTTATATGACATGAGGCCCTAAAATAATCTTAAAATTTTTCAAGAGTCGAGAACCTAACATGAAATGTTTATTTTTCTTCTCAAATTAATGGTTGTTACTGTAGGATTAATTGCAATATAGTTACTGCAGTTTTTTTCATTACTTATTTCAAACGGCAGTTATTGTAGATATTACAACCCTTATCAAGAATTTCAATTGCCATGGAAAAGCAATGCCAACCCCATCGCTTTTTCACGCAGGTTCTTGTTTCATTTTTATTCGTACTGTGCATTATTAGCAAGAATTTTGTTAATCGATTTAGAGAGTTTTTTGGATTTTTACATTTCTTCAAAATCAATATTGATCTAAATTCTAGGGTCTTTGATAAAGTCGATTATTGCCAATATGGAGGCAAAAAGCAAGGGAAAAACTGAAACGTTCAAGCTTAACATTTATTCAGCAGTGAGTTTTGATATGTTTAAATATAATACTGTTTTTTGTTTGCTGCCATGTGTAGAGGCTGCAAATATGAAATGAAAGCGAGCTGGAAGGAAGAGCCGTTCTACTCCGGATCTGAGACCGATTATGTCGAATATGCTTTTGGTACATTGCGAAACATTTTTTTATATAGTCACAAACTAGATACAATGAAGTATCGGAATTTTTCTTAAACTAAACGCAGCTAAAAATGATACCACGAGATTTAAGATACCACGAGGTTGTAAAAGCATGCCCATTGTTTGTTAACTTTTCGAAAATTAAAATCTGGTCTTTGATTTGTCATTCACATGTAAACCGACGGACCATTTACAATTTAGATGAAAATGAACAACCTTTCCTTGCTCGACTGTTTAGAACGATTTCCCAACAAAAAAATCTACAAGTCAAGCACCATTCCTTACCAAAGAATTATGAGGATAGATTCCTACCAGAATTTTGTGATCAACTTCCTCAATATCGCGGTATACCTTAATTATGCATAATTAAAGTTTAATTATTAAACCGGTAGATGTAGAAACATACATAATTATTAACCCGGTAGTGTATACGAAAGGATCTTTTCGTGGTCTTCTCGTTGTCTCTGTTGCTATTCAGAAGATTCTTAGTAATCTTGCACATTTATTTGCAGCATGACACCACTATCTTGGCGCTGCTTGGCAGCCTCGGTTTGTACAATGCAACAGACATCCCCTATGCATCTGCCGTTCTAGTAGAGCTGTACGAAGATTCAGGGTATGCTACCATACATACCTTTGCTAAACTAACTACCCTTCCTTGCCTAAAATCAGATTTTGAAAATAGAATGGAAAGCGGATTATCAAATCATTCTGAGATACCTATCCAAAGATTTAGGATATGCCTAAATACCTTTACTAATACCTAATACCTAACTAACTACCATTCCTTGCAAAATAAGATTTTGAAATAGCATGGAAAGCAGAAAAATCAAATTATTCTACAACACTTTTTCATTTGACCCTTCTTAATTGTTGCCAGAAGCTTAAAATCAGATCTGTGTTTTATTTTTGTTTCTTGTAAACGGTATTGTTGAAGTGCATCCAAATCACGGAGGAGATATATCAGCGATCTTTCTACTCTACCACGATTTCTTAGATCATGCCAACATTTCTTTTTATTATTCGAATAACTTTTATGAATTATAGCAGTTCAGAAAAGCGTTAAAATTGGGACAAAATTTCAAAATTGAAAATCCGTTGATCTCAACATAATATAAAGTTTGAAGTGTAAACCGAAGCACCTCATAAAACTCCTCAGTCATATGGGAGGCTAGAGAGCAGTGATTGGTCAAAACTTTTCAAATCAGGCGTATCTTCTTTCCTATTGGTAAGGCACCGAGAGGGCGGCAAGGGGACAAGTTGCCCTGGGGCCTCGAGGTTTAAGGGGGGCCTCATACAGTAATTAATTCTATTTGAAAGTTGAATTAATTAAAGGCAGGAAAATTATTCCAGAAAATAGTAAAAACATTTAAACGAATGAACAAATTAAAGCTTATCTAAACAGCTTGGTCGCAGAAATTTTCTGAGGCCTCGTCTTGCCGGTCTACTCCAGGGCCTCGGAAATTTCACGGCGGCTCTGTCCCATTTGCTTATTCCATTGGCACAAACCTGGCCTGCCTTTACTAATTCAACAAATCGTTGGACAGAAATACCTTCCATTAGTATATCAAAAACTATGTGTCCTTTTTCTTCGTGTCATCCAGTCCATTTGTCATTTGTAAATTATACCTGGATGTGTTTATGATATTGTTTTGGTTTTTTTACAGAAAGTACAGTGTAGAGTTATATTACCGAAACTCGACTGCAGTAGGACCATACCAGCTTCACCTTTCCAACTGTGAAAAGCAATGTGAACTTGGAAAATTCGTGAGGTACCTACTTTTGTCGGCCACGAGTCGGATGCGATACCTGTTATCCGTAATTATTTGTTGGCTGAGTCGCAAAGTTTTTTTGCTATTGAAATTTAGAATGAAAGTGGTTCCAAGTTCATGGTAATTGAAAACTCCATTAACTGTAGATAGCGAGTTGCTTTAATACTGTAGATTTGTAGAAATAAGTAAGTTGGTTAATATATGGTTAATATAATTTTTTCGTGAGATGACGTGCGTCACCAGATATCTCTGACATCATATTGCTTAATTTTTGAGTCAGCAATGTGATACACTCTTATGCACAGACAAAAATTTTAGTGCAATTTCATAAGATCATGTGTCCTAAGCAACTTTTTTACTGATATGCTGATTTTTATTGATAAGCTAAATTTGTCTCTTCAGTTTATTACAAAGCCGTGTCCCAAAAGACTATGGTAAAGAATGTGGAAACATTAAAGATGTCAAGAAAGTAAAGTCATATAGTGAGAGTTTTTCTTTGGTTTAATTTTTTGTAGTTTTGGATTTAGTATTTTGAAAAATAGCATTTGAACAGCCGTGACTTTGAGTGTTTTTCTTTGGTTTAATTTTTTGTAGTTTTAGATTTAGTAATTTGAAAAATAGCTTTTGAACAGTCGTGACGTTGTCTAAACTATCAACACTGTTGTAGGGGAAAGGGACGGAAAAAGTAAATAATTTGAAATATATAGATAAAAAATACAATGCAAATTTCTGGGTGTTCCAAGTATTTTTGACAGAAATTGTAAGCAAGAAGGGTATAAGACACGCAAATCCTAATTCATCTATTTATCCTTCTTGCCACTAATAATCTTTGAAGCTTGTTTTTATATTTCATCTGTCAGTTATCATGATGATGTTTTCGAAACATTTTTAGATTAAGCTCCTTTGATAATTCTCCTTCTTACAGTGAGCCTGGTGATTGGCTTGGCAATAGTCTCTGGTGTTCTGCTACTTGTGGTGATCGCTATATTGATACAGCACACTGAGGAGAAAAGAAAAGCAAGAAACAGTGGTTATTTACTCGGGGGTGATGGTCTCAATGAAGACGATAGCCATGACAATCTTTTGACTGCTTAATTCTATTTCCTTGATATTTTCCTTGCATTAAATTCCGCTGATTAAACCTTTAAGGATCTTGCGCAACCGGCATGCTCAGCGGCAACTGTCTTGAGAAATTGACTGTGTTTTGGTGTTTTCATGCGACACCATATTAGGCCGGTTTTTGAAATATAGTCGCAAAGCATGCCGGTTGCGCAAGAGTCTTAAATGCAATTACCAAGCGTGATACCTAGGCGCTTTTTGATTGAACAGTAGCTGATTGGCAGATTGCATAACTCGTATTTGTATCTGTCTTTTGCCGTTTATATATCTTTAGAAGCCATTTAAACCAATTTTTAAAAGAAACAAGCTGCACGAAACTCTAGAATCATCGACCCCACTGCCTCAGGTCAACTGCCTTAGGCCATCTAACTATAGTATTATATGTTTACAAGAACTTGAACTGATTGCGCTCCATGTTACCCTTCTGGAATACAATGCACTATATTTTTGGAGCTTGATGTAAAATTTCAAACGAAAAAAGGAATCTTGTATCTTTATTACAGAGAACACCCCACTCCAAGCCACTTGCGGTAGCAGATATTAATATGCAATAAGATTCTTGCCACTTTGCGTAGTCGAATGATTCGGTTCGAGGCTGAACACAAACAAATGATTGAATCATGTCAATTAACCTCTGACTCTATAGAAAGCAAAATATATATACGATATATAAACGAAATGATGTATATATAAACGAAAGCAAGGTTAACATATTAATTAAGCTTCATAATTTATGAAATGTAGTCTAACTAAATTCCTTCAAAGCCTACTAGCTTAAATTTGCTGTTTTTGTAAGTATTGTTAAGTTTGATTTCGCTGAAGCCCAAGGCTCGTTTCTTCCAATGGAAATGGCTGTATATAATTCAAAGTAATTGATAACTTATTTCTAATGACCCACAGGTGACACAGCAGCTAGTAAATTGTTTCGAGTGATAAAATTGTTTCTTTTTTCTATTTAGTATGCTTCTAACTGTTGTAAACACCTAACTGCTTCTGGGATTCATTTTTTTATAGAAGAATTTTTGACATCCACTCCTATATAAACTTAACTGATTTTCAGACTAAAACTTTTGTTTGTACTCCTCCAATTTAATCGTATATTCGTCAATTTGGTAGTTAATAGTAGGAAACATAAATTTTTGATTTTCTAAATTACACATGCAGTCACAGTGTCGCAGATTCTCTGTATCAATTTGATACAATGTTCTAGCGTTTGTTGCTTATTGTGTGCACGCGTAGGATTTTTTGCGAGTGTGTCACTTGCTAAGCTAAGGAAGGAAGGCTATAAGATCTTAAATGATCGTACAGTCACACACAGCTTTATACAGTTTTCTGAAAATTTTTCATTGTGTGGACAGTAAAGGAATTTTGGAACTGTTTCCTATCCAAAGCACAGCTTTCGTCGTGAATTTAGAAAGATGCAAAGCAGCTTATGGTGCAAATCGATTTCAAGGCGTCTTCTTCCCTTATCACAGAAATAATTCGTGGATGGCCCACTCGACAGTAGACAGAAATCGTCTCCGATGTAAGAGCTTCAAATATCAATAACTGTTTGCGAAAAAGCCCATGTTACTCATAATCGAAATAGGTGCGGTTGTATTTCTGTTTTGGTATTAAGGAAACGTGAACATCTTTCGTTCCAGTGACTTCCTCTTGCTAAATTTACCTGTTTATGCACCTGTGCATACCTATATCGATTAAAATGTTTTAACTTTGTCATTTTGTTAACTTTATTTATGATTCAATAATATCAAGATAAAATTGATGCTCGTCATTTAGTTGAAAAAAATTCATATCTTTACAAATCAAAATTGTCCTTTATTATGTATTGGTTTTCTTCATTCATTATGTAGTGGAGGTTTTTTGTTAAAGGGAACATTTTTTTAGACATTTGTAAAGTAGAGTTTTTGGACCAAATTTAAAAAAACCTGCCCAGTACGTACGGAAATACACCCAGTACGTGACAGATAGCGGATCACTTGATTGCTCTAAGCACCAACCTGGACATAGCTGTTAAGGCATAGGTCGTTTGGAAAATTCAGCTCCAGGGCGCTGTTAGCCTTGATTTCTCTTTCATATCTATTGTTATCATCACGTGGATTGGCTCGTGCCCAGTCCTCGCTGTAGGTGTGAAATCAGACACGCGGTCTTTTATGTTAGAATTTTGAGAGTTGTAGTGTGGACATCATCGAGATCAGTCATGTAATTTGTTAAATAGATTTGTTTTGTATATATTTGATTAAAGAAAAGGAATATGTTCTCAATGCTTCAAGAATCTGCGTGTGCAATCTAGTAGTACACAACAATATCAACTTGAACCAATTATCAAAGTTATTTTGTTATGTCACCCAACGGAAGAAGCTAAATGGGACAAAAATACATGCCAGTCGAGTACTGTACACGTTAAACAATCGAATACGAACGTATTGCACTTGTCTACAAAAGTTTTCCATCAATAACACATATAAAACTCTGGAAAATTTGATTTGTCTCTTTACAGATGAGTTCATATCTCTGATTAAATGATTAGAAACGATGTTATTACGCAAAGAACCTGTATGCGGGTCTGTACTTCGTAGGAGTTTTACAAATTTCGTCAAAGCACTCGAATTGTTTTAAAGTACAAAACTTAGCTAGATGTAGTGGCATTTCTGGTGATTCTTTCAATTTTATACAAAATTTCATATCAGGTCGAAAGCAACTTATCATTGTGTGGTACTAAACTTCGAAGCGGGCGTACCGAAATGCTCCGTTAGAGGTCCTATGCTCATGCAAATATTTCTGTTGTTTTTAAAGAAAATTTGCATAGAGACGTGTTTTGTCTGATTCGGAGGCCTACCTTTGGTCGACTCTGGCCACGAAAACGTTAATCTGAGTTCACTGAGGCCTCTCTTAGCTAATAATCACAAGCTCAGATTTCATAGTTTTCGACAATATCAGGTTATTTGAATTTTATAATTTATATTCAGCCAACCAGCTTGTCAAACTTGTGAACCAAATTTTCTTTGGAAATTTGGACAATTTGTCATTTATAGTCATGGCTGTGTTTTACCTTTGTTGATGGATAGCCTAACTGTGAACTCTTTCTTTTATCATTAATCAAACTCATAATCAGACTGATAAGAATGATTTTCGAGTTGAGATGGGCTCATGCAAAACATCTTTGCAGAGTTCGTGTATCATAGCCTCCATTCTTTTAAACTTTTTGTAGAAAGTCAGAAAGTAGAAAGTCAACATGCATGTAAATAAAAACCCCTGAAAATTTCTAGACAAGGGTTGGGTGGGCAGGGTCGCAAAGGAAAAACCTTTCCTCTCCAAAGTTCAACTTCAAGTTGTCGTGCAACGTGTGAGAATGAAACTGTGCTAAGACAAAGTTTATATACCCAAGGCCAATGCACACTTGCACGCTGGTTGCTTTAGCCGTATAAAAACACAATGTAAAGCTTACTCGAGCACTGCTACAATAAACACAAACTGGACAATTGTGCAATCTGTGCCCAAAAACAAAAGCCCAAGGGGCACCTAAAAGGCGTACCCTGTCACGTCACATATTAAACGTAATTCAATTCCATTTAATCAAGCTTAAAAATCCTTGGATTATTCCTCTGAAAATTGAGTTGAATTAAAGTTGTTTTTTCTTCAGTGCTCCATGCGCAGGAGCATCTTACGATGTCCATAGAAAACAATGCAAAGGGAGGGGGATTCGACACAGATCGACGGATTAGGCGGCAGTCAAACTGGCAAATGGCAAAACATGGTTTTAAAAGCAGAGTTTTCTCATCTTTTTAAATTTCCTTTTAGCAAAGTTGTCGAGGCATATTTCAAAAAGGTATTTGCTAACTCCTTTTAATGAATGTTCTTCCATTTGCAGTTTAGTTTGCTTTTAGCTTACTTAAAACATACATCAACGTTCACTCGGAAGGCCTACGTTTTATCAAGTTGCAAGAATACATGTTTAGGCCTAGTTAGATTTTGTGAATTGCGCTTATTTCTCCTCAGTTAAACCTCAGGTATTAGCTTTGCAAGTCTCGGCACCAAAGTAATTATGCCCTCCCTTTGGAGAATCACAAGTAATGCCCCTGTTTTCGAGAAATCAGAATCTCGTACGTATAATAACAGAACAAGATAAGGACAAATTGACATCTGTACAAGAAATTACAATTATATGATGATAAGTTTTCCAGTTAGTATCATGTAGAAATAAAACCGACGGCTCTTTTTGGTTTATTTGTTGACTTAGGTATGTATATTTTCTCTTCGTTGCTCTAAACTAAAGGACCGATATTTGGAATCAATGAACGAGCGGTCCGAACATGGACTATGATCCGAATCGGATCATCCGATCGTAACGTTTCTGAACGTGTCAAAAGTAGGTCTAATTTATGATATATATTTTGCTATGCATTCCATGGGATTTCATTGTGATTTTTCCAATTTTTCGTCTATGATGATTAATGAAATATGAAAGCAAAATCCTCCTATTTCCCATTTTGTCCATGGTCGCTGAATTTCATTCTAAACAAGGAAAATATGATTTTCCATGACAAATAATAATTAATCAAGAGTAGTTGCCACTAACTTTTAAGTGGTACTAATGTCACTAATAAAAAGCAAGTGTGATATGTTTATGATTTGAAACAATGAACTCCTGGATAATTCATCATGTGCCTGTTACTGTTTGTGACTTCCATTTATTCAGTGGTGCCATGGAGGGGAGGAGGCATTTATTCAATGTTGCCATCTTTCAAATTTTTTGCAATAGTGAGAATCTAAGCAGTAATTTGCGGTAAACTTTTCGAATTAAGTCAAACTTGAAAACTGAAAGGCTTTGGAGGGCTCGGCCCTCTTGTTAAAAGTGCATGTTTGGTCGGGCAAATTCTTTAATTGACAAGATAAATAAACCATTCACCATGCTATTGATTTTCCAAGAATGAGCATTTTCCAAGAATTAGCTTTTTAGACTCGGTAAATACTTTGAGTGATTTCAACAGTTAACACATATGCAAGTATACATTGTGTTTGGCCATGGGTGTGATCTTGGGTGTTGCTTCTATAGCACAGCCTCCTTCCTAACTTTTAAGGACAACACCCCTCATTTATTTTTCATTTGATTTTGAATTCTCCATATTGCTTTACAGTATGAGGGTGGGAGAGACCCAAATGTGCAAGGAATCACAGTTGATGAACATTGGCAAGGTTTGTTGATTTTGTTAAAAAAATTTCTTAAACAACTTTTTGGACATCAAAGTGCAATTTTCTTGTTAGTACATATGTCTTCTAATTTAGCAATATCAAATTTTCACTATATACAGTCCAAAAGTGTCAAGCTGAAAGATATGAGCTTTTTTCAGCTTAGCAGCTCTGACTTGTGCGATGTTGATTTGGATGATGCAAAAGAAATTGAGTAAATTTTATGTCAAATCATGGATTTGTTTGCGCCTGATAGCTTCATATGTTTTCAATTGGTAGGATATATAAGTGATATCTTTTTTCAAAGGATTATGCTTTGCTCTTTTATATCATGTCTTAACAATTGTTTCGTGTTCTTTAACTATTTGCACACATTTATAAGTTGTTTACTACAAGCTGTTGGTTGCACTATTATTCTTGTGCAATTCAGCAAGCATGTAGTGATTTCTATTTCCATGTTCTTGAACAAAAAAAGGATAATGTTTCTTTGTGTTTTTGTAATTTTCATCTGGACCTGAGTTCATTATGCACCTGATCACCCTTTGTGATCAAAGGATTATGAAAGGTAGAATTCTTTATATATCAAAAGACTTTTCTTTATGCCAATTCTTTATGCCAAAATAAAAAAACGAGATAACTAACTAAATAGCAAACTAACTAATTAGCTAACTACAGTTGAACCTCCATATAACGGACACCAGTGGGACCAATGTTATTGTCTGTTGTAGAGAGGTATCCACTGTATGGAGGTGTCATCTTTTTATATCTTTTGTTTTGGGACTCAAATATCTGTCCGTTGTTTGGAGGTGTCTGTTGTATAGAGGTGTCCGTTGATGGAGGTTCCACTGTATCTAACTGAACTTTTGGTGACAATGGAACTTTATTATATATAGATAAAGATAATGGAATAGAATATTGGAGAAGATCTGGTAAATGTAACAATGTTTGCCCATGGTTTCTAAGAAAGGTAAGTGGATTTCTAAATTTGGTAAAGTTGCATTATGCTATTCTTTTGTATTATCTGACCGCATCTTATTCTATCTTAACTTGTCCAATTTCTTCTGACCATATCTTATTCTATCTAACTCATCTAATTTCATCTAAACTTGTCTTATCTTATTTTATCTTATCTTATCTTATCTTATCTTATCTTATCTTATCTTGTTTCATCTAAACTTATCTATCTTATCTTGTGACTATATATATATATATATCTTATATACATTATTTTATATACCACTTTTATTAATGTATTTAAAGGACAAGTGACACGCTTTTGGCGCCAAATTTTTTTCTTCTTTTAACTTAAAGTAAAATGCTGTATGAGAGTGCTGTTGAAATATTTTTCCTTTCTGATTTCATTTTCCTACTTAAAAACCCTTTTCAAATTATGGCGGGAAATGAATCACGTGGCACCCTGACGTAGATTGTGATAATTTGTTATTGCTGCTACTGGTATACAGTGCAATATTAAGGTTTACAACACGCTTCTAACCGAATTCAGTTCGTCTGGACCTGTTGCGTCGTGTTTCGTAAACTCTCTATTAATGACAGGAAAATTCCGAGTTATCACAATGTACGTCATAGGGTCACGTGATACAAAGGAAAATCGCGCCCCCTGCGCCCCCTGATTAGAATTTTTTGTTCTAAACCAGGAAAAACTTACTTCTAAATGATGATCTATTAGTAAATGAAAAGAAAAGATAGGGTGAAAAGTGTGTCACTTGTCCTTTAAGGTAAAAGTGGGTAGTCTGCATATCTCCTGTTTGCAATCCAACAGGGTAGCTACCACAGGTGACAATGGCTCTCTCCTCACAGAACTGGCATTGTACTTGGTAAGGATTTGGTAATCATTGTGAGAGTTGACTAAGGATGGGTTTACTGTTTTCTAATCAACCTAATGATAGAAAGCATGGTTTTCAGAATTATTGTTTTGCACCATCATCAATGGTCAAGTTTCAAGTTCAAGATTCAAGTTTTTGCTTTTATATACATGTTAAACATAACATTTGTGTAAACCTATTTTCTCAGTTTTCTATTTTTTATCTGTTTTAGTTTTTGGCTGATCCATCAGTATTTTTTGTTGAAGAAGTAATACTGGACAATGTAAAAGAGAGATTGGTTTTACATACACAAAATATCACATACAGTAATTATATTATACTCGAGGAGAAAAGTGAATTTAGAAGATCAGAATGTAACACTAACTGGTATGTACAGTTTCAAGATTGCCCTTTAAAGGTTTGTGAAACACAAGCATGATGGTTTTGATGAAATTCCTCCATTTTGGCTGATATTTAAAAAGCTTAGGCTTCAAAAATTGATTTGGTCAAAGACCATGAAAATGCAAAGGAATTGACAACTTTGGTACAGATAATATACAACATTTTGTTAAAATAATCATAAAATTGCAAATAACCAAACATAAAACAAAAGGAAGGTAACAGATGATTGAAAAAAAGCAAGTGAAAGCTGGTAGTCCATGCATTTAGCCAGCCTCTTTGTGTATTTTACATAACTGGCCGAATTTGAATGCCAACCTTAAAATATTTGGCTTGTAACAAGCCTTGTAAATTCTCAGCAGTGGAAAATCAAGCTGTTTATTACACTGATAATTGCAACATATTTAGCTTAGCTATTAGAGAAATCCTATTTTTTTGAAAATATGGTATTAATGAACCTAGTAAGTGAAAAAAACATGTAAACATAGGAAAAATTACCATTTTCTGGAATCAGAACTCTTAGCCTGTTCAGTCCAGTGATATCCCAAATGGCCCTTATTTCCTTTAGGACACAGTTTGTACAGCAAGGAACTATTGATGCAAAAGGGCTTGGCAGTGTTAGCTCATTTGTTGAAAGATTTGCCAAATCATTTCTGGTACAGGGAGGTTCAAAGGTATATTTCATACGATTTTCTTTTTGGTTTCCCTAGTATAAAAAGTCATATCCAGACTGCTAGAGAAGCTATACAGTAGATGAGATAAGATGTTGCAGTACCAGCCACCATGTCTTGAAGGGGGCAGGGAAAATATAAACAATAAGATCCTCCTCCCTTTACTGTTAGACACAGCCTTTTGCCAACAGTGGAACACCCCTGCTACCAACAAGGACAGTCAAAGAATGCTTTTGTTATATTATATGTTATTGCATCATGATTCACCTGATTGTGAAACTGCAATGATGTTAAATCCCTTATTGCAGATCTCATGTATTGGTTTAACAATTGTGTCACTGCAATGGAATTAGCTAATAAGCCAAACTTGATTGAAACACAAAGCAACATCTTTTATATTGCATTTAAAATGCTCCTTTTTCCATATCAATTTTGGAATTTCATTCCTTTTTCTGACAAGATAGAAATTGTGCTTAGCTTGGAGAATTAGGAAATCATTAGATACTTTGAAGAGATGAGAAACAGTTGCCTGATAGTGTCCTTGCTCCATGGCAGGTATGACAAAGGTAGTCTGTGAAGGCTACATGGGACCTATAGGATTGAAGAACTGTTTTTAAGAGCCATTAAAATTTAGGACTTTGCAAATGCTAAAATTGCCATTAGATAAATGGTAAAGGAAAGACTAGCAACCTGATTTTGCTAATCTTGCATTGAAGTGTATGGATACAAAAAGGTGACTAAAGCCCTGTATCCTGAGTTAAAATATTTGGCTAATTCAACTTTTACACTAGTTTTAATGTTTTCCACATAATAATATTTTGTGGTATTGGATTGCTCTCTGTTGTTGTACATTATTCCTGTTTTTTACTAAGGAACTGTGATTTTTCTTCAGAAATTTAACATTTTGCAATTCAAAAAGTGGAATTTTACCAATTTAATTTCTAAAAAATTAGCATTTCTTCTATTTCTAAGAAATTGGCAATTTTTCTGTGACATTAATCTACTTGTTGTCTAGCAATCCATTGGTTTTTTATCTGGGTGTGGCATTTATTGAAACAAGTTACTGCAGAGTTGTTCACATCTTATGCTCTCTTGCAGGGTATTATGATCATGGAGGACATTCTCGCCTCTAATGTTTGTTGATATCACCCTATGACTGCCTTTCTTCTTGCATACATGAATGCACATACATATGTACTTTATGCAGCCTTTTTATACAAGTTTTAAAGGCATTTTATACCAATCTTTCAGAGTGTAAGCATCATGGAGGAGCTCTTAACATCTCATTTTGCATGCTAGGCTTCCATAATGGGCCAGCAGCAAAAATGAGAATTCAAGTCTAATGGGTTTTCTGTGATTGGCCAAGTAGAGTATAAATATTATATTAAGTAATACATTGATGCTTTTAATGTAGTATTTATAACAATCTAGTAAATGATTAGTTGCATTCATATGCATGTATATCAAGCAATAACATTTAAGTACAATGTAATTGCTTTGATATAAATGTCAAATCTTCTTATTATTTATTTAACTGATTTTATCAGTTATGGTTTGACATTATTTTGATAAGATTCTCATTTCTAAAAACCTTATTAACACACAACTATTGAAAATAAATTAAAGTGCCTTTTTAAATATCACCCCTATAATAAAATATAACAACTTGGCTCGTTAGATTCCTCAGTTCAAAACTTATTTTGATTTGGTCATTTAATAGATTTCTGACCTTTGAAGCTCCCCGTTCATGTAATAATAGGTTTTTCAATGCCACCATTTTCCAGACAATTGTGATTGGTTCCAGGACAATTTCAAGTTCAGTAATCAATCTTAAGTATTATTGGTATGTCTGTAATTTTAGCGATAGGTCGTTAATATTATTAATAAATATGTATTTGTCATTCAATGTATTTCGAATAATGTAGGTAAACGCTTTTCATATTCTTGCAAACCTTGTAGTTTAATATTAGCTTAAATGATCAGTTTGTTTGCTGGAAAGTTGTAGCAAATGCTAGCATTTCATATGTTTTCATAAGTTTCCAAGAAAGTTATCCAAAATAAAATACAAAATTTCAAGAAAAGAAATTTGCGAAGAAATTTGATTTAGAGTCATCCATTAATTCTTTCCAGTAATCAACGCTGTTGGGATGTTCTTCGCACCTCCCCATCTCTTCCTCTCCCCTCCTCTCCGTCTGTCCTTCTCTCCTTTTCCCGTTCTATTCCTCTTGGCTTCTTTTTCACTATCTTTTCTCCCCCCCCCCCCTTCCCTCTGTCCACTCCCTCCTCTTTTGTTTTCTTTCATTTTCGTCTTTTAGCGAAACGTCTTTAATGTTAACATTGTTAGTTAAAATCTCATTTTCGCTGTTTTCTTCACTGTTACTGCGATTCCTGAGGATCGCCAACTTTATTTAAATTTTTCTTCATGTTGTTAACTTTTAAAATCTATTTTATATACCTTAATTTTTCGCAGACCGCTGCTTTTTTGTGTGTCCCCCTATTTTAAATTCTAACTGGTATTGTTCAGTTTCGTTCTTTATGTTTTGAAACTGATTTAACTGCAAGAAAGTATTTCAAAATGGTGCGGGAGAGTAAAAACATGTGTGGTAACTCTACAAGTTCGCGCTTCTATCTAGATTGAACTGTCGGTCAATGAAGGAAACGGGTTACAAATAACTTCAAAGTTTTGCCGTAAATTGTGTTGTGATATAACAAAGGGAAAGCAGCCATGCTTTCTCATTTATTTCAACGAATCAGTATCATGAAACCTGGCCATCAATATGATTTCACGTATCCCACAATGCAATCTGACTTTAAGCTGACAAGTGCCCAATGCCTTCATTTGTTATTGACCTATTTTTGACATATTTCTGTTAATGCCTCCGATTTGAACCTAAACTGCTATTTCAGAAGTAGTTAATAGTCAGAGAAGCGCGACAGCAGTAACCCTTTCATAGCAAGAAGAGTTTGAATGCCTTGAGAACCAGCTCTTTCATTTTGATACATCCAGCGACAGCTACCAAGCCTGACTTGAAAGGATATTAACAAAATAGAAGACTTGTAAATCAAATATGAATGTAAAAATGTTTCCTACATATAAACCCTAAATTTTTTGCATTTTATATACAGAAAGATGTTTGGTGTCCATAGTCTGCTTCTATCCATAAATGTTTAAAGCATCTGAACTGATGTATTGCTACATCCCTGCAGATTCTCGCTTTGTAGACATCCAGTCGTATGCAACCCCCCGACCTTCTTCTTCAACCAGTTTTCTTGTCATCATGATTACCCCCGCAACACCTACCATAACTGCAACGAGGCCGCAACCAACTGCCAATATCAAATCTTTAGTCTGTACGTCACTCCTTTTGCGGCTCAGTTTAAATGTCTAGAATAGAAAAACAACAAGATTTTTTGATAGGTCTACACTTACTAGAGCAATTTTGCTAAAGCAGTTTAAGAATTGTTTACCCTTAGTGGATCTGTTTCAATAACGTTCTTGTTCATCCAGAAATGTTTTGATAGTTTGAAAACGGACAGTACCGAGTGCTCACGTGCCTAGATTATATTTACCCCTAATCTTCAAGAATTCGTAAATACTATCTATGTTTTAATGTCTATTACTCACATGTTACCCGCAGTAACCTTCTAAAAGCTCACTTCTGAGAAAGCTGAATGATTATTGCGAGAGGCGTTCTGCAACTCATCTAATCAAGCCGAGTTCCTCTGCAGAAATTTTGCAAATTACTCTCTACCACTTCCTGCTGCTTTCAGATCACAGATCACTGATTACTGTATATTGATTCTCTAAGCGTCCATGCTTACCTCGGCATTATTGTCGTCATCCTCTGTCCCATCTTCTTCAAAACTAAAAGGATTCTCTTCAATATATTCTGCTTCAAGCTCATCTGTTACAGCTGGTTCTCCGCCCTCTGTTGCTTCTAAATCTATTATGCAAGCAAGCACTGTGTCAAAAATTTGTATTCACTGCGACAAGGCATATCTCTTTACAGAATCTATGCACTAAATGTAACAAAATTATGATTAAAGTGCCAAGGTTAAAACTCTAATCAGGGTACAGTTCCCACGACCTTGCACCTCAGCTCACTTGGTATCTTTAGGAATTGTTTCACATTTAGCATTTTCATTGTTTCTACCTACGATTTGCTTAAAATATGAGCTGTACTTGCTGCATATGTTTATGTTTATTGAAAGAAAGCATCTTTGTCTTATACAAAAGTTTAACTTCAATGATGATTCTACGTTCTAATCAAACTATTGTTCTAAAAAGGAATTTGCCTAAACACAGTTTCAGGCAGCCTTTCCACTAGCCTGGGTTAAAACATATCCGGGTTAAAAGTCCATGCATCTCTGGATTTTTGGGGAGATAGGAAGGCTTTGTGCTTAGGAAACCAATATGCTATGAATCCAGTCAAAGTTTCGTCAAATTTCTTACATTTGGGATGGTATTTTCTTGCAACATAGGCTATTAGAGTGTCCTTTGACCCTTTGTCATTCCTCTTTGGGGCACATGACTCTAGACTGTCACAAATGACTGAATAGCAATCTTTGTTAAGCATAAAGGCCAAGTCACAGTCACGAATTCCACAGCACTGCGATACACATTGCTTCATTGATGTGATTGAGTTGTTTGCTTTCAGGAAACGCCCTGCATTCCTTCCTTCTGCTAATGTGACATTTTTGTCTATTTTGCTTTCTTTGCAATTGATTCTACCAAACGGCTCGGCTATATCCAAACAAACCCCTGCAGGAAAAAAGAGCTTCTTTATTATAGGCAATTCATTGCTTTCTCAAAAAGAATATAAAAACAAGGCCACGTATTTCTCTGAAGCAAGAACAAAGGGTTTTTTAAGACTGTTGTTAAAAATGATCGATTCATTTTCAGATGATCTTGCCAGACAACCATGGAGGGACCCCGGCACTATGAAACAATCAGGAATGCAATGGAGCTGAAAAAACTAATTAAAAAAATTTGGAAATTTTGTAACATGAATAGTATTCCTAGAAATCTTATCTCAGCCTCTCAAAAAATTTAATTCCCCTTTATCTCCTGTTTGACTATGTTTAATTCAGCCATGTTTAACTAAATTAGGACTCGATAGCCTTTTCACAAGTTCTTCCCAAGGGTCCTCACAGCCACGTAGCTGCAGGGGGCATGGGAGGCTGTGCTCCCTCCAAATGAAAATTTTGACAAGATATTGCCCCCTCTGTCTACATTTTTTTCGAATTATATTTGAAAGTTTGCCATAATTATAATTCCATGAGCTTAATTTAGTCCACATATATCGGCTTATTGGATATTTGTTTTTTGTTTCAAAACCTGCCCCTCTCAGATATGGTTCTTGCTCGAGTTGGCTATATTCCAATAACGAAAAGTAGATTTGCAATATTTCGTGTGTTTTCTCGTATGTTGCATCTAGTCGCTGCTTTTTTTGCTTGAATGGAATTAAATCTGATTTAAATTGAGGTAAATCTAAGAAGAAGCGTTCAAGTAAAGAGACTGACTTTTCTATAATTCTCTTTTTGCTTACCGCTATAAAATGACATCAGTGAAAAAAGTATTTTTGCCAACTGCAGCATCCTGTGTTGTTGTAAATACGTCATCAATCATAACGGTGTGTTTTCTTTCAAGCGTTCCCTGGAAGTGAATTTTTAATAATATTTATAAAAGAATATTAAAACGAGGCATTGCAAGTTCTATATCGTTGATACTTGTAATTATATTACAACAACCCCACGCGCCCCCAATCTTTCCACCATTATAGATGCAAAACAAAAGAACGTCTGATACACGAAAATCCCCCAGAAACCAAATTTGATGTTCGTTTTTAAGATATATTTCTAATACTACTACATAAAAATTGGACGCTTCGGCACAATACACTACCTTTTTGTATTGTCAATATCAGTAGGTGAGCAATTTGCAGAAAAAAATTATTGCTAGAAAAAACAATAAAAAATGCTAAAATATTAAGAAGATGGAGTTCATCATATTAGCTTTTCATATTGAAAAGTTTTTAATTATTTAAGCGAAGCTCACGTTATTAACTTGAACAACAGGTTCCTGCAATGGTTGCAAAATGCTTTAACAAAATATAAACTTTTGTTTTTGAAGTGTTTTGTAACGTATAATTAAGAAATACGTGTATTTGTTCCAAGTGAAGAATTTTCTTATAGCAAAGTGCTAACCAAGATTGATAGGACGACATTAAATAGCACAAGGTTTTTCAATAATATTTGAGACACACTCTTGCACATTTCTCGACAAAGGAAATGTTTTATTCCTGGATGCCACCTACAATCCTTGACAAAAGTCCTTGGAACACCCTGCGACTATGAAAGACTTTGAAGAAATAATGGTTAATGGCCGTAAGATACAGAAATATCCCCCCTCTCCCCAAAAACAATGTTGGTTGAAAAGCCTGTTACATGCCCTAGCTGATACAGTGACATTGGACGAATTTCAAGCTTTGAAATTGTCGTTTTGCAACATTGTTTGAAGGGGAAGAGGTAAAGGCTACTGAAATGATGCGAAATTTTAGCTTGGTGATCCAAGATTTTTGGCAAGGATTGTACTTTAGATGCTAGATTTTAACTTGTTCGAGCTACTACCAAATTAGATTAGGTTTAAGACCCAGGTAATTCTTTACGATATTCTTCTCTTATCGATCAAACTTAGCTTTTAAGAAGTTAAATTTATGATGTATGTTTTATGTCACAGAAATGCAAAAGTATTAACGATTTGTTCGAATCATTGCATAGATGATGCTATCATCTATTGACAACCTTTCATTTTGTTCAAGTAATTCCAATGCAATGTATAATTTTCTCTAAAAGTAAACAAAGTTATTACTGTGAGACTAAAAATTTTTATTCCAGTGCAAATGCTCATTTATGATTTACATTTCATTGAAAGAACATTTTTTGTAGAAATTTGGATTTCCAGGCAGTGTATATGTTTTTAAGTTTGATATTTTGTTGTTCTTCGATTCTTGTCTAAAGAAACACGCACAAAATACGCTTCATTTTAATCTCTAATTCCCTAAAACTGCTCAAAACATGAAAGAAGAAAGGATCATTCTATTTGAAGCTTTTTATCTGTTAAAATCAACATTTTCTTACCTGCGATTGCTTTTGTTGAGAATTTCGAAACTGCAAAATTTCCAGTCGATCGATGTTAAGGTTAATCCGCCATTATGGATCAAGCGAGCTAGAACTCTCTAATCAAATTAAAAGGCAGTGACCTTGACATGCATGGCTGCCTCTTGCTAAAGTAATCTTCTCAAATACTTTACAAGCTGTCAACAAGCAATCAAAACTTGCAGCAGTTTGAAATGTGCAATTGAAGAGTTTTCATAACATTTTTGTCTCCCTGGGCTTTTGAAGAGGTATTTGCGACGCATGTAATCACTGATCAAAAGAAGTCAATCCTTTTGCGAGGCTTGATATTACAATGATCTCGTTGACAAGCCCTAGCAATGTCGCTACCGTTTGTAAAAAGGAAATTAAATACGAGCAATGCTATACGCTCTATACGCTGATGGAAAATAGTTTTCATGAAAAGCTCCATGTGGATCCAAGGTCAAACGCGATTATGGTCAACAAAATACACTCCGTTGGCATTCTAGAGCTTTTGTCCGAATCCTTGTTGCAAAGAAGACATTCATCACACTGAAGATTCATTCCTTCTTTGATAGAAAATAATTGATACAGCAATGAAACAAATTATTTATGAACACATAAAAACAACTTTAGTAAACACCAGCAAAGTTAAACCCGTGTCTTAATTGAGAAAAACCTAACAGAAAAAGTTGATTGCAATTAGATATCTTGCCATGCCGAAAACACATCATTTTTTGAGCAGCATGCACCTCATCAAATGGTCTCAAAAGGGGAGAGCTAAGAAAGCTGTTGCAGAGAATCTCAGCTATAAGGCTTATTTGGAGAGAGCTCCAATTTGTCAAAAGTTCCATAAGAGCTACATGCGTAATAATAATATAATCATTTATACAGGGTTGCCTTTTCAGCAACAAAGGTGCTGTTATCAATAAGAGCCCTATTTTAAAAATATACAATATTAGAAAAATCTAAACGTTAAAAAGGAGTTACTTACTATCAGAATCTTAAAATCAAAGCTTTAAGATCATTCTCTACTTTACAATCTCTCTTACGATTAAAAATGTTCTCTCAACTTAAATTTACGAATAACAAGCGATTTCAGGGAACGTATGACTCGTGGAAGTTCGTTAAAACAGTACGGTCCTTGAAAGTAAAGGGACCTTCTCGCAGTTTCTGTTTTAACCAAAGGCAGTCTAAGCAATGATTTATTGTTTCTTGTTTCGTGTTGATGGTCAACATTGTCTGTGTAATTTCTGAGGGCTGGTATGCAAGTTCATTCATGAAATTTGAACTGTATCTGTATGTCAGCTTTCATTTTTTAATTATTGATCGAAATATGGCCACATCTGTTGTCTGCCTGCAATCCATATATTACTTTTACTTACAGTAAAGCATTGTCGGGAGAATAAAGGAATTGTACACTGCCTTAGCAGCAAAAACGAATCACACACACGGGACAACAGCTTTATTCGGGCATTTGCCATTCGGACTACGCTGCCCTTCAATTCAAGTTTTTTTCACTTCAACTGACTATATGACGATGAGAACATAGGTAATTTTTAGATAGAGATAACCTGTTCTTGACAAATGTATGGAAAATGGGCCACAGGTTTTTCTTTGTTGTTTTTGTTCTCTTTCTGTCGTAGTTAAGATATGAGCTTCCATAAAAAATTCAAAACCCTTGAAATCCTAGTCGAAACCCTAAGCTTTCTTGGATGTTATCAAAAACTAGTAGACAAATGTTTGAAGTCTTTTTGAAATTAATAAACCCAGCTTTGACATCGTAAAATATGTCGATATTTTAATGTTTTTGCCGACAATAACATCAGTTGACCTGACTTTCACAAGACTGAAAAATGCATTGTTGATGAAACAAATTTTCGGCAAAAACGAACTTGCAAACAACGAAAATTGCATTTTTTGGCATGTTATAGATTATTTCGCATTAACACATCAAAATAAGATTTAAGCTACTAAACTCTTCGTCACTCTTCCTTGTAAAATTTTGTTAACTTAGCAGGGTATTTTTCAGACTTGGATTCCTTAGCGTTTCGGTTTCTTTTCATACAGGACATTGGAGTGCTCTGCACTGAAATCTCTATGTTGCAAGAATTCTTCTGTCTGTTGACTAGTGTTGATGATACATTAGCTGTTGGCTTAAATGCATATTATGCACAGAGTTACAAAATTAAACTACGTTCATTTTTGTGAATAAAGAAAATGCTATCTAGCGATAACATATCGAAGGAGGAGAGTTGCTATCTCATATTTGCAAAATAAGGCTATGAGCTATCAACCATGTAGAAATAATGTCATGCACACCTGTCACTTAATGGTCTTGCTTAGAAACAGTTGATATGTAGCAAATTTAGAAAAATCGAGGTTAAAATAAGAACAAGATTAAGAACGCGTGCGCCGCAAATAATAAAAAGATGAGAACTTCGAGCCTTGGAAAAATTATTCGCTTTTTCTAAAAAAGATTGCATAGCGCCAATGGTCTGATCTCAATAAAATCTCCGTTGCCAATATCCAGCCAGCGCATAACAACCCGGAATCTAAAGTCGTGAAAACACTTCAAAAAGTGAAACCCAGAGTCGTGTAGCTGAGGCCAAAATCTTGAAAATATTTTCATAGATTATGGGGGTAATATGTAGAACAGATAGATTAGAACATATGAGCTTGAAATGTTCAAATGAGAATTGGAAGCTGAAATTTGGAGTGGGTTGCAGATATAATTTTTTCAAAATTCTGTTAAAGTAGCAAAACTTCTATGATTTTCCAATAAATTCGATCCTTTGCCCCCTTCCTTCTCTCCTTTTATTACCAGCGATTGTGTCACTGCAGCTACTTGGTTTTATGGATTGTGGCTACTTGGTTTACCCGAAAATTTGAGCCTTTCCCTTCTGAGCCCCCCTAGCACTACACCCCTGGATTTACCTGCTAGAATCATTTTTCAGTCGTCAATGTTTAAATTTATCTAGCAAGACCATTTAGCTATTAAGTACAAGCTGCTTCAAAGTGAGACTCAGTTCCAGGACCCCAAACATCAAGCACCTGTAACCTTTGATTTTCTGAGCATTCGCCATTTACCAAGGTCAGGTACCCGCTATTTTGATCGCTTTTTGTTATTTCTTTGTCTCAATCTTGAATTCTTAATGCGTGAAATTCGTGTAAAAACAAAATGGTGAATGGATAGTATAAAGACAAAGGTATGCTCTCACTAATGCAAATATGTTTCTTAACCTAATTCTTGTTCGATATTCCATTAATTGCAAACTAACTCCAAAAAGCTTTTGTTTTAATGTTGGCCAGCTGTTGATTCGGTGGGTGATCTGCTCAAGAACTTATGCAAATTTATCATTATTTATTTCGATTCACCTTTGTCACCCAACCATTATTTAGTTTTCAGTTATTCCTATATTTACGTATATTTGTATTCAATTATTCATATTTCTAAGTAAAAAATATTTGTTTATTTCAAAAGAAACTATGATTGTGCTTTCTAAGCCTAAAATACAAATTTTCTAATCATCGCCATCTTTGATTTTGCAAAAAAATTATATTATATCCATGTGTCATTGTCACTGAGCCTTTCATGAAAACTATTTTCTATCAGCGTATAGCATTGCTCGTATTAAATTTCCTTTTTACTAACGGTAGCGAAATTGCTAGGGCTTTTCAAAGAACATCTTTCTTTCTATATCCTAAGTAAGAAGATCACTTTGATAGAACATTGAATAAGAGCAAATGGCATTCAAAAATAAAATTTAAGTTAGCAATTTTCGTAAACCCTTTTCAATGATGTAAATTCAAAGTAAAAGCATTTGCCAAACGAAAACTGGATTTTCCGAATAAAAATCCCTTCTTTACACAAAAGATGTCTTCTACCTAAAATAATTTGCGATCGCAGCTTTGAACAAATGACTGGAATAAAATTCAATGTTAGATAGAGTATAGAATGAAAACTCTGTTTTGTAATAATGAATCGAGCATAAAATGATTAAATATCGTATGTAAGACAGAGTATACTTATAGGCCATCAATCTTGAAATCAATCTTGTTCATGGAATTCGAAACATCTTTAATTAATACAAGAGCTATTAACTAAAGTAGTGAGCAGGAGAAAAATAGAGGATCTTCTTCCTTTTACTAGTGATTGGATTATAAGCGCCTGTAAAGCCAAAAAAATTTCCTATCTTTGTTTCCATTATTTATCCAACAGGCTTACGAACAGAACGTTCTTGTACATTTCTATCAAAAATGAGCGATAAATTCTTTAACATTTAAACTGATTATAACTTTGCAGTCTGTTCTTGAAATTGGACATCAGCTAAAATGCTGTCTAGATATGCAGCATCCTAAGACATTTTAGAGAACCTCTTTAAAACAATTTGTTTCTTTTCAGGATGGTACTTCTTGCAAGAATATACTTCAATAGAAAAGATGATTTTGACCCATCATGAAGAAGCGCTTAAATATTATTATATTGTTCTTCAGTACTATTTTGTTGCCCGCACTACCTATAGAAGGTAAGTTTTTTTCATATCAAATGGAGAGATTCGATCTTTAGACGTCTATCATAGACGTCTTACCACATCTATCATAGAAGTCTATCATATTTTGTTGGTAACTAACGTTAGGAAACTTTCCAGCGTTAAAAAGTTATTTTCATCGAGCTTTTGTTAAGTTTTCATGATTTGACCTAATGCTGAATGTATTCGTCGCATGTTTGAGTCTGGACCTGGTCGTGTCAACTTCTCACATTTGTTCTCAAATACCCTGTTCTCCTATCTTTAAAGCTGGGTTAGTTTGATCAAAACTCTCCTTATGCAAGTTAAGGAAATGATATTAACATTAATGGATGATAAAACCTTATAACTGTGGTGAAAAAGTGCACAAATATATTGATGTAACAATTGATGGTTCTCAACAACATAACGAGTATCTGACATGCAAATCCAACAGATAGCAAACCAAATTATACCTTTTTCTGCAGTTCAGCTTGCTCCCTTAAGTCTCAATGAAAGACTACACCTCCTTACATTTCCCATGCAAACATAATTTCAAGCCCATTTGGTAAGATATTTCGTGAATTTAACTATGCCATTATTAAAAGACCATGTGCCACACAGCGATTAATTATTGACCAATCTTTTTAAAGGTTGTCCTCTACTTCGATAATTTTCTTTTGTGTTCGCTGTGTGAACTGCTTGGTTTCTAGCAAATTGTTTGCAAGAGAAAAATTTCCTTTCTGTGATCAAAGAGACCTCTATGCTCTGTAGCAGTGCCACACGAGCAACAAATTTGAGATGGAGGCTAGCCCTTTAGTTATAGTAAGTCTAAGTTGGTCAATGTGGTGTTAACATTTTCTTTCAATTCAGATTCTGAGTCATCTGCTAGCAAAGGACCAAAGTTTTTGGAATATTTCAACTTCCTGCAAAGCGATAATACACTCCTTTCAAGACGGAAGCGGATATCAGATCTGGTCACAGATAACGATCATAGATCCCAACAGCTTCCTTCATCAGAGTACGCTGGAGACCAAAGCCCGTCAACTGTCACAGAAAGAAGCGTTGATGCAAACAGCCGCAACTCAAAGGTAGTAGAATCCATTGAAAAGTACAAGAAGGCTATGTAGCTAGAGATAACCTACTTACTGAATCTAAGGGTATCCTTGAGAAGGGGCAGAGAAATAAGAAATGGCCTCTAGGTCTGCCTAGATAAAGAAGTTCTTTGATCTTCCTCAAAATTTCCCGCCACCTTCCATGAATATAGTAGCAACTGATTGCTTACCTATAAACGAAATGGTGTCATAGAGTCTTAGCACGTCACTGAGAAATTTTTTAGCAAACACTAACCAAAACAACATGATCAACGAACTTTTATAAAACTATCTTTTGGTGGCACAAAACTTGTAAATGGCAGAGTGTCAGACGAAAAGCTTTAGTTTACTAAATGTTTGCTTTTTTCAAAGCCTTTTATAAAACTGCTTTACATTCTTGTGTTATTTCCTGGGTATCATGTCATCAACATAAAATCACTTTTTATATGTTTAAATTTTAGGTTGTCCTACCAAATATAGTAACAATATCGTCAAATGTCGTCCCAAATGATGATGACGATTCGGGTGACGCAGATCAAGCAGAATCCGGCAATAATGCAAAAAATTTTAATCCCAATGAGAAAGTGATCGTTGACTCGGCAGGTATTGCATCTTTTACTTCGTAGTTTTTTTTACAGAAAACTGAATTCACAGAAAACTGAATTCTTTTACTTCGTAGTTTTTTATCAATTCGCTCAATTTTCAGAAGCCAACTCGAATAAAAATATATTTGCTTTTATATTTAAAAACAAGCTAACTGTGTTTACATATCGGCTAATATATTTCAATCAAGAATTGACCAATCATTGAATGTGTTTCTATTCAAGCACTTTAGTGATTGGCTACTATTGATTGACAGATGTCTTAAAAGTACCTTAAAAGGACTGCGTATACCCAACTTGTCAAGCCACGCATCAAAAAAACGGTTTGCGATTGGTTAGTATTCTTGCGATGCAAAACTGCTCACGTGAAAAGCTGACCTCGCAGCAGGATAGATAAACAGAACGACCGTAGTGACTGGGGCGATGACATGGAAAATCACATGTTTCTAAAAACCCCGCAGAGCTGCTTGCTTTAGCTGGAAACATTACCTTTAAGGCGCTTTTTGGGTCGATTGCCTTTAATAATGCTGGTCATTGGAATAACATTTCACATTATTATCTTATAAACAATTTGTTTTATGTTGATGATTCATTCTTGGCAGCTATTTCAATTAATCATTAACGAGATGTTACAATGCATAACTGTGAATTCAAGCCTATCCCCAATATTCTAATTTTCTCTCTCCAGATATTTTGTGGCCTAAAGGACGCTACGGTTTGCCTAGGACAATCCATGGATGCCCAGTATCAAAGGGATTTGTATGGAAAGAAGGCTATCGTTATCATGACACCGAAGATGATGGGACTGAAAACGAGCATTCAGACAACTTCCATCTTGCAAGTAACTTCACTGAAGATGGAATCCGTCATGAATTTTGCATTAAAGATTCCGACATTGGTGACAGCGAGTGAGTTCTTTTATCAGTATAACAATAGTTATATATTTGTTTTAGCAGGGGTGCCATGTCGGCAACTGGAATCCAGTCACTTCTTTCAATTTGCAATGACCTTTTTCGGAACATTTTTGAGTTATTAGTCTACAGACAGCATGTATTATACTTTATGCCACGATCATTTATCCAATGCCAATTTCATCAGATTCTGCTCAAAGGCCCATTTCGATTAATTCAAACTTCATTTAGTTTCTGGTCTATCACTTAGCAACAGATCACATATCCAACTCCATCCCTTTCTAAGTTCTTTGTCATTTCTATTTGAGAAATGAATATCGATCTTGAAGGAAAGGAATATCTTTAACAGTTTTCTCTGCTTCGTTGTAGTTTTAAAATCCACGTTACTTTCAAATTTCTTCTCTCTCTTTCTCCTTGTTATAAAAAGGTGATGACTTTGTTGATGATTATAATAATAATAACAATACTGATGATGTTGATGATGATGATGCAAAAATACAATTTGTTCAAAGTTGGCGTATAAATCTAATAGTTTTGATATATCGAATTGATGCCAAATATTATAGTTATCAAAAGTATTTACAATGTATGAGAAGTATATAAGAGAAAATAAGAGATAATAAGAGATCATGGAAGAAGAAAACCTAACTTAGAAATGAATGTTTTACACAGTCTACAGTCACACTCACGTTTTGTGGGTCCTTATTTCTTTTAAAAAATCTTTCGATGATTGGGACCCTCTTAATCCGTGAGGTAACGTTTGCCACAGCATTTGACCAAAATTTGTCACATTGATCTAAATGAAAAGCTGTTCATATTGATTTTGCAAGTTAACCAGCGTCATTTGTTTCCTCAAACAGATGGCCTCCTGGAAAATATTGCATCTACAAAAAAGGACCCGAATGTCCAGGCTCCATGATCGAAGGCTTTGTTATCTGGGATGACGAGAACACTGACAACCAAAACGAACGTGGAGGAGCACTGCCTGAAGGACTCTACTCTGACGATACGAAAATATATTTTTGTTGCCAAACAGAGGGTGCCGTGAACAAACCAATTGAATTGCCGACTGAGAAAGACTTTTTACTATTTTCTTTCCAATCTACTAAATGCCAGAAGGTGAGTTTGAAGTAAATTTTTTTTAAAGTGTTGTGTCATGTAATGAATTGCAACATAATTGCTGATATTGAAAGCAACATACCTTCTAATCCGTGCCTTTTACCTATAAGATATAGGGTGAAACAGCGAAGGGCATTAATAGTAACTCAAACTATTGACACCTAAAGGATAATTCGTTAACATGTCAGCTTGTGACATAAAAACTTCAGTAATTGTTTTGATGCGTTAATGGCTCTGTTATTTTTCTTCAAAGAACAGTACTTCAACTTGGTACTGAAGTTGATTCCACTTTCACTATCCAAAATTTTCTCATTTTCGTAGGTTCGCAACATGAAGTCATCAAGTGAATTTTTGAAATTCGATGATGAAGACCATGGCAACATCGACTACGAGGGAGGAGCTTACCCTTATGGTATACACAAAGCTCAGAAGGACCACATGCTGTTTCTATGCTATTACGAACCAGATAATAAAGGTTGAGTACTTTGTGCTAGCTGACAATTTACCTAAAGAGATGATAGTAGTGCCGCTGTATACCCATTTCAAATGTACTACACTAGCTAGTTTTTCTTTAGGCCAATTCCAGTTTTAGGCATGAACAAAGCGAAAACATATTTCAAAAACGTTATCATTTTCAAAAGACCCCATGGTTTCCATACTATCAGTATAAGCCAGCATGTTGGAAGACTGAAACGTGAATTTATCTTGTTATGAACCAGACTTTCTTTAAAGATGGTCGCTTTTCCCTCCAGTTTTGACAAAGCCTGCTTGCTACAGCTAGACCCAGGAGTGGCGGCATGGGGGGGCAAGGGGGGGCTTTAGCCCCCCCTAGATTTTTGTTAGCCCCCCCGTCGGCAGCCAATCAATTTTTGCTTTCTCAATACCGTCGGCACTTGATGGATGTCACCCGGTTTACATGTTGTTTGAATGACATAAATAATCGAGGAAAAAACTGCACTGGCTGGTTTATGGTTTTCTCAATGGCTTTTCTTCGGCAATTTTACTATCATAGTGGCATTATATCCTGTCGCTTCCGTGAAAGCTGTGACTTAATTTCATGGTGCTCCTTCGCATGACCCACAATACCATCGTGCTCCTCTGGGTTGAAATCCCTGTTGCTGCTCATGCGAATGCCGATTCATGCGAAACGTGCAGAGATGCTTGATTTGGATCATGTTTTGGACCGTTTCAAGGAAATTTACCCTAACAACAGCAAAATCACGCTGTCATAAATAAAGTCTTTAATGAATTTTCTTCTTAAGGGATTCTCTTTTCGTTTCAAGACATTATTATTGCCAATGAAAACATTTCGATCATTAGCACATTATGCGTAATAAATTTTTCAAAAAACACTTCTTGTCCTTTTTCATCAACTATTTTTCAATAGCATTGTTCACCGCATAGCTTGCGACAAACAAATGGTTAGAGAAAACCATCGATTAACTTCTTCCAACATAGATAGGAAGAAATATTCAACAATAGGCAATATTTGCGCATTAAGTTTCTTACAAGGCACAAATTGCCGAGAAAATCTCGTGGACTCCGACACAGGTTGGAAAGTGGGGGCGGGGAGGGGGCAAGGGAGAACTTTGCACCCACAACAAACGATTTTGGAAAAATTCTCTATTGCTTGCTTTATATGCTTGCTGGCTCTTGGAAAAATGCTCTTTATCGGTGCCCCTTCATTGGAGGTGCTGCTCAGGGGCGTCGCGACTGGGGGGTTGTCACACCCACCCCAATAGTATCTCAATAGGAAATTTCAGGTAAAATCCGCTCGGTGGAAGAAACGCTTTAGGTATTTCAGAGACCTTCCTGTCATAAAATCAATAAAGGATCAAGCAATCTTAGGTAAAATTGTGCCTCGTGTTCATTTCTCCTAAAGTTTCTCAGTAGAAGCGTCAACTGCAATTCACTATGAGCTCCAGATTCTTCTTAACATTCATAAGGCATGCTAAGATGGAGAGAGGGATCTAAATTTAAAAGTAACTGACAACCTGGTATTTTTCAAGACCACGGCGAAATTGTTGTTTTTATCTGCTGTAAAAAAGTTTTGCAAAAAGACAATAATTTTAAATAGGATTAGGAGGATTGCTTTAGTGAATCTGCTTAAGAGAGTGCATTTTCCAGGGAACTAGAAGCATCACAATTCGAAAATTTCCTCCCCCTTCGGCGGCAACCATGGTGCCGCCTCAGGTAGTAACTTTATATTTTGCCCGTCCCGATATAGAGATTTGACAAGACTAATGGGAAAGTCGGTTATTATCATACAGAGTTAGATTGACAAAATGTATTGCAGAGGTTTGTGACACCAGCTAAAAAGTTTCAGGCAATAATTTTTTAATCAGGTAAATTTGCATTCCACACCCCCCCCCCAAACGAGGCTTGCCTCGCGACGGCCCTTCCTGCTATATGGGGCAAATCGAATTTTTTTTCGGTCGGCAATTTGACACATCCAGCGTCGGCAGTTACGGAGAATATAAACTTCGGCACCTTCAAGGTTTGTCTCTAGCGCCACCCCTGGCTAGACCAGTATGTTGAGTATGCTATGTTCATTCAGGTTAGGCAAAGAAAAACAGGTGTTTATATGTAGAAATAAGCGTTAGAAAAATCTCAAGTTTGAAAGGTTATTTCTGTGCTTAAGTTTTCTTCTTCTTAAATGTTAAATTTTTCTGAAAGGAAAGCTGGTGTCTATTTTTGTTTATACAAATGGACACAAATAATGTCAGTATGAAATGTTTAGAGCAGATACTAGAAATTTGCCTGCATCCGAAATCTATTTTGAAAGAAAATAATTATCTTACAGCATTGTCTGGCAAAGCAAGGCCGCTTCAAAAGGAAGCAAACCGCGGTCGAGAGCACGGAGAAAACGATGCGGCCAGTGAAGATCAACGAGCTCTCCAGAAGTCGGAGGAAATGATGAAGGCATTCCTGACAGCAACAGGGGGCGAGGAAGATGAATTGAATAAAAGTGAAAGGACTAGAACGATAATTAAAACAATAAAGGTAAGAATTTGTGCATAGAGGCAGGGATGGCAAGTTCTAGTAGCTATTGATGATGCTGGTCAGGTGTGAATTCGCCATGAAATCCCTTTAGTGAAAATTTGCATTAAAAATTGATTGAAATTTCGATACTGTAGATTCATCGAGTTATAATTTCAATCTAATTTCAACTTTATCATAATTGGAAAAATTCCAGGAATTAACACAGATTGCTTAAAATGATGACAACAGATTTAACATTCAAACAATCATTATTTGGTATAAAAGGTAAAAATGGCTTTGAAAAAAGCAAACATTTTGAAACATACTAAAGCCTTTCATCTGACACTCTTCAGAATTTATACATCAGAACATGCATCGAAAACTCAAAGCTAGGAAATATTTATATACTTAGTTGTGGATCGAAATAGGCCAATTAGAAACGCGTGCCCAAGCAGAGCCGCTTGCCTATTGAAAACATTACCGATGAAGCTTTACCAATAATAACTCACGTGTTATTGGTAGAGCTCGATTGTTCTTCCATCTAGCAGTTTTGGAATCTATCTACATAGAAATTAAAGCAACCGCTCTTGTGTAGACAGAAGGAGCTCGTTTTCACCTTAGGAGTGGACAACATTTACAGTCATGTGCTTTCCTTTCTGATTGGCATATAACGATTCACAACTGGGTATAAATATTTCCTAGCGTAGAGTTTTTGATCTATGCCCTGACGTTTTATATTCTGAAGGGTATAAGACGAAAAGGATAAGCATGCTTTAAAATGTTTTTTTCTTCTAAAGCCATATCTAACTTCATGAAAATTCTTTAGAATATTGATCAGAAATTGAGGAGCTAACACTTACAGGTCAAAGCAGCAATTCAAACGAAGCTTGAAGCAGAGCTTGGCGTATTTTAATCATTATAACCAACTGTCTTTTGAACTCATAAAAACTTTTCGGGTCTACCTCGAACCATCATTGGGAAATAATGACTAGAAACACTTTTAGCAAGAAAAAACAATTGGGTTGTCATGTTATTAAACTGGTTTATCATAAATGGTAACCGGACAGGTTCAAAAGCTGCAGATTACCTATTATCTTGCTATGAAAGTCTGTGCAATGTGCCAAATTTATTTTTGTTTTTTATACGGCTAGGTTCCTGTAAAGAGCAAAAGCTATCCCATTGCCATAATAGTTGGTCTCGTGTTGGGTGGAGTAGTGGTTAGTTCAACGATTATTGTATTGGCAAAGTACATTGTGAACAGGCAGTACATTGACCAATCAAGTCTGAATATGGTCGAAACAAACTGGACACAACCAGACGGATCAAATATGATAGACGTAGAAAGTGACGACGACTTTTCAATGGGTGGTTCCGAGGTCGGTGAGAACGAAATGGACGAGCTGGTAGAAGATCAGCTTTTACCGGATTCTGAGTTAAAAACCGGACTTGAATTGATGTTTTTGAAGCAGCAAAGACATTACTGGAACCAAAGACAAAGGAAAGACCGCCCAAAAAGTCATGAAATGTAGAGTAACTGTAGAGATCGCTTTGAATCAACTGTAACTAAAAGATTACAAGTTTAGTTTGGTAGAAGTGACCTTAAAATTCATCTAATGTATAAGGTTTATGTAGGATACTTAAATCGTATTTATTTGGATGTATATGAATACTATGATGAAGAACGATTTATATGAAATAGCCATATTTGCTAATAGATGACACAAATGCATTAACTGTCTTATTGTTTTTAATGGTTTCTTTGGAATAGAAAATTAGTATTCTTTATAGCATGTTATTGTAAATAATACTAAGTTGATATGATATTTGTCAGAGTACTGTCCAGATCGTATTTAGCGTTTTTCGTAATTCTGTAATGGATTACTTTGCTGTCTTTATGGATTAAAGAAATACCTTGGAAATGTCGCCTGTGTGTCAACTTCTCAAGTTCGCCTCGGAACCGCGTCACACTGCCTCCTATCCATGGGGCATCCGTCTTAGACAGAAAAGAAACCACTAGGTCTCCGACGAAAAAGGAGCCACCGTTTTTACAGTGGACGAGCACTCATATGGAATGAGCCTAATAGCTATTGTGCAGGCTCTTTGATTGAATGGACGGGGGAAATACTTACCTAATATCAAGCAAATGTACAGTTTGGAAATTACATCTAAAAAGTTTCAGATGCATTTGTAAATTTTGATCTACTGAACTCCCATTATGAAATATTTTTGGTATTGCAACATTTTAGCCTTACACTTTCCTGTATAGAACCTTTTGCAAGAGCGATTAGCACTTGAAAAGGTATGACAAAGATCTATAACATCGGGAAGTAGAGGAGATTATTAAAATCTTGATGGCAATCAAAACATGCTTCTCTCAGTAGAAGACTAGAAGACAATAAAGTAATAGATAACCGTGTTTGAAAAGAGAATAGCTTACATTCAACGACAATTGCACAATTGATGATAAGGAGGGAGGGAATAAAAAATATGTTAAAAGAGAAAACAAATAAATTTAAAGCTTGAGCTTGCCAAAGTCTACATTTTTGTTCGTGTGTTTTTAAAAGTAAAGAAATTATATTTATAACTTGATTCAAAAAACGAATTATGTAACTGTTTTTTGAGGAAATCAGAGAGCACTCGAACCGAGACCAAAGAACAGCGATTTGCGTGCTCATGTGGCCATATCTCAGCCAATTTGACAGATTTTGCATGTTTAGAAATTTAGGTTACTTTGTCCAAATAAAAATGCTAAGAATATCTTCTATGACGTCATCACTTGGATACATCCTTGTTTCACTTCCGTTTCGAGGCTGTTGTTGCTGCGATCTGTTTTGGTTTTTTTAGGAGAAAGACATGGCGCCGATGCTGCATCACATCATCTCATGACATTTTAATGTTTGAGCTCATGCTGAATTTAAATGGCAATGATAGACGCATTTTGTGCAGCTGTTGCTGACGGAAATCTAGAGGTCAGTGTAACATTAACGGTTGAAAGAAATTCGTGAACCACTTTTCCCCTATAACCATGCGCTAGAGGCTACAGGCTAGGCCCTAATATTCTTCACCTATCAAGATCTAATGCTTAGCATCTCAAAAACAATATTTTCAAAATTGTTTTTGGCGAAAGAAAATCTCCAATGCAGAAAAATGTATTTTTTCCAGCAAAGTGAGTATCGGTTTTTCCTTGGATTTTCACATAAGATAGCTCATGTTTTTATAATCAATACAATCATTAAAATAATTTGAACTCAAAAATTTACATTATACTGATGCCTTTTTTTTATAAAACCCCTACTCTTGGTACACAAGAGACATCACGAAAAGTTGCATACAATAGACAACTTGTCTTTATTGACAACAGGACAGGCAACTGTCTTGATCTGATGGGAGAAGGGGTGTGTGAAGCCAAAAAAGTATTCACGAGTTTAGTACATTTTATCTAACAGAAGTTGGAATTTTTAAAGCTAAAAAAACGAGTAGTTGCTCGGATTAAGAAATTTGACTTTGAAACATGAATTCCTTTTTTTTGTATCAGAATCAGTGATTTGACAACTTTAATATTAAAAGCAGCCAGAGGCTCAAAGTGAACACTTTGGACTGCTGATATGCAGGTACCACAGGGCAAGGAAGCCTGGAGCCTCTAGCCTCCCTCATTTTTTGCCTCCATCATGCAAAACTTTTTCTGACAAAAGTAAGCAAATGGCTTGAAGAGAACCAAAAATCATGTGATCTTAAAACCGAAGTGCAAATCATAAGACATGGCACAGCTATGAAAAACTGAATGCAAGTTGGCAGATAGTTAGGATTTGCATCCATGATGGTTTGGGCTTTTCTAAATATATCATGAAATATGTATTTGATTACAAATGTTCTTTCTCTTAAATTTCTGATTTTTATCTCTGTAAATATGCAGTTGGTGAAGGGATTTATATCGAGAAGAGCTGATCCGAATCAGAAGTCATCAGAAGGATTTCTTCCATTGTGTTTGGCAGCATTTTGGGGCTACAGCAATATAGTTAAACTTCTCCTTGAATATGGGTATGTTCTGTTCTATAATCATATATATATATTCACGAAGCTTTTTATCACAAACTTTAGTAAATCTGAGACTGAATACATTTATTACTTGTATTCAATCAAATTTTATATTCAGTTGTTTTCTTTGTGTCCCTTTTAAAGTTGAATATTACTAATTCTGTTTTAAATGCAATTTCCACTCTCTAACAGATAAATTGAGCATGGTATGATAAATTGAGATGGCTCCTGTCTCTTTTGCCACTTTAATTCAATGTTTGGTAATTAACTCCCTGCTTTTTCTATACAGAGCAAGTGTGAATGGACAAAATAATGGGACATTTTGGACACCATGCCACTGTGCTGCCTTTCAGGGACATGGGAAAGTCATCATGACACTTTTAGAGTATAATCCAAATCTGCAATTAAAAGATGATTTAAACAGGTGTTTTTTTATTTTTCTCAACCTTTTGTTGCTGTTATGAATGTTTGCATTGGATATGCACAACAAATGCTTTGTAGTTTGTTTATCAAATAATGATTGTTTTCCTCAGCGTTTGAAAGTTTCACTCACAGTGTGAAGATAACACTTTGTTTGTTATGCATGCTGCCTTATTACAAAAGTTTGGCTTTAATAGACATAAGTCATAACCAATAAAAGACTCCAATTTTCATCTCAGATTTCTTTTGATGTGCATATCAGTTTTGTTAACCTTTTAGTCGTTTTCACACATAGTACTCCCAGGACTGTCATAAAAAATGTTTAAATTTTTTTTTCTCTGTTTCCTGTGCATTGTGACATCTTTGAAAGAAATATTTATTGCATATTGGTGAAATATTTTATTAACTCTACTGAAAGTTTTCATTATGCTTCATTCAGTACTCATATTAACTTGAAATTATTTGTCAATTACCACAACATTGTAATGCAAATTTTTTTTCTAGAACCTGCATAGACTTTGCTTCTGCACTTGACTCTATCTGGCCTCATTTTGCAGGTTTGCACTTTAGTATCCTCGAATTTAACATTTTTTGATAGTATCCCCTTTATTCAAAATGGATGATTATGTGTACGAAATTTTTGAGAGGCAAACACACTTATTTTTGAAACAAATGAAAAGTATTAGAATGTATGCTGGTTCCTTAAGGGACTGCAGGGGCGGATCCAGTGGGGTGCGAAGGGGGCTCGAGCACCCCTCAGATTTGAGAAAAAACTTTTTGGGGATAAAAACTTATTCTACCGAAATTTTGTTTATTATTATTTAAACCATTTAAATAATACCGGGAAGTATGCACATCTCCTGAAATTGTTATTTCCGCTTCGATGCCCCGTCTCACAACTGTTCAACATTGTTATTTCAGTCCATGCATTGAAGTGTTATGAAACTCCCCCTGGTTGTCCTGTATAGCATTCTACAGACTCGGAAAGCATTGTCTCCTCTTATATCCAGCCACTTTAGGAACCCGTGGCCTGTAATTATACGAGTTTCTGCACCCGTGGAAGTGAATCTAGCCAATCACGGTGCCAGGTCGAGGGGTTCTAAACTTTGGCGCGAGAACCCATGGATTTCAAAAATCCAAAACATCAAAGAATACCGACAAACCAGGGGGAGTTTCTTCGCTTCAATCTACAGTCAAATGTATAAGTGGTTTTATGACCAGGGGGAGTTGAGGTTGACCAGGGGGAGTTGAGGTTGACCAGGGGGAGTTGAATTATGATACAGCACGCGACGAATGCTTAGGCGCAAATTTGCAATATGTTTTCGTGGATCTTTTGACGATCTTTACCTGATGCTCGATGCTGTAACGGCAGAACTTGTAAACGCTGTGGTTTATATAACAGAACGGTTTCAAGTTTCAACTCCGTGTTTCACGTCTTATTCATAGACCATGAGGTATGATTTATATTCAGAGGATAAAGCTTGCCCGAGCCCTTGTTATTCTTTTTTTAATCATTCAAGAACTACATAAAAAACATCTCAAAAACTTGCCCTTACTATTATTGACCAAAAGGGGTTTCCTTTTTATACCTACTTATATTCCTGCGAATACTTTTTTCTCTAAGAATTTCAAAAACATAAAAATACTCAAAACGCCAGGCCCATAGCGAAACGTTCAGGGCCTTCTTTGTTTGGTTTGGCTTCATATGTCGATGCATGCTGTGTTTGAATCCCTGTGTTCAACTTTTGCACTGCACTTCAAGGGCTTCATTCCACCAGCCACGTTATTTTTTTGGTCAAGCTGATCAAGTTCTAATAAATGGCTGCAAAGAGTCAAAAATTGAATTTTGCTTTGAAAATTTGTGGGCTCGGGCCTTTTGCCACTGCGGGCCATCATATCATATTTGACTACAGTTTCTATACTTTTGTACCCTAAGTGAATATAAGAGGGGCGAGCTGCAAATTGCGTTCAATTGGCATAAAAGCTGAAACCAAAAATTACTATATAAATCAAGGCATCCAGGCTTTTTAGTTTATGGAAGACTTACATTTCATTATGGCTTATTAGCAGGGGTACGGAGTTTGTGCATAGCAACACCCTGGGTTACCAAGCCTTACGTTTTAGAACCCCTCAGAATAATTTCTAGATCCGCCCCTGGACTGCTTCTAGATATATACCACAAGCTGCCAGATATAAGAGGTTTTAAATATTGAGCTGAACTGGCCTAGGTAGCTTACTTTCTAAGCCCAGATCTCGCTGGTATTGAAAAATTCATCTTGTTTTGCAATTTATGTGCTTATATTGCAAGCCATTAAGTCCACCTAACATAGATCTCAGTTGATTTTTGCTGATCTGAGTTAAATAATTCCAGCAAGGTGGAATTTCACGATATAGAAATACATAATTAGGCTGGCCAAGTTAAGCAGGGTGTTTCGATTTGAAGTGCAGTGATTTGTAATTTGGTCACTGGGCTAGCTCGTTGCTTTTGAACATAGGATTAAACTTATCACCACACACTGTCTCATAAGAACTGGTCCTTAGATAAGGCTGTCATCAGGCCCATCGGAACAAGGGGGGGGGTAAGGAGCCCCCAATAATTGCCAGAGTGTAGTATATTTTATTCATGACAGTACGGGCAGCCCCCACCCCCAAATATGAATTTTGTTCCGACGGCACTGATCATGCATATATCTTTAAAAGGAAATTCTCTTGAACTTCATTCTTGCAAAAGGTGTTGCCCCTCCCTCGCCGAAGTGAAGCAAGGCTGGCGCCCCTTTTTGGAAACGGTTTGGCACAATTTATATGTAAATTTTCCTTTAGAATGTGAATAGGGAGCCTTCTTTCAGTACTCTCGTCACCAAGAACTGAACATTTTTCAGTTCTTGCGCCCCTATTTCCAACTGCCCTCCCTAAACTTTGCTCTGGACCCGCCCCTGGTCCTGACTGATTCTACTTACACGTGGTCCTCTGTAATAGACACAGTGGAATGATATTCCTTCTGTAATGGTGCCGTTTACTCTGTAACCTACTTGCGTAGAACATACATACAGATGGAATGTTTTGTGTTATCTTCTAGCAAAAGGATGTAAAAGAACTACAAAGGAAAATCTGATTCGCCTGAAAATTGTAGAGAAGGTATGAAATTTGCTGTACAATCTTTGTTTTTATAATTTCTTTTATGCTGATTATTTAACGAGCATGATAGTTGAAGTGTTGCGAGGCAAGTGAGGGAGTCTCCCCCCCCCCCTTGACAAAGAAGAATCAACAAGTATTTTTTACTGCAAGTTGTATATAGTTGACACCAGTGGCGGACACTTGGGGGGGGGGCGAGGGGGGGGCGATCGCCCCCCCAATACTTTAGAGAACAAAAGTCTTTTGTTCTAAAACAATGGGAAATGTGACATCATCTTATTAAAACAATAGGCTTGCCCCCCCAATATTTGACCAAGTGTCCGCCCCTGGTTGACACTAGATACAAAGAAACCAGGAGTACAGCAGGAAAACTAGTCTAAGCTTTCACACTTATATTTGAAGCAAAAGCATTTTTATATATTGTCATAAAAATTTAACAAAACAAACAAACTACGAAACGATGCCACAGGGTGCATGGAAACACATAGAAATTCTGTGACCTTTACATTAAACATATTTATAGCTAAAAATTATTGAGTTATGCTAGCACGAGTCTTGTTTAATTTCTTGAAAGACCCTTCTATGTCCTGTTGTGTACAGCACTGTCTCATTCTTATTGTTGAGTTGTCAGAAAACGAACATGATGGTGTCCAACCACGTCTAAAATCGAAGGAACCACTAGTGTATGGAGTGGAATTAGCCAATTTATTTCTCACATTGAAAGGATGCAATCAAGTTGTCCTTAAATTCTTATGCTTGTCACTTTCCAATCGCTTCCTTTTTGATTGGCTGGCACAGTCTGTGATGGCATCTTGCATTCACTAGAGATGTTCGCATGTTGTGGGAATTTTATCATTTGGTCAGGGGATCAAATTCAAAATAAAATGCTGTTCATATTTTCTTATTGCATCGTAGGTAGTGGCCAGGAATGATCCATATTCATTTGGCATGGAGACACCTTATTTTTCACGTCCTGGCTCTGCATACGTTGTTAAATCACAGCCACTATATGGAAAAAGTAGAACGCTTAAAACTGAAAATGATTCCAAGGGTGATTTGTCCGACAAGCAGTATCTTGCTTTGAATCATGGGGACGTTTTAAATGAGGCTTCTGGAACTGATCATCTGACTTCTACCCCTAGCTCTGTTCCACGATTTTCAGCCTGGAGGACGTAGTGTTTAACTGAATATTTTTATATCGCAAGGGAGGGTGTGAGAGACAAAAACAAATGGTGGAAAAGGGAGATCGTTAGTTGAGAAGGATATCCTGCCATGTAAGGGGTATCAGGTTTTTTATTTAGTGTGACATGAAAATTTATGAGAAATTAATTTTCTCATTTATTTGATAAGTAATTTATAGTTAAAATTAATGTCATTCTTTAGCTTTAATGTAAAGTCCCTGTTCATTAACTCAATGACGGACAACTCTAAACCGCCTTAAAATTTGCCCTCATTCTGCCCCAAAGTTTATTTACTATGTTCAATGTTATGTAGAAACGATCTCGAAACAATTTAGGTTTACTCAGGCGTCCGTTAAATTAAAGTTTAATTTTACTTTCAATTTGGCTACTTAGTAGAGACTGGATAGTCCTATAGCTCGCATTCAGTAAGCCAAGAATACACTGGGGCAGCTTTTGTGCCTATTATATGAAATACTCCTACGAATAATAATCTAGATTAATAAGCGATTTTTATGATAATAATTGTTGATATAAAAATGGCAGTTATATTTGTATTATTTTTCAGATTCTTGTTTTTTTTCTCATTTTTCACGTTTTCAAACTGAAGCATATCCTTTCTTCAAGCTACCATTAGGTTGGTGACACATATCATTTGTTCCTATGTGTGGAACATATCGTGTTAATGGTGTACTTTGTAGCATAACAAAAATTAATTTTGGGACTATAAACTCCCCAGTTGCTAATTCTAAAGATTTTTAGAAGTATCTAAAGATGAACGCTGAAGAATAACAAGACAAATTTGCTCTGCTATCTTGTTCATTGGTATCAACCATCGTGTTTTCATCTTACGATGCATCTAAATTCACAATTAAAGCGTTCTCTTTTAAATCTACAAGCCTGGTTCTGAGTAACGCTAGAAAATCTTCCAAATTTAACTACCAATTGGAAGCAAGAATAACATGTGCAGTTTTACGTCAACTAAAGCTAATTAACAGCAATTTTTATGTAGAAATAACGCTGCATGCCTATAACACGCTGAACGCTTATAACTAAATTTACCTAAACATGTATCTGTAGCCAAGTTATGGAGTAAACAAACAATGTTAAAGGACAAGTGACACACTTTTCACCCTATCGTTTCTTTTCATTAACTTATAGATCATCATTTAGAAGTAAGTTTTTCCTGGTTTAGAACAAAAAATTCTAATCAGGGGGCGCAGGGGGCGCGATTTTACTTTTTATCACGTGACCCTATGACGTACATTGTGATAACTCGGAATTTTCCTGTCATTGACAACAAGTAGCATTTTGAGGAATACGAAGACAAAAGATCGGATAACTCAGAAAAAACATGGCAGATTCTCAAACGGATTTCGATTATGCAGAGAATAACTCTTTGGAAATCGTTCCATACCAATTTGAACCTCTTGTACAAAACAACTACCCGAATACGATCACGGAAACATCAAGCTCCGAGGACGACCTAGAAAATGGTGGCACGGAAGAAGAACATCCCAGTGGACGAATTGGAAATACAGAATGGTGAGTGGTTTTTTTGCAATCAAATTATTTTCAAAGATAATAATTTTAATAAACACAGTTTTGTTGTAAAAAATTGTGTCAAGGGGTTAAATTTTCAACGACTTTTACCTAGGTGCAAATGTGGGAGTTGTGTCAGCATGGACAAGGCAGCTGAGGCAATATGTTGCAGGGAGATCGAAGCTGTTGAGAATTTATTGGGAGAAGAAGGGGTTAATTGTATTACAGCTCATTCCGGATTTCGTAGTTGCTGTCTTAACATGCATTCAGTTCGTGTGGCATTAGAGATTTATTCTCAGTATGTTGGACCCTTTGATGGGACACAACCACCGCATGAGTAAGTAAAGTTTATGATTATCGTCATTTCTCGAACTATCCTCAGTGCATAACTATCACCATAACCAATTTCCTCACTTAATATTATAAACATTTTCAATAGAACCTATCGCCATGTTGCATATCGGCAGCTTGCAAGATTCCTCTATGGACATCTTGGACGTCATAACCGCCGAGTTCACCCTTCCTGTGCAGTAGCTGCAATAAGAAGAGCTTTCCCTGGACAATCGTATGCTGGATTCCAGTATTATATTCCTTGATGCCTTGTCTTTAAATTTTTTGATTTTTGAAATATTTTATATTTTGATTATTGGATTATTATATTAGATTGTTTTTTGATTTACACTTCTCTAAATTTCAACTTATACCTACATTCTTGAATATTAGTGAACCAATTCATAATTTATATGAGTTATGTCTATTTTTAGTTATGCCTACAAATGAAAATGCGAGGAACCTAATAAGTAATAGAAAATCTAGATCTGTGGTGTGCAATAAGGTGATCTTTGTCAGCTGTAGCATAACCAGCAGTTAGAGGAGGTGGAGTTTCCTTCTGCCTTTCCTTTATGTCAAGTGCAGCTTCTTTCAGCGTTGGAAATGCTTCCCTCCTTGCCAAAACATCTTGGATGAGCTTTTCTGCATAGTCTATTCGAAAAGAGGACAATATTTACCAAAGTTCTGTTATTGAACAATCAAAAGTTATCAAAAAGTGGCAGCATACAAAATGGCATCAGGAGGGTCCTTGTTGTGAAATTTGAAGCATCTGTGCATGTTCAACAACTAGTTTATTAGGTGTATCCAATAGAGGATGGGGATTTGATTTTCAACAATAAATAGTCAAATTTTCAAAAAAATTATCCTGACTCACCAAATACTGGAGTTTCTTTTAGAGGTTTTACAACAGCAAGTTGCCCCTTTTTATGTTTTGGATAACAAACACGCCATTGCTTTCCCCCCATTTTGTTTGTTTTTTGCTGCATTTGGCTGTTAGCATTGTAGTGAAGAACTGCGAGGTGTAATCTGTGGGTAAAATATTTACTGCATTTAGTCTTACAACTTCTGTTTCATACACAGACACACACACACCAATTATTCAATCTGCAGTTATTTAATCAATAATTGTGGCTTGTCTGTTTATTTGCAAGCTAAGTTGAAAATCTATTGTATATTTTGATTTATATGGAAATGACAAAATCTGCTAAATTGTATGCATAAAGGTTAAAGGTTTTCAGAGTCTCACCGTGCCAACATGGACCAGTAGAAAAAATGATGACTTTTTGGAGCAAAGCAGAGTATCACCCTGTGAAAGACCTCCAATCCATATGTTTGATACAACGGAGACAGGGAGCCAATGTCATTTACAAGCAGTGGTGCAGTAATGATAGGTTTTAGTAATTTGTATGGTATACTTTCTGTTAAGATAAAAATGTGAAATAAGTAAAAACATGTGGATCATATGTTTTTTATAATAAGGTGTAACATCATTTAAAGAAATGAAATCAATAATCATTTTCAATTATGCTACTTAATTTTTAATATGCTGTGTTATATTGTCCCTAAAAAGTCCAAATACCTTTGATAATCCAGTCCCTTTCATCAATATCTCCATGTGCACAGTTTGGGAAAAGATCACCATGTCCAGCATGAATGTTGCACATATGGTTCAAGACAGATAACCATTTTTCCTTTTTTAACTCTTTTTCATGACCTATCAAAGGTAAAAACATAGTCAAATTTATATAGTGTATCATTAACATTATCCCTTTGTTTGCAATTGCATTTCATGTACTCACAAGTACCAATTAAAAATGGGGTGAGAACTAATGGGGGAGGGGTTGAAACTGGTTTAAGATTATTATAATAAGGGAGTTCCATATGATAAAAGTTAATAGCTCAAAGAATTGGAAGGAGGAGGCTGGACAAATTGAAAATAGTCATTTTTTGTTTAGTAAGTGCCTTTCCTTGGCAGGAATTATTCGAAAAAGAGGTACACTGTCATATAATAAATAACAAAAGGGTGTTAGAATATGAGAGGGGGGGGGGTGGAAAATTTTTTAAAAATCTAGAAGCAGGTGGATAATTATTCTAGAGTGATACCTGATGTTGATGCAATCCAGTAGATGTGGTTTACAATGGCTTTTATCCAATTTTGAATCAAAGAGGCACCCTTCTTCTGACCAGCCTTCGTCAGCTTTGACTCAACTCCTGAAAATTAGTAATTCCACTTTGAAAACAGTGTAGGTATTTTTTGTTAAATATTTTGTCCTAAAGATTTCAACTAAACAGAAGAAACTGTTGTAAAACTAAATTTTGAAACAGATATACCTTTACATATATGCCAACAATCAAAGCTATGTTTTTTGTCAGTATGCTCTGTTCTCATATACTTCTTTATTTGAAGATGTCTGTCAGTTACCACTTCTGCAATATGGATATTGGCGTCCTGCATGTACTGAAGTCCTCGTTTCAAACCTTCAAGCTCCATATGGTAGCTACTTTTAACCTCATTTGCCTGGAATAATGAGCAATTCATGGTATGATTCAAAGAGATCATTTCAAGGGAAGATATACTAAACAATACTTCACAGAATACACATACAAAAAGATTTTCTATTTGTAAACACAACTACATAAATCCGATAGACCCACATACAGTCAGGCTGATGCCTACATTTATACATACATACATATAGTCAGTGCAACCTACTTGTACAAGCCTGATGTCAATGATTTTGTTGTGCGTCAAATCCATAAAGGTATAAGAGCCATATTTAGCAGAGTGGCCTGGAGAATCACACCTTCCATCACCTCCCAGAATAATCTCTTATCCTTTCAATTGTTCTATGATCTCCAAATGCTGTCGGTGATATTCATCATTGACAGCTGGGATTAGATAGAGCCTCTGATGCCTGTAAAAAGTTCTTTTTGAAATGAATGGTACTCCAAGATGATGCATCATCACTGATACCTTGGCAATACTGCTTCCACTCAAAAATACAGCTGCTGATGCAAGTAGATTACCAATGGGCAGTTGTTGGTGGTATTTTTGGCTGTGCCAGGTAGTTTCATGTCCAGCTGCACAACTCACTGAAATCTTCACCATTGTCCCAATAATTGAAACTATTTTAGCCGTTGCAGATTTCAAACAGCCAGGTACAAGGCATAACTGGAATAACGTGAGCAAAATGGTCTGTGGTATGAGAAAATATCTATCCTTGTGGGCAGGCAAGGGTATTTGTGAAACATCTACTATTTCTTCATATTCAATATCACTTTCCTCACTTTCCTCTATATCACTGTCATCTGTTTCATAATCAGATTCTTCAATTTCTTTTGTGCTCTCGATGGTACTCTCCTGAGACAGTACATCATCTTCTTTAAAGCAAAAACAGCGGCAATTGCATGACTCTGTTTGAACAGAGACATCAACAAATTTTTTTGCATCATCATCATCACTATCACCTGTTACAACAGAATCTGTTATGTCCGCAGTAACCATAGCATCCATGCGATCAGTGGTCTCCTCAACAATAAGCTCATTTTCAGCATTTGAACATTGATGGGATGCAAGTGCTGATTCAATAACCTGGTTGAAAATATTTTTTCTCTCAATAAATTGTGAGTCAATTTTGAATTAATATACATCTCTTTTTTTATAGGTCAATAATTTATATTTAACAGAAATTTGAAATAACGCCCCAAAATTTGA